ACAGTGATGTTGAATGGTTTTTCATCTCCTTTTGAGGAAGGTCTAATCAGTTCTTCTGCCCATCTTTAAGTTGTACTGTTGGGGTTTTCGTTGGTTTTGCTGTTGAGTTCCTTCCACGTTCTGAATGCCCCTTATCCCCTACACAGTTTCCAAGTCCTTTTCCCATTCTCTCATTGTCCGTTCAGTCTGTTGATTGTTTCCTCAGCCGTGGGGAAACTTTCCACTCTGGTGCAACCCTGCTTTCCTGCGCTTGCTTTTGCTGCCTGTGCTTTTGAGGTCTTACTCAAAAAGTCCTCGCCCAGACCAAAGCCATGCAGCTTTACCCCTGTTTTGTTTTAATAGCTTCAGGTCTTACATTAAGTCTTTGATCCATTTGAGTTGATATTTGTATATGGTGTGAATAAGTGTCAGCTTCATTTTTCTACCTGTGTATCTCCAGTTCTCCCAAAACTCTATCTTGGAGAGACTGCCCTTTCCTCAAGGCATGTTCTCAGAACCTTTGTTGAAAATCAGTTGGCTGTGGATGTGTGGATTTAGTCTTGGACACTCTCTTCTCCATTGGTCTCTGTCTGCTTTAATACCAGCGCTGTGCTGTTACTGTTTTATTATTGTGACTGTAGTGTTTTTGGTGTGCTCAATTGGATGCCTTCAGCTTTGCTCAACATGGTGTTGGATAGTCTTTTGTGGACCCACACAATTTTAGAATGTTTTTTTCTTATTTCTATGAAGAATGTCCTTGGTATTTCAATACATTGAATTGATACTGTTGGCTAGAAGAAATTTTGACTATTGATCTTTCCAGTTCATGAACATGGAATACTTTCCATCTATTTGTGTCATCTTTGATTCCTTCCTTCCTTCCTCCCTCCCTCCCTCCCTCCCTTCTTTCCTCCTGGGGATTGAACCCAGGCTTCACAAATGCTAGGCAAGTCCTCTATACTGAGATACTCACCCAGCCACCAAAAAAAGTTGAGAGAGGGTCTCACTAGTTTGCAGAGGCTGACCTTGAATTTGTGGTCCTCCTTCTTGAGCCTCCTGGGTCATTGGGATTACAGGCATGCACCACCATGCCCAGATTTTCTTTCTTTCATTGGTATTTTCTAGTTTTCAGCGTAGAGATCTTTCACCTTCTTGGTTAAATTTATTCCTAAGTTTTTCCTCTCTCTCTTTTTTTTTTCTCGTAGCAATTTTAATGGCATTGTTTTCTTGATTTTTATTTTAGTTTACTATTATTGTGTAGAAATGCTACCAATTTTTATATGTTCACTTTTGTATCCTCCAATATTACTGAATTTGTTTCTTGGTTGCAACAATAATTTTGGTGGATTCTTTGGGGTTTTCTATGTATAAGATTATGTCACCAGCAGACAGGGGCTCTCTAATTCTTCCTTTCCCATTTGGATCCTTTCTTTCTTTTTCTTACCTAATTGATCTGGCTAGGATGTCCAGTTCCATGTTGAATGGAAGTGGTGAAAGTTGGAATCCTTGTTTAGTCCCCAGCCTTAAGGACAAAGCTCTTGACTTGTCCCCATTCAGCATGATGTTGGCTGTGGGTTTGTCACATGTTGCTTTTATTCTGTCTATCTGTAATTTGTTGGGAGTTTTAAAATGAAGGGATGTTGGATCTTATAAGATGTTTTTTTTTCTTCAACTATTACAATGACTATATATATATATATATATCCTTTTTTTTCCCCCTTCACTGTGTTCATGTGAGGTCTCTTTCGTGTTTACTGATTTCCATGTGTTGGACCATTTATTTGCATCCCTGGGGTGAACTCCACTGGGTCCTGGTGGATGATCCCGTTCCCTCTCTCTCATTAGGCTTGACCTATCAATGCTCTTGTTGCTTTGAGCATAATGTTTGGTCTCATCATGGGCATTTGCTTCAAGCCAGGCCAATCAGCTAGTGACTCTCAGTTCTGGGACATCTCACGGAAGTATCGGCAAGAGAAGTGTTCTTCACTTCTGGATTTGAAATTTGTAGTATGTCCAGCTTTAGATCTGCAGCTACTAGGAGTCACTTTGCCATCTGTGAGGAGGTCCTTCCTGAGATACCAAGGCAGGGGAAAGCTGAGCACGTGCCAGAGACCTGAGCCCTAGTTGATGGAGTGTGAGCTCTCGGATTTAAACACTCATTTTTGCTGCAAAAAGTACTGGCCTAGATTTTCCAGCACGTGAGGCAGCACATTCCGCTTTTGCTTTACAGTGGTTCAAATTGATTTTTGTCATTTGTAGTCTACTGAGTCCTGATTATGCTAAGTCTTACCATCCTTCTTTTCTAAGATGGGGAGCTCAGGATCATGGTGCTGCCAAAGTCCAGCGGCAGGGTCGGGGAGAGAATGTGGTCCGCAGGGCAGGGGGACTTGAAGGGGCGGCAGCCTGCTCACCTAGACTCTCCTGCAACTTAAGCCCCCAAGCTGGCTTATGTCCCGCCTGCCACAGTGACTGGAAAAATAGGGACACTTACAAAGTCTATTTATAGAGCCTTGGTAGGGAGCTAAGAGCATCTGTCCCTGAAGTACTTTACAAGGTTACTCTGCACAGCAAGGTTAATCCTGCTGTCAATGACTGAGAATCAAGTCAATTTGTCCCTCACCGCATCCTGAGCTTGGATTGTTTGTGGCTTTGAACTGCATTCCTTTACTCCCCTCTGCAGACAATTCCTCAGCCTTCAGGTCTTGATTTGATAACCTGGTGGACCTTTCCTGCTTCTTCAGCCAGGGCCAAGAGTACAGTTTCAGAATGTAGAGAGGACATTTTTATTAATCTTTTGCATTAGTCAGCTTTCTATCACTGTAACAAAATACCTGGAATAATTAACTTATTAAGAAAAAAGGGTTATTTTGGCTCTGTTTTAGAGGTTCTAGTTCATGATCCCATGGAGTCATTGCTTTTAGGCCTCTGGTGGGGGTGCTGGATGGCAATGGTGGGGAGTGAGTATTGGACAAAATTGTTCACCATGAGGCCAGGAAGGCAAAGAGGAAGGGGAAGGGAAGGGCTGGAGTCTAACACTCCCTTCTTAGGCACACCCTGAATGATCCGAGCACCTCCTACAAGACCCCCCACTCTAAAGCTCTCACCAGCTCCCTGTAGTCCACCTTGGAAGCTGAGCTGTAACATGTGGGCCTTTGGGGGCATTCAACACCCAAACTATCATGTCCTGTTCTGCATTTCTCTGCCAACTGCAGGTGCAAAGGCAACTGTCACCTGCTCCACCATACTTTTTAAGTGCCATGTAAGCACAAGCATAGTAAATCCAGAACCCACTTCTCTGCACCCATCTGCCCTGACTTTTAAGGGTAAAGAATGGCAGAAAGGATGATGGTGGTCCCCACTGCCACAAATGGCCTCTCCCCAGCTTCCCACCCATAACGGTGCTCAAGCACAAGCACCTGCCGTGGCTTCCAACCAAGACATCCTGTGGAGGTCGCTGTCTGCTGCCTGTTTAGTACTCCTCCCCACTTCTTTGGTAAGTGGTTCCATCCAGATATTCAGGGAAGGCTCTGACTAGCTTAAGCCAGAGGCACTCAATCTTAGCAACATGGACATCTTGGGCAGGAAGATTCTCTGTTGAGGAGGCTGTGCTGTGCATTTTAGGATGTTTATCAGCCTCCCTGGTCTCTATATACTAGATGTCCCTAGTGCCCTATGTCTGGTTATATAATAAGCAATGTCTCCAGATACTGCCAGAATGTCCAAATGTCTCTGCTGAAAATCTCTGCAACAGACTGATAGGAAAGGAAACTGAGAGACAGCAATAGACATGCTGAGAATCCCTTCCTAAAATTCCTGGGACCAGAAGTGTTTTGAATTTTTTCATATTTTGGAATATTTTCAGATACATAATGAGATATCTTGAGGCTATGACCTAAGTCTAAAAACAAAGTATGTTTTTGTTTCCAAGGTACCTTATACACATAGCGTGAAGGTGATTTTTTTTTTTTTCTTTTGGTTTCTGGGGATGGATCCCAGGACCTCACACATGCTAGGCAAGTGCTCCCCAGCCCTGAAGGTAATATTATACACTATTTTTAACAACTGGGGGATTTCCACTCATGGTACCATGTCATGCTCCTGATGTTTCAGATTTTGGATTTTCAGATTAGGGAATCTCAACCTGTACTTTTAGGTCCAGGCCTGGAGGAGGGGCTCCTTGTCTGAACATGAGAAATGGGTGGGTTCCTGGGCCACAGTGTCCCTGCAAGGAAACCCGGTTCATGTCCACCCGCCCCATGTCAGATGTCCTCACATTGGAAGATGTGAAACTAATGTCAAGTGGGTCTTTGATGGCTGCTGAGGTCACCAAGAAAAGGGAGAGCCACTGGCTTGGAGCCACTGTACCTGACCCCTTGGCCCACACTCGGTGCACCAGCTGCCTGTCAGTGTTGGGTTCTCCTCGGGGTCTCCACAGAGGGGACGTGAGGCCTCCACACCCATGGCCACCCTCACCTCACACGTCCACAGCCTTTCGAGGATCCCCAGGACTGAGGGGCTGAGAGCTGAGCTCCCTGGCCCAAGCTTGGGCACCATCTCCCTAGGAGCACCCCACAGGGCAGCGTGGGCAAGCGCTGTGTGGCAGGTTGCCCTCTCTCACTCCTTGGTACTCTCCTCACCCCCAGGTCCCAGTTCTTCAGAGGCCCGGACCTCAGTGGGTGAAGCAGCCACAGCCATCTGCCATCTTCTCTGCTCCAGTGTCCGCAGAGATTTGCTGCTGCTGTCATCATGTCTTTCCCTGTTTGTTTGTTGACATGCTCCCTCAGGAGGACCAGGACTTGGTCTTGGTCACCCCTGGAGCCCTGACCTGTGGACCCCAAGCCATATGTTGGGTCTCCATTTCTCTGGGGGAACTCTGGATCCACTCTTCTCATGTTGTGGTCTACGAAATGGATTTTATCAACCAATTCCACCCCGGGCTTGCCCCAACTCCATGTGAGCAGTGATCTTGCCCCAGTGGGTACGGAAGGGGTAAAAAGAAAGCACACGTCGCACAGCAGGGCTGAGTATGGTTTCACGAGAGCCTCTGGTAGCTTCTTGTGACTCATCCATTTATTTAAATGACATCAGAAAATGACAGTCTGTGGGGAAAGGAATGCACATTAGTTATTCCACATGGAGAAGCAACACTATAACATCATTTTAAAGAAGGGTTAAAAGGGTTTCCCATTAGAACCTATGCTGGGTTAGAAACCAGCTTTGCCGAGGCCCAGGTCTGCTTTTCCTGCTCCTGCTAGCTGGCACCTCTGACCAACTTCTCTGGGTGTCTCTGCTGGCACTGTTCAAGCCACACTAAAAGAGATGGGTGGTGCCACCAAGGCAGACCGTGCCCAGCTTCCTGACCATCTGGGAGCACCCTGGGAGGTGGTCAGGGAAGGCGCAGGACACTTCTGTGCTGCAGGGTCCGTCCTGGGCTTCCTTCTGCCTGGATACCACTATGCGGTGACAGGAGGGACCTGCACCTGTGGACACCTGGCTCTCTTTCTGCCTCTGGTCTGCGGCACAGTCTCTCCACTCCTTTCTTTTTTCTGATTCTTAGTCTCCGCATCCCCAGCAACCCCAAGGTTCCAGCTCTGGTATCTGGGGTCCTGTAGGTCTTTGGGGGTCAGGTCAGTTACTGCCATGGGCTTCTGCTTCCAACAGAGGCAGCGGCTGACTGCCTGGCCTTACGTCAGTCTGGTGACAGCTTCATCTCTGGTGAAGGACAAGTTTGGCTCAAGCCCCATCCTGACTATCCCTGGGTTCCGAAGAGAGTCACCTTCTCTGCTCCCTGTCCTCCTCTCTTCCTCTTTCTGAAACACCACACTCCTTCTTCCAGAGCTGAGCTTCGGAGCTACCACAGAGAATTCTGGGCTCCATCTTGAAGTTGGTGTTTTCTAGCCACAAAGTGAGTTTGAAAAGACAAAGTTTTCCTCTACAAAGCACCTTTCAGCTTGTCAACAACAATGACAACAGTGATAATAACAGCATCTTACATAAAAGGTTTTAAGTTTATATTTTACAGAGCTTTTAAATACATCATTTCATCAGCTATTTTAGGGCCCCTGGATGAGTCCGGAGGGACTCTCTCCTCCCCTTTCCTGAGCTGAGTAGTCCCTTCTGCTCATGAGTGTCCCTAAAGAGTACATTCAGGTGCAAAGTAACTGACTGAACTCTCCCTGTCTCATGGGGATTTCTGCTCCTAGAATTTGGCTGCTCAAGGGGAGAGTGAGTTTAAAAACTTCATTTGTTAGAGAATCTTCATTTTAGGAAGGACTTTTCTTAATAGTCCTTGCATTTGGTATTTCTTAAAGTCAGGGCTTCCTAAATTAAGGAGGAGGCTCAAATTCCACCCCTCCCCACCAACACCAAACTGAGAGACAGATCTGGCTCTCTGTTGAGTGAAGGGGCTGATTGGAAGAGGGAGGCCGGGGTCCTGGGGGGAAGCAGAGGAAAGCCAGTAGCCTGCTGAGTCCTTCCAGAACATCAGCGACCCTGGGTGGGGCCCTTGAGGGGCAGCTGAGTGGGCTTTGGGCTGGATGGGGAGAGGCTAGCTAGGGGTGGTGAAGTCTGGAGGGGCATGGAGGGTAGGAGGAGTGTTGGACAGATCCCAGGACACCCCTTCTGAGCTACCTAAAGACTTCTGGGCTCCTTCTTGAAATTAGTGTTTTCTAGCCTCAAAGTCAACAACCAGGTCCCCTGAGGTGACTTTGGTGAGAAATGCTCATTTCCTTGTCCAAGCCTTTCTCTACTTTGCCACCAGTTCTGTCCCTTTTTCAGACCCTGTTTTGCTAGTATCCCCCAAAAAACCTCTGACTCTCTGTGGCCTGGAATGTGTGGCTCTTTGTGGTTGAATCCCTGACTTTCCCTCCACCCCACATCTCTCTGCTCCCCAGTGTGTCTCACACTCCTGCACCAGGACTTTCCACATTCCACTGCTGTTTGAAAGCCATTCCCAGGAAAGTTTAGCTCCCTTTCCTGACCCTGGCCAACCATTGTTCCTCTAAGACCCAGGACTGGAAATTCCCTGCTCTGGACAGCCCCCTCTTTATACTGCCATTAGAGAACTGTTACATACAATAAAGGAATTGCTTCTGTCCCAGACCAGAGGCTCTTTAAGGGCAGAACACATTCTTTCTCATAAGAAGTGGCGTGGTTAGGTGAGCAAGTTCTGGAGCCTAACAACCTGGGTTCAAATCCTAGCTGTGTAATTCATTAACCATCTTCTCTTGGACAAGTTTGCGAACTTCTCTATGTTTCAGTTTATTCAACTGGTAAATGGGTTAATAACGTTTTTATTAAAGGGTTGTTTAGAGAATTAAATGTGTATATGTATTATATATAATACATATATATATCTCAACTAGAATGATATCTGATGTCTAACACAGTGAGCACTAAATACACGTGAACACTGGAAGCAAGCCCATCGCGAGGCGCAGCACCTTGGATACAGTACATGTGCATATTTTGAGTAAATGCCTCCATCTGTCCCTCCCTCGTCCTGTCTCCCACTTGCCTTGTGTCCCTCCTTCTTCCTTTCCTCTTCTTTATTCCTTGAGTCTCTGGCTGACCACTCATGCTGACAGAGCAGCGGGGCTCCTCTGGGGCCCTCGAGCTGGAAGGTCCCAAGTTCTCTTCTGAAGCTCCAGCAGAGGAAGCTCCTGGCAGGAGGGGTGGAGCCAGGAGCCAGAGGTTGGTGCAAACAGTGGGGACCCTGGGGTCGTGCACTGGAAGTGCGAGGGGGCAGGGGAGGGCAGGGGAGAGAAGTGGAAGAAGGGGTGGGAAGGCCCTTGAGGAACAGAGACCAAACAAGCTCCCTTTGCTCCTGTTTCCTAGATACACAGGTCTCTAGAGTTCTTCTATGTAAAGGAAGACAGAGTCAGGGATGAACAAGGCAGAGCAGGGCTGGAAGGGAAGAGGAGGGAAGCATCCACTTTTCTTTCTTGGGACACTCTGCCTGAACCTCCCGTTTACCTGCTCTGGAGAAGAGTCTGGAGCTTCAGGGCTGCTCTCCAGCTCTGGCTCCCTACTTGCCAGATGGTTGACAGAGCCTGGGCAGGACCCAGTGTCCTTGTCTGAAATGGGCTCACTGCTCTACCTTCCCTGAAGAGCAGGGTTGACAGATGAGGTGCTGTCCAGATAGGCACTGGCAAGTGCTGCAGGCAGACAATGGGTCTTTGTCCCCATGACAGGGCCGGAAGGACAGGTGGCAGAGGCCTGTTGGCTGGACATCTATGGGCTGAGGGCAGACTTGGCTGTGGCCTCCCTCTTGCGGAAGCCCTCACCATCTCCTCTCTTGCTATTGCGTTCCAGTGTGGAGTTGGCTGGGGGTGGAGGCTGGGCTGGGACCCTCCGGGGAAGAGCCAGTGCTGGGGGCCTGGGGGACTGCCATGCCCTCTTCCCTCCACTCACCAGGAGGACCCAGGAAGGGCAGGGTAAGAGCAGCTGTTTCAAAACTCAGCTAAACAGGCCCAGATTAAGTGCTGGGCAAAGTTCAAATGGCCAGTCCTCTAATGGAAACCAGGGCCATCCAGGAAGGAGAAAAGGGGTCTCCTGTGGGCTCAGACCCCGCAGCCCCCAGGGCAGATGGGCAGTCAGCCAGACCTCCAGAAGCTTTTCTGGGAAGAGATGGGCATCTTGGGCATAGACAACCTGGGCTGTTAAAAGCTGAGTGTGTGTTTAGGAAGAGAACAGAAAGAGTTAAGACCAAGAAACAAAGAACAGTCCTTCCTCTCTCTTCCTCTTGCGCTTCCTGAGCAGGTAAGCAGGTCCTGTCCCTGCGGGCAGGGCAGAGAGTGCTTGGGAAACAAAGGCTCCTCTTTCTTCCTCAGGCCGGCTCTCGTTTCATTATTCTTATCCTTTTGTTTAAAACATTTTTATTAGTCTTTTTTAATCTTAAAATTTTAAACAGCTGTTTATAAAAACACAACAAATACACAACACAAAACAAACCTCGGTAAAAATAACTCACGATATAGTACATATACTCAGACGGCGTGATAGATTTATATAATAAAAGATGAAAATAGTCACTTTCCATAATAAAAATAAGTTCTATTTTTTTGTTTATTTTACAATATACTTAATATTCTCTTCTTCTTTTGCTTCCTCTCCTTCATTCCGAAATCTACAGGGGCCCGTGGCTGTCCCTGACCCCACGAGCTGGAGTCTGAGAGGCAGCAGGCGGGGCTCAGGAACACGGGTGGCAGCCGCACTCCAAGTGTCTCTCCACCTCCTCCACGAACGAGGAGCCGTCTGTGCACTGGAAGACGTATTTCCGCCGCTTGCTGCGGATGGGCTGGCAGCACTGGGACCCGCAGCCCCCGTGACATTCCATGATGGGCACCTTAGAGGCTGTGGCACAGGACGCGTAGCCTTTCTGGCGGCGGATGGCCTCACGGACCACCTCCCCCAGGCATGGATTCTCTGCAGAGGGCAGAAGAGGTGGGGTCAGGACATTCCGGGGCCCTGGCAGGACCAGAAGTGGTTCCCAGCTGGGCGGTTCTGGAACACTGTGGTCTGAAGACCACGTTTGTCCACCTGCTGATGCAGCCATCTGTCCATCCATCCACCTACCCACCCACCCAGCAGCCCTCCATATTAAATGCCTTTTCTGTGCCAGGCTATATAGTAGGTGCAACCAAGCCTCAAGCACATGAGGAAGCAGCTTGGTTCCTTCCTTCAAGGAACTTCAAGTCCAAACTAGATGAAGGCCAACTGGTGGACTGTGGCCTAAATCCTGTCCCCAGACACGTGCTTAAGAACTAAACCACTTACCAACATTCAACAAGCCAGATTTCTGGGCTGGGGTTGTGGCTCAGTGGTAGAGTGCTCACCTAGCATGCGAGGCCCTGGGTTATATCCACAGCACCACATAAAATATATATAAATAAAATAAAGGTATTGTGTCCAACTACAACTAAAAAATAAATATTTTTTTTAAAAAGCCAGATTCCATTTAAGACTTTGACTTTCCGGCTTCTTTGAAAACCAGAAAGTCTGGCGAGGCTGGGCTGGCCTCCCTGCTCTGTAGTGATGGGTGGGAGCCGAGCGTCTCTGATGGGCCAGGAGATCTCCAGGCTGCCCCGGGTCCCACGGCCCTCAGTGCCTGTCTCCCTCGTCCAGAGTGCAGACACTAATTACAGGATCACTTAAGTGGATATAGCTGTAATGGGAAACTGAGGTGGGACAGGTTGATATAAGAGCATATGGCAAGGGAACCTGCCCTGGCCCAGGGAAGCTTCTCTGGGAAATGACGAGGGAGTTCAGATCTGAACAGGAGCAACAGTTGATGAGGCAAAGGGCCTTTGAGTCAAGATTTCCCCAAAGGCCTAGAACTGACAGGAGGGCTGGGCAGGGGACCCTGGTCTGCTTGAACCTTCAACCTGACCTGGCTCTTCACCTTCAGCCCTCTCCCGTCCTCATGACACTGGGCTACATCTGGAGCAGGTGCTGAGGAAGGCAGTAATGGACTCAGTACCAGGACCCTCCCCCTTACAGCCTGGACAAGTCACTGGTCATCCTGAGCCAGTTTCCTGGCCTGGAAGATGGTGACATGTTTGCCTGGAAGATGGTGACATGTTCTTCCTACTAATTCACAGCTCTTGTGAGCATCAGAGGAGACTGAAGGAGAAAGGGCCCTCTGCGTTTTAAGGCTTCATGTATTTGAAGGTGGTGAATGGATCTGTGTTAAGCTATATATAATTCTTTAAAATCATGAGGTGGTTTAAAGATTCAGAAAGAGTCTAGTGACAATGGGTGTGCATGTGTGTGCAAGTGGGAGCAACCTGGGACAGGGAGGGAGAGTACCCTGTGTCAACATGTGACAGCTGGGGCCAGGCACTATGGGAGCTGTTCACACTACCCTGAGGACTTTCCTGTGGTTATTTAAAAATAGTTAGTAAAGTTGAAGAAATGGGCAGTTTTGCTGGAGAATAGTAGTTCCTCTGGATTTGACACATGAGAGTTCTCTAGTGACGGGGGCCGGCTGCCTAGGATGCTGGTGGCAGGGAAGAGGACTTCTCAGGGTCCTTGTGGGAGAAAAACCTCCAATCACCGCAGCCAGGGGGCCACTCCCTCGTGTCACTAGCTGGGGGTTCATGAGAACGGGTCAGACCACCCACAGCAACAGGGGGACTGGACGGAGACTGCAGAGGAACTTGGCAGTGGCGAGGCGTCTCAAGGACCCACAGGTGGAAGAGAGAGAGAGGAGAGAGATGGAGGACAAGGGAAGAAGTGCCTTGTTTACTTTTGTTATCCCTTTTCTGTATCTCAGGGAAGTGCTGGCCTGGTGAATGAGTTGGAAGTATTCTGACCTCTTCAATTTCCTAGAATAGTTTGAGAAGAACTGTCATTTAATGTTTGATCAAATCTAGCAGTGAAGTCATGAAGCCTTACTTTGATGGGATAGCTTTTCATTACTGGCTCAATTTCCTTACTGTTTTTGTCTGTTTGGATGATCTGTTTTTTCATGATTCAATCTTGGCAGCTTGCATGTATCCAGAAATTCATCCATGTCTTCTAGGTGGTCTATGTGTAGTCATAATAGTCTCTGATGACCCTTAGTGGTTCTGTAGCATCAGTTGTAATGTCTCCTTTTTCATCTCTGATTTTGAGTTTTCTTTTCTTCTTTGTCTAGCTGAAGGCTTGTCAGTTTTTGTAGTGTTTTCAAAGAACTATCTCTTCATTTTGTTGGTCTCTATATTGCTTGTGTAGTCTCTATTTCTATCCTACCAGCTTCAAGTTCAGCTTGTTCTTATTTTTCTAATTGCTTGAGGCATGATTTTCATTTATTTGAGGTCTTATTTTGGGATGTAAGTACTTATTGCTATACACTTCCCTTTTCCTATGTCCCATAGGTTTGGGTATAACATGTTTCCATTTTCATCTGTCTCAAAGAAGTTTAAAGTTTCCCTTTTAATTTCTTCATTGATCCATTGATTGCTCAGGACCATGTTGTTTAATTTCCATGTAGTTATAAAATTTCCAAAGTCGATCTAGTTATTTTAGTTTTGTATTATGGTCTGGAAAGACACTTGATATCATACCTGTCTTCTTGAACTTGTTAAGACTTGTTTTGTGACCTTACATGCTCTGCTGTGGATAATGTCCATGTGCGGATGAGAAGACTGTGTATTCTACTATTGGATGAAATGCCTTGTGAATATCTGTTGGTTTCACTTGGTCTGTAGTATAATTTAATTCTAGTCTGCCTGTGTTGATTTTCTGTCTGGATGATCTGTCTGCTAATGAGAGTGAGGTCTCCTACTACCCTGTATTGCAATTTATTGCTCCATTTCTATCTATTAATATTTTCTTTATATATGCTTTGGTGCTGAGTGCATATATATTTACAGTTGTTACAGTCTCTTGCTTAATTGACCCTTTCATCATTATGTAATGGCATTGTCTCATTTATTAACTCTTGACTTAAAGTCTCTTTCATCTGATAGAAGTATAGCTATTCTGCTTGCTTCTGGCTTCCTTTGCATGGTATGTCTTTCCCATTCCTTCACTCTCTGTCTTTACAGGAAAGTGAGCCTCTGGTAGGCAGCATATAGTGGGGTCTTATGTTTTAAATTTCTTCAGTCACTCTGCATCTTTTGCTTTTATTTTTGCAATGCTTGGGATCAAACCCACAACCCCATGCATGCTAGGTAAGTGCTCTTCCACTGAGTTACACCCCAACCCATCTGTATGCTCTAATTGAGAAATTTAATCCATTTACATTCAAGATTATTATTGTTAGGTAAGGGCTTACTCTTACCTCTCTTGGTCATTTGTAGATCTTTTCTTATTTTGTCCTTTCTTTTTTAGTTCACCTTTGTAGTTTTCTGTATTGCTATGATTTGATCCTTTTTCTTGTTTGTGTATCAATTATAATTGTGTGTGTGTGTGTGTGTGTGTGTGTGTGGTTACCATGAGGTAAACACAAAGACTTTTACAGTAAGAGTAGACTATATTGATCCCAACTCTGGCCACATATAAATATTCTTCTTTCACCTTGATCCCTCAAAATTTACATTGCCGTTACTTTAATCTACATTTTTATATTTTGTATTCCATAACAACTCATTTTAGGCACATTATCCTTGACCATTTTGACTTTAAACCTTTATACTAGAAGTTTGAAAGATTTGTATACCACCATTACAATAATGGACTATTTTGAATTTGATTATAAGTTTATCTCTATCACTATAGAGATACTTTCATGTTTTCATTATAGTACTTACTGCCCTTCCACTTCTAGCATAAGCCCTCCCTTAAAGCATTTATTATATGATGAGGTAAGGAATGACCTCAGTTTTTCCTTGTCTAGGAATGACCTTATTTTCTTCACCATTTTTGAAGGATAGCGTTGCTGGGTATGATATTCTTGGCTGGCCGTGTTTTTCCTCTCAGCACTTAAACAGGTCATTCATTTTTTTTTTCTCTAGACTCCAAAGTTTCTGCTGAGAAATCTGCTGATAGTCTAAGGGGGAATCTCTCATGTGACTGGACACATTTCTTTTGCTGCTTCTAGAATTCTCTCTTTGACTTGTAACCACATGATTACAATGTACCTGGAAAGAAAATTTTGGGGTTGAATCTGTTTGTGGATCTTTGAGCTTCCTGAATCAGGATGTCCATATCTCTTACAAGACTTGGGAAATTTTCAGCTATTATTTCATCAGATAGGTGTTTTGTGCCTTTCTCTGTCTTTCCTCCCACTTTTACTACCCTAATGAGGTAATTTGTTATTTAATGGTGTCCCGTAAGTTGAGTATGCTGATTTCTTCTTCTTCTTCTCTTCCTCCTCATCTTCTTCCTTCCCTCTGATTTGATTGTTTCAAAGAACCCTTGAAATTTAGGATTTTTCTTCCACTTGATGTAGTCTATTGTATTTTTAATCTCATTCATTTAATTGTTCAGCTTCAAGATTTCTGTTTTATTTCTTTTAATATCTATTTTTGTATCAGATCATGAACTGTTTTTTCTGATTACATTGAGTTATCTTCCTGTATTATCTTGTAGCTCACTGAGTCTCCTTAGGCTCATTATTTCGTATTCTTTTTCATACATCCATCTTTTCTTTGTGGTCAGTTATGGAAGAATTATTCTGCTCCTTTTGAGGTGTCATGTTTCCTTGCTTTTTCATATTTCTTTTGTCCCTATATTGATTTCTGTGATCAGGTAGAACAGTCACCTTTTTTAATTTTATGGAGTAGAGGAAGACTTTCTCCTGTAGATGAGCCCTAGGGTGTCAACTGGGCAGGTGTCTTGGTTTGGTCCTAGACTGGTGCCATAGTGTGGTCTCCCTGCAGTTTCTTCTTCTATAACCAGTGTTGTGATGCCTGAGTGCTTCTGGTCTCAGTGCAGGAGTTGTGATGGCACAAGTGTGGTGTCACTGAGTGAACAATGCTGGCTCTCTGGCTGAGGAGCCACGTGTGGCAACTCGTCCAGACCAGGCTCAGCCTCCCTGTCATGAAGAGTGCATTGTGGGTCCAAGTGCCAAGGTCACAGCTGCCACACTGCCCCTGGACTTGAGCAGCTGCTGTCCTAGTGCTGCCATCATTTATGTGAGTGTGAGAAATGATGAGGGATGGAGGGATGTGGTGCCTCCTAGCTCCTGGGCCAGGGCACACTGTGGTAGGAGCTCAGGCCGTAGGTGTCAATGGGGGCCCCTTGGTTCTCGGCTGGTAGGAGTCTTGGTTCTGAGCCCACCTGGGAAGTGGGGTGGCTGAGCAGGGTGCTCCACTCCACTCTGTATGCTGCTGGCATTTCTCTGGTTACCAGCTCCTCCCCAACTCCCTCACCATGCTCCACAATGCTCCCTTAGACATTCTAGTCAAAATGTAGCTATTTATTCATTCATTATTTGAGTCCTTTTATGAGTTGGAAGAGGCATCTATTAGGTTGCTCTAAGCAGTCAACTTGCTGATGTCACCCAAAAGTCTGAACTTTTAATCCTGTCTTCACTATGTTCTCACTTCATCCTCCTAATAAACCTATGCAGGGGCACTGAGTCATCTGTACTTCTAAATGAGGAATTGTGACCCAGAGAGGTAACGTGTAGGGCTCAAAGCACAAAAGTTCCAAGTGGCAGAGCTTGGCCTTCCTCCTCATGGCCACTGTTCAGACTCTCAGCCTAGACTTTTCATGAGACTAGTTTATGTAGTTCAGCTTCTGACTTCTTAGCAGTGTTCCAGGCACCACATACTTTACAGCTCATGTAGTCCAACAACTGGACAAGGCAGTGTGGTGACCAACACCTAAAATAGCTCCCACTGACCACCATGTCCTGGTATCCACATTCTCTATGTAGTTACCTTCCTCAGTGGATGCCCTTGACCCATGAACCAAAATGATACAGAAATGGTGGTGCAAGTTCTTTTCAAGGTGAGTTGGGGACACTGAGGCTTTGTGGCTTCCTCTTTGCTCTCCTGATTTTTTCCCCTGTGCAGGAAGCCAGCCTCCCTGTTGTGAGAGCCCTCAAGTATTCCAGGTAGAGATGTCACGTAGGGAGAAACTGAGGGCCCCTGCCAACAACCAGCACAATGGAAATGCACCAAAGTGGAGGCAGATCTTGCTTCTTGGATCAGCTTCTGGAAACCCACAGCCCTTGCTGTGCGAAATCCAACCTTGGCCGATTCCAGCTAAACCGTTTTTGAGTTTCTGACCCACCCAAACCATATGAGATAGAAACAAATACTGTGGTTGGAGCTGCTATGTTTTGGGGTCAATCTGTTATGTAGCAGTAGGAATCTGATACAGGAAGCTATAGAATTGCCCCCATTTTCAAGCTGAGGGACTTGAGGCTTCGAGTGTGACTGAATCAAGGGCACATGTCACCTGAATGGCACAGACAGACTGAGGGGTTCTGGGCTTGGAGTCGAGCTCGGACTCCTGCATCCCTCCCGGGGCTCTTCCCATGAGCACAGTAGACTCACCTCGCTCACAGTGCTCCCCACTAAAGCCTGGCTGGCACAGGCAGTGGGGCTCCCCTTGGTCTGAGATGTGGCACTGCCCATGGTGGCACTTGAAGGCTGAGCAGGCATTGGCAGAGTCGTTCTTGTGGTCACACAAAGCTCCTCCATAGCCCTCGGCACACTTGCACACATATGAGCTTCCGGTGGCCACACATTTTCCATGGTTGCAGCTGGGGGCAGAGAGGAGAAGGAGGTGGGAACCAGAGCAGGTAACTTCCAGAAGCTTCCCTGTCCAACCCAGCCAGGGACCAGGGATCTGGCACTGTGGGATCTTGAGCTGAGTGCAGCCCGGGAGCCGTGGCCCTGTGGTCTGCCTGTTCCAGCCCAGTGGCCGAGCATCTGTCTTTTCGCAAACTCCCTGTCCCAGTGGCCAGCTGCAACTTCCCCCAATGTCCTTTACCAGCTGTGACAATAGGCTCAGTTGCCAACAGTCTCTCTCTCTCTCTCTCTCTCTCACACACACACACACACACACATACACACACACAGTGCTTGGAGGAAAGTTAGCTTTCTGTAAACATTTCCATGGCTCTATCATCTTAAAGGATAACACTATGACTACTACCACTACAGGTTGAGCATATTTAATCCAAAAATCTGAAATCTCACATGCTTCAAAGCCCACATTGAGCACCAACATGACAGCACAAGTGGAAAACTGCACACTTGACTCCGTGGGATGGGTCACAGTTAAAATGCAGGTGCTCTAAAAATATTGCCTGAAACTACCTTAGGGCTATGTGTACACACTATATAGGAAGCAAATGAATTTTTTATTTAGACTCAGGTCCTACCCCCAACATGTCTGCCAGCCCTTGTATACGTGCGTAAATATTCCAAAGTCTGAGAATACCCCAAATCCAAAACACCTTTGGGCCCAGGCTTTTCAACCAAGAGCTATATTAACCTGTACCCTGAGCAGTGCCACTTGCTGTGTGGCAGGCTTGGTGATAAGCTCTTTTGCCACAACCACCACACCTCTGCAGCTGCCAGGAGAGCCTCATCCACGTCTCCTAGGTGGGAAGACTGGTGGTGAGGACTCCATTTTTAACCACAATGCATCATTTTCCCTAATGGGATGACATTCAGAGCCAGGATTCATGCTGATTTCAGATTCAAATGTACACACTCAAGAGTAACACAGGAAGTTCAAACCCTTTACAGCCATCCCTCTTTCTAATCCAAAATGTTGTTTCCAGCTTGTTTAGGCAAACAAATGACCACTCTTGGCTCTGGAGGCATTTTTGGTTGAATCAGATTTCATAACACTGGGAATACCAGGTCTCTTATATTAAGCATAGGCCTGGCACATAGTAGGCCTTCCATAAATGTTTGTTGAATGAGTAATAATGAGAACCCATCAGGCGTGCTCTGTGTGTGGTCATGCAGACCTGGGGCCTTACCCAGGGCACTGGCTGAGGGGCAGCCACCTGGGGCTGAATTCACCCTTGTTCTACTCACCCTTCAATGGCTCAAGGGCTGTATGCACCCAAAGGGGTGCCTTTTTCTAATCACAAGAGGCAACACGGGAGCTGGTGGTATCTCCAGACAGAGTCACAGGAGGCTTGGCAGCCTGTTTTGAGTGAGGCTCTGTGCTGATGTCTCTGAGTGAGGCCTGCAGCCTGGATGCGCAAGCTCAGCCTCTTGACTGAGCAGACATGGCACCATCCACCACGTGACCACATTCCTCCATCAGTGCCCCCTCCTCAGGTGGGGACAGGGCCAGCGGGCATGCTGGGAGCCTGGGACTGTCAGGACACTGACCTGTGACCGAGGCAGGGGTCCCGGGCTTCCTGGTCACACAGCGGGCCGGTCCAGCCTGGGTGGCATTCACACACCACACTGTCCTTCTCCACGGAGCGGCACAGGCCATGCCGGCACACGGTGCAGGACTTGCAGCCTGGTGAGACTCCTGGGGACTGGGGCGGGAGGGCCTTGAAGTCCTGCAGCTCATTGTTGATACGCACCTCATGAATGCAGCCATGGAAGCCACCCAGCGGTCGGTCCGCGCCCTGGCGCAAGGCCGAGAGGCCGGTGGAGGTGGGGATGCCTGTGGGGGGGTGGAGAGGGACAGCCTGAGCCCCTCCTCCCACCCACCCAGTCCTGAATGAGAAGGTGCCCTTTACACGTTCTTAGTTAAGGGCCTCTGCTATTCAGATTGAAATGATGGCCTACACCTGGGCCATATCCTGGGAAAGAACTGCACTCTTGGTCCTGCACTGGGGGCGAAACTTGAATTCAGCTAGGCACAGTGGTGCAGGCCTGTAAATCCCAGTGGCTTGGGAGGCTGAGGCAGGAGGATGGCAAGTTCAAAGCCAGCCTCAGTAACTCAGTGAGGCCCTAAGCAACTTAGAGAGGAACTGTCTCACAATAAAAAACAAAAAGGACCAGGGATGTGGCCCAGTGGCTAAGTGCCCCTGTGTTCATTTCCCAATACCCCCCCCAACTCCCCTCCCAGAAAAAAAAAAAAAAACAGCACTTGAATTTATTGTCAATGCTTAAATATAGAAGATACCCCACAAAAATCCTGTATTTTGATCTTCCTTAGAAAAAATGAGGGGGCAGTGATTAGCACTGCCACGTGGACTACTGGCTCAATTAAAGGGACCACCAGCTTAGGCAAGGGATGGGTGGTACCAGGTCACCCTGAGAGCCTCCAGACCCTGCAGGAGAACCCATGGCAGCCCAGCCAGAGTGCGGGAAGGAAGATGCGGAGGAGCAACCTGCCCAGTGGAACTCTGGGTTCAAGGTCCTCTGGCCTTTACTACCCTCTGGGCTTTGTCCCCCTTGTCCAGGTCTAAAAGGCACGGGGGGGGGGGGGGGGGGAAGGCCGGGTTTGCTTCCCACCAGATCTGCTTTGGTCTTCTTTCCTGCTCCACTTCCCGCCACCCCCTGCTGGGGGCCTGTGGCCAGGCCTGAGGCTGGAAGTGTTGTTTTGGCCATGAGTAGAGCAGGTGGGGGGGCAGGAGAGGGAGGGGAGCAGGTGGGGGGGGGAGCAGGTGAGGGGGGTAGCAGGAGAGGGAAGGGAGCAGGTGGGCGGGGAGCAGGTGGGGGGGAGCAGGTGGGGGGGAGCAGGTGAGGGGGGAGCAGGAGAGGGGGGGAGCAGGTGAGGGGGGAGAGCAGCTGTCTTCCTCTGGGGGGAAGCTGTGTCCTGTGTACCTTCTGGGATGGCTCTGGGTCAGGCGTACTCTTCTGGTCCCCTGCACCTGGATAGCCTGCTCCCAGGGCACACTGTGGGCCTGGGCCAGCCCCCTGAGGTGACTTGGGTGGAGTCTCAGGGATCCCTGTGTTGACCAAGCTGCTCTAGCGGCTTTTTATAATGCCCAGGTCGTCACCTGACTGGCTTTGTATGGGTGCTGAGATGGGAGCAGGGAAGCCCTACGGTAGGTCTGGGTCTAGTGCTGGAGCAGAGGGCTGGAGACGGTGGGGAGGGAGCATTCATTACCTCCAAGGTAGAGGGGGCTGTTGATGCCCACGGCAGGCTGCTTCTGGAGCTTGCCCAGGCTCTTGGGGGCTCCTTTGTCCACCACCAGGTTCAAGGTCTGGTTCAGCATCACCAGCTCCACACTGTGAAACTGCCCATCATTCACTGTCTCCACACTGGGCAGGGAGAGAGGGAAAGAGACATAGGTTCAGTGAGGGCCTTCCACAGCCAGTACTGGGCTGCAAACTTGGCCTGCATGACTTGCATCTTGTTTTACTTTCTATTTGGAAATAGCTTCAAGATTACATACGCCCCAAAGTAAAAACAGTGCAGAAAATACTTACTACCCAGGTTCTCCTATTATCCCCATTTATCTCTCTTTACACACATACACACGGTTTTTCTGAATCATTTAAAGATACATACACCACAGGCCTTTACCCCCAGATCCAGTCTGTGCTCCCTAAGGACAGGAATGTTTTCTTATGTAAGCACGGCATAGTCATCAACTTGGGAACCACTTAACATTCATACTGTACCTCAGAGCATCTAATTTTCCAAAGGATCCAACAGGGCCCTTGTGGCATTTCCCCTTCTAGTACGAGATCCTGTCCAGGGGCAGTTATTCCACCTGGCAATCTTTGTTTGTGTTTTTTCTGTCATTCACAGAGCTCGGCACCTCCTTCCTCAGGCCATCTGCATACCACCCGGGCATTGTTTACTTGACAAATTTTACCTTTGATGGCCCCGTTTCCCCCTCAAATACCAGTAAGCCTATAAGGTTAGCCCTGTTCTAAGAAATATTGTTCAAGAAAAAAGTTTGGCTGTGATTTAAATTTTTTTTTTCCAAGTATCCAAAACACATTCTCTTACAGCCAGAGTTTCAGCAGTGTGTCTTCATTTCACCTAAATTCATCTCATGGGCTTCCAGGGGTGTGCATCACACATTTGGGGAAGTTAAGTGTCTCAACGCCCCTGCCAACTAAGAGTTTTGTCCCAAGTACAGAGATGAGAAGATGGAAGCTCACGGAAATTAGTTTCCTGAAGGCCTTACTAAGTGGTTCAGCAGGGACTTGAATGAAGGTACCCTCCGCCCCCCCTTCTGGCCTCTGCTGGTACCAGCAAGCACTCACAGAGGGCTGACGGGCATGGCCAGGCATGGTGCTAAGTGGCTCACTCCCATTATGTGACTGTTGAGATAATTCTATGAAGTGGATACTAGATATCCTATTTCACAGAAAATACACTGAGGCCCAGAGGGGCTAGGTGATCTGTCAGAGGTCACCCAGCTAATACATGCCAGAAACAGTATTCATAGGGAGAACTTTTAACTCCAGAGTTCTGCTGGGAGTTCCCGGGGCTGGGAAGGAGTATCGAAGGTAGATGGCAAGACTCTGGAGATGTGCCACCTCCTTCTTCCCTGAACAAAAGGGCTCACTGGGTGGACCGATCTTGCTCATTCAGGTGTGGTGGTCTGTGCACACTCCCTCTCTCCTTGCAATCTCCCAGGGGAATCCTGTAGCCTTCAACAAGAGGGTTCGAGGGAGGGGTGGCACTGATTTCTCAGGTGGGCAGTTTCAGTGAGTGACCCAGATTTAGAAATTTCAGCTGGAGAGAGAGTGTGTGGGAGGTACCCAGGGAAGACAGGCAAGGCTGGGCTGGAGTGGGGAAAGCAGAGCCCATTTCGTCCCTGCTGCTGGGTGGCACCACGGCCAGTCAAGCAGTCGTGGAGACAGACCACCCTGATTCCCTCAGACGCAGGTGGGGGGAAAAAAAACCTCTCAAAATTATTGTGATGATCGAATCTGAGGGGGATGTGGACATGCTCTGCAGACTGTAAATTACTGGGACCATGTGAGCGGTTATCAGTGTATTTAGAATATTTATACCAAGAACCTATCATCGCCTGCAAACATAGGGCTCCTACTTCAGTGCTGATTCTTGGAAGAAAGAGGTGGCGGAGGAGACATGCAGGACCCCAGGACCCACCCATGCAGTGGGCGATCTCTTCTCGCATCTGTTCACCTTCCCACCATTTATCTGCCAATGCTCCCTCCTCTCCCTCCCATCTCTCCCCCTTCTGCTTGATCATGCATCCATGATCCATCTGCCATCTGCCATCCACTTGAGGGTGCATGCAGGCCACACTGTCCTAGGTGCAGGATGGACAGGGCACCTGCCCTCACAGAGCTCACACTCCACCTGCCTCAGTCTTTCCTCTAAATCAAATAGCCAGCTTATCTATACACATCCATGACACAGGGGAGTGGTGGGAAGAGTGGGACTGAGAGAGACCAGCAGGAATCTGGTTCTGATAGGGAGCTGGGCAGCTGCCTGGAAATGAAGTTGCCTGATTCTAGAAGCTTCTCCGGCTGCTCCAAGCCGTGAGCCCAGGACAAGGCTGAGCCCGGGATCCTTCAGAGAGTTGGTGAGTGTGTACAGGGGGCGGCTGGTGTGCAGGGACCACAGACCCTCACACTCTGCAACCACATGTGCAAGGAGACACACCCTGGACCATCTCTCAGTGACATTGTCCTGAATGCACGCTGGCTCCTGTGTGAGTCTTCAGTCACTGTGACAAACACCTGAGACAATCCATTAAGGGAAGGAGAGATGGACTTTGGCTCATATTTTCAGAGGTTTCAGTCCCCGGCTAGTGGCCCTGCTGCTTTAGGCCTCTGGTGCACGGGACATCATGGTGGGAGAGTGTGGCAGAGGGGGCCTGCTCACCTCACTGTGGTCAGGAAGCAGAGAAGAGGAAGGGGCACGCCCCCATGACCTAACTTCCTCCCTCTAGGCCCCCTCCCAAAGGTTCCACACCCTCCCATTAGTGCCACAGACAGGGACCAAGTCATTAACACATGGACCTTTGAAGGACATTCAAGACTGAAGCTATGGCGGCTCCTATCCTAGAGGTGTCTGAATGGACGCCAGCAGCAGCCTGCCCTGGGGGCTCTGGGTAGGCAGGCAGTCTTGGTGTTTCCTTGGTGTCGAGGTCCAGGGCGCAGGGCAGCTCTTTCCTATTCTGGACACACACAGCCACGCTGAGCACACACCACTGGCTCCTTCCTGGCTGCTGGCTCCAAGCCTTCTCTCTTCTCTGCTTTCTGAGGTCTCAGCCCAGGGCCTGTGCGTGGCCTCGAAGGCAACCATCCTGGAGACAGTGGTTTGGCAGTTGCTGCAGCAGCAGAGAGCTGTGGCTGCCAGCTCCTGTCCCAGACAAAGAGCTGGGCTCTCGAGGGCCCAAGAGCCTGGCTCTTGCAGACAGGCCCCTTCTCCTTCCAGTTCATGCTCAGGGGTGAGGATCTATCACCCTGGCTCCTCCCACTTCTGTGAGCCCAGTTTCTGTTTGAATACAATGAGTTTTGTACTCATTTTACACTGGGCCTTAGTGGGCAGTGCATGATCCTTAGAAGCTCTCAGGAACCGTGGAAATGGTGACTTCCTCCTCCATGATGTGGGCGTGGAGGAGCCAAGTCTGGGTGTGGCAGAGACCGGGAGCGCAGGTTGGTGGACTGTAACAGAGCCTGTCTGCTGGGTTCTCAACTGCACGGCCATGGGGGATTTCAGAGTCTATCATTTCAATGGTTTATCACCACCTCTGAGGAGGGTACTCTTGTGGGCCCCTTATTATATAGAGATGGAACCTAAAGACCTTGACCAAGACCACAATGCTTGAAAGTGGTGGAACCGAGGACTGATTCCAACCCAAAGCTCTCATGACCACATCCACGTCAACAAATGCTCGTGGGTTGACAGGTCACCTTCTTCCAGGCACATCTGAACCAGGGGCGCCTATCATGCCCAAAGCCAGTGCTTTTCAAGCTGTGGGTTCCAGAGGCCTGGAGTGCACTGTGCTGGAAGTTCTGATTCTTTACCATCTCTTCCAAATCAGGTTGGTTTCATTTCTGCCTTTAAAAAAATACATGATTCTTGGCCTTAAAGATAAAATATAAATGGGAAGAAGGCTTTGCTGCTTTCAAAGAAGAGAAAAAAATTGAAGAGACACAACAAAAACCTAGTGTTTGGTTTAAAAGAAATGGCCACACTGTGTTCCAAGCCCTGGTCATCGGTCCCCTAGAGACATATGTAGGGATGTCAGGAGAAGACAGGGCCCTGAGAGTCTTCCTCATCATCCACTGAGTCAGACAGAACTGTCATCAAGTGCAGGACGGAGAGGACTGCAGGTGGCAGAGCTGGCTGGAAGGCTCCTGCAGGGGCTGGGGCGAGCACGCCCATAGGCCAGAGTGGCCTGTGGGGTCCTCTTCTGCCTTAACCACAATGGTGGGTGGGCACGTGTTGGGGGCTTGGTGGGGCCAGGGTGGTGGGGTCAGGGGCTGAGTTGCTATGCAAAGCACAGGACTAGCCTACTCTCCCTGAGCACTCTCAACCCCAAGGTGGGGCCGCACTTTTTTCTCCATTTGGAAACGGGAGATGCCAGGCCCAGAGACTAAGATGCTCCATGTTACAGTGGAAACAGCAGAGGCAGGACTTAAATCCATGTTCCCAGCCAAGGGACCTGAGGCCACTGTGCCAGGAAGGGGATTATGAGGGTGGTCAATCCTCCAGGTGCTGGAGGCCCTTACCTGTATGCTGAGTGTGACCAGTAGGTGGCGACAGAGCACCGCAGGAACAGAGTCCCTGGGCTTTAGTTAGGCAGCAGCCTGAGACTTAGGCCCCACTGCAGCCAGCCCCACTGCTGTACCCTAGGGACAGGTCATGCTTTCTTCTGGTTCTGGGTCCAGTGCGGAGGCAGAGCAGGCTTGGGTGGACACCTATCCTGGGTTTGACCCCAACTCTGCCACTTACTGGCCTCCTCTGAGTAGTAGGCTTCTCATCCCCCTGAAGAGGAGTGATGGTTTGCCCGGGGCCTGTGCTGAGGACCACGAAGGCCTCGAGAGTAAATGGAGTGATGGTAATTACGGCTCTAGGAGCACGTGCCACACCAGGCAGAGCTTGCTTGCATATACTGTTTTAAAGAGTCGAACATTTAAAAACTGGGATATTTACACAAACCTCAAATTTCCAGCCCCTCCTGATGCTCAGAACCCTTCGAGGTCATCTGCCCTCGCATGAGGCTGCCCCCTCCAGGCTGCCGCAGTCTCCACTGCTCCTTAGTGCACTCCCATATACAGTCCCACGTCTGCTCCTTGCTGGGCCCCTGGCCTCGCAGACGGGTGAGCTTGCCTCTGACAAGTCTGGCTCTGAGCATCAGAGAAGTCTGTCCCCTTCTGGGGCAGGCAGGGGCTCAGGTGGGCTTTCCTGCGTCTTCGTCCTGGGGCCTGGAATGCGTCTTGTGCCTTCACCACCTCCCGTGACCACAGTTGGGCAGACGAACAAAGCAGGCACCGGCAGGAAGCCAGCTGCTGCAGCTCTGTAAATCCGCTGGCTGCTCACCCTTGCCCTGGCCTGGCTCATGGGCGTCTCTGGCCGTAGGAGTCTGCAGCTGCCAACTCCACGGGTGAGCCCTGGCATGGCTCCCTGGCTCACAGCCCAAGGCTGAGGTGGCAGGCTGGTGTCAAGAGGTCACTGTAGTCACTCTGAGGAGATCCGGTTCTATTGGCTGGAATGGCCTTGTGAGCTCCTCTGCAGCTGTCACCTCAGCCTGTAGCCCTTCATCTTCTGATGGTGACCCCTCCCAGGGCTTCTCCTGTTCTGTGGAGATGCTCCTCAGTGTGGAGAAGCCTGTGGAACACTGCCTCCTCCCCAGGAACCCTTCCCCGTCCCAGCAAAGTATCTGCTCCTTCTTCAGAAGTGTCCCCACCGCATGCTGCGGTGTCTCCATGGACACCTGTTTGCTTCTCCCCAGGTAACTGCTGCTTCTTTAACCCATTAAGCCCCATTTCTGGAACACCTGAACAATTTACACTGAGCAACAAACACACATCTTTTGGTAACTTTGAAACACATATTTGTGTTTGTAGAGTTCTAATATTTTAAGAAAAGTAATAGGTAAATGATTTGTGATAATATTCATTAAAATTATTGCTATCACTAATATTATTAATGATATTATATTAATAAGCTCTAGATTATTATTATTTCCAACATATTTTAATGCACCTTTGTTGATTTCATTGAAATATTCACAGATTAAAAAACCTGGGGGTGTAATGTGCTGAGCTGTGTCTTCCTCTCGGGCCTGTGTGTGCCTGATCCCATGGCTCCTACTCTGGGCCCGCGTCTGGCCCAAACGAGGTGTTTGGTTGTGTTTTCTGAGTCAATGGAGAGTGGAAGAGAATACTATAGGTTGAACTTCCCTAATCAAAAAATCCAGAACTAAAAATACTTCAAAACCTGAAAATTTGTGAGCACTCACTGATGTCACAAATGGCAAATTCCATACCTGATCTCATGTGATGCATCACAGTCAAAATACAGGAGCAATAAAAAGATAATACAAAATTACCTTTGGTTAGCAAGGCCCTAAATCACTTAGTGAGACCCTGTCTCAAAATAAAAAATAAAAAGGGTTGGGATATGGCTTAGTGGTTAAGCACCCTGGGATTCAACTCCCAGTACCAAAAACAAAACAAACAACAACAACAACAAATTACCTTTGGGCTAAGAAAGGTGTATATGAAATAGAAGTGCGTTTTGGATTTAGACTTGAGACCCATGCCCAAGATAGCTCATTATGTATAAGCCAATATTTCACAACCTGAAAACTGTCTGAAATCCAACACATTTCTGGATCCAACCATTTTGGAGAAGGGATACTTAATCTGGAGAAAAGGATTTGGAAGCAAAAATACTTCAATGTGGGATTTCTGGAGCCTGGGGTTCCTTAAACCTAGAGCTGAAGGGCAGTGAAGATTGTCCCCCAGCTGGCATGGGGCTCCAGGCCGGGGTTTCCTGGATGCACATCACTGGGATCTTCCCATGGAGAAGCCTGGCATGCCCCTGTGCCACGTCTCAGACAGGAGCACTCTCTCAGCATGCTGCCAGTGCCTCCTGTGAGCCCGCCCCTGACTAAGCCACAGCACCACCAGCCAAGGTCAGCTGGGGAGGGGGGCTCCACTCAGGAGGCCCAGGCTGTGCACGGGGCCTAGCTGCACTGGAAGCTGGCCCCGCCTCCTCAACAGGTCTGTGTCCAGCTCAGCGGGCCAAGCACCGTCCCAACCCTCAGCAGTGCCTAGGAGGGCCTCCATGGCGCACAGTGGGGGAGCTGGGGCAGGAGGCAGGTCACTTGCCCACACCCAAGTCTGTGTAGCACCAGAGGCTTTTTGCCAGGCAAGAGGTTGTTGGGTTGCTGGTGGCCCTGCCCCCCTGGCTTTCTGTCCTCCCGCTTGGAGCAGGGCCACTGGTTCCAGGAAGAGATGTCAGGAGGCCCCGTCTCCAGGGAGCTCTGAGGCCACCGGGCGAGTTGCTTCTCCATGTCCACTGACCCGGTCCTCCCCACCCGGGATGCTTCTGGTGCTTCCTGCCCTCCAGGCTAGTCTTTCTGTCTGGCTGATTCCCCTGTCCTGCCTCTTGTCTTTGCTGCTGTCCCAGCCTGGCGTGCCACCTCTTCTCTGCTCACACTAGTTTCTCGCCTTCATCAAGATGCAGCTCAAGCCGGGTGCCATGACGCACGCCTGTAATCCCAGCGGCTCAGGAGGCTGAGGCAGGAGGATTGCCAGTTCAAAGCCAGCCTCAGCAAAAAGTGAGGCACTAAGCAACTCAGTGAGACCCTGTCTCTAAATAAAACACAAAATAGGGCTGGGGATGTGGCTCAGTGGTCGAGGGCTCCTGAGTTCCTTCCCCATACCAAAAAAAAAGAAAGAAAAAGAAAGAAAGAAAAAGATGCAACTCAACTCAACTGGCTGCTTCTCCAGTGAGTTCCCACGTGTGAACTGGTGGTCCTCAGACCTACGCATCGGAATCACTTGGAAGGGTCCTTAAAACACAGATCTGTTGGGGACAAGCCCCACCCTCACATGGGCCCAGGTGTTGGATTCAGAAGTGCTGGGGCAGATTCTGCATTTCTACTACCTTCCAGGCACCAGCTGCTGCCTTGGGGCCACACTCAGAACCACTGTTTTTTTTTTTTTCCCATTACTGTTTTTGGTGTTGTGGATGCCCCCCGGGGTCCTGTGCCTGTTAGGCAAACACCCTGCCACCAAGCCATATTCCCAGCCAGACCACGGGTTGTAACCAGTGGTTTTCACACTGGGTTTATTGGAGGAGAATCAGGGGCCTGGATGGTTAGGGTGGGAATGTGGCTCCATCCCCGGCCCCCAGGGCACTTTGGCCTCTATGCATTTAATACTCTTGAGTTTAATATCAAGTTTCAACTGAAGAAAAGATTTAGTTGGGGGGAAGAGGAAGTCCAACTATTTCTTCTTTTCACCAACCCCAATGGAATACGCTCCTGTTTCCATGGTGAAGAGCATGGCTCTACTTTGTTCTGGGATTTCCCCAAGTTCTGCTCCTGGTCCACTAGTGGGTTTTTTTAAAAATATTTTTTTAGATGTGTAGACCTTTATTTTATTCATTAACTTATACATGGTGCTGAGGATTGAACCCAGGGCCTCACACATGCCAGGCAAGCGCTCTACCACTGAGCCACAGCCTCAGCCCCCACTAGTGTTTTTCATAATTTGGGGGTAACAAAGACATCTAAAAATTCTAGTGGTTACTTTTAAGAATTATTATAAAGATATTTGTAACTAAAATTATTTTATATTTTAGCTCTTTAGTACTGGTTTCAGATTTAGTAGTTCTTTTAAATTTGGGGATTTTTGCACAGACTTTACCTGTTGAACATCACTTATCCAAAATGCTCTGAAAATTTTTCGAGTGTTATGTTGGCGCTCAGGAAATTTCAGATTTTGGAGAATTTCAGATTTTCCCATCACTGGGGGAGGGTGTGCCCTTGAAGGGATATTGGGACACCAGCCCCTTCCTCTCATTCTCCCTCTACTTCCCCACCACCAAGAGGCCAGCTGCTTGCTTCACATGCTCCCTGTGATGGTGTGCTGCCAATGCACAGGCCCAAAGTGACGTGGCCAAGCAACCATGTACTGAAACCTCTACAACTGTCAGCCAAAATAAACCTTTCCTTTTTATAAGTTGATTTCCTCAGGCATTTTGTTACAGTAGTGGGAAGCTGACTAGCACACAGGGTGACTGTGTTCTGAAGTTGTCCTTCAGGGCAATTTGAAAGTCACTGAAGCAGTGGCCCTATTTCCCAATGCTCTTGAATGTCTTTCCCTTGTATTGCATGCTAATTGCCCCGTTTTCTTTCTTAAACTAATAAAAGATTAGAATGACATTTTGAAAAGGGCGTCTCATTAAGCAGCCTCATTCCCATTGGAGCACCTGGCTCCAAGCACAGTAGCCAGCTGGCCATTTATCTTATGGTAATGAGGTGTCATCTTCCCGCTGGAGCCTGCCTTCCTGGCCTGCTTCTGCCTCCAGTGCTGCCCTTCTCCCTCCCACCTGCCACTCTGTGCAGGAAGTGTGTGTGTGTGTGTGTGTGTGTGTGTGTGTGTACGCGCGCATGCGTGCTGGGGTATCAGCTTCACCCTGGCTGCTCTGGTGTGGAGGTGAGTAGTGGCTGGGGGCGTGGTCCTCACCTGTACACCGTGGTTGGAGGGGAGCTCAGGCTGTCATAGACCAGCCTCACGTGGCCCTGGTACAGCTCCAGCGCCAGGGGATCATTGTCTCCCTTGTAGAGAAGGATGCCATTGTCCTTGTCAGTGGCCACCTGGAGAGAGGGCCGGGCACGTGGGTTAGGGCTTACGTGAGGTCAACCTCTCCCACCCCTCTCCCAGCACCCTCTTCCAGATGGCTGCTTCTGGGGGTACTTTAAGATACACCAGCTTCTGGCTTCACCCAGAGTGAGCTCACATGAATCTCTCGGGCAGGTAGGTTGAAACTTCTCCAGGGGATTGTGAAATATTGCCAAGGCCGAGAACCAGGGGGCGCTCCTGTGCCCGCCACCTGCACTCATGGCCGGCACCTGTGTAGCTGTGAATGGGATGTGAAGCAGGGAAGTTTGACAGGACCCTGGAGATCTGGGGTTGGGACCCAGAAGTTAGGTCTCTGGGTGGAGCTGGGGGTCCAGGGACAATGGCAGGTAGAGCTTCCTTCCTGTTTGTGCCAGGCCAAGCCTCAGCTGAGGGGCCTGCCCACAGGCTGCAAGCTCCGCCAGGTGAGGAGTTTGAACATTGTGTCAATGCAACCCCAGCACCTGGAAGAGTCCCTGGGATGTATGGGTGCTCTCTAGATCTTTGTTGAGCAGTATTCCCCCATAAACTCCAACTTTAACCTGGGCTAATTGGCCATAGCCAGAAAGAGAACGGAGCCCCAGTGAGTGCCCAGCAGCACCCAAACCCAGGGGCAGGGGCCACTACCTGGTCAGCACCATCCTGGTACGTCTTTGGGTCTCCTCTTCCATGAGGAGCCTGCGGGTGGGGCCTATTCTTTGCCCATCCTCCGCCTTCCCTGCCCACACCCACCTCCAGAACAGCATTTAGCTTAACCAGAAATACAGTCGGGAATACACGGGCTCAGGTCCAAAGCAAGGAACCTGAATGAAGCTACTGGGAAAAGAACTTGTTCACCCTGAATGGGTTTCCACTGTGTTTGTCCTCTGGACTCTGCACTTGCTGAGAAATCTGCTGGTCCTCTCCAGTCTGCGTTCACCCTGTACCCTTGGCCTCCACTCTTCTACTTTCATCAGAAAACTCCTACTCATCCTTCACCTCTCAGCCTGGGCATCACCGCCTCTGAGATGCCTTCCCTGATTCTCCCTGCAGAATGGGATTGCTGTCCCTCCAGCACATTCCCGCAGTGACCCTTGTGCCGCTGTCTCTCTCCTTGTCCTCCTGGATGGACAAGGTGCTTTTTCTGTTTTGTCTACTATCGAAGCCCTGCTTTTCAGCAGTATCTGTATATAATAGTTGAACAAATATTTTCTAGAGGAATGAGGGAATAAGACTAGAAACGGGAACTGCCATTTGCAGTGAGGGCTGGTCAGGAGGCATCTAGAAATCTATCTAGATAGAGCGAGTCCTACTTCCCCAAAGCTGAATGTTGTCCTGGATAATTTTTGGGGGGAAGCAGCAGAACTGCTAAGACATGAGGCATCCTGGTGGTTCTCTGGTACAGCTCCAGCACCAGGGGATCATTGTCTCCCTTGTAGAGAAGGATGCCATTGTCAATTCAGGGACTGGGGGCAAACTGGGTCCTTCCAAGGGCAGAATGGGGCAAGGCGCACCTGCAGAGAGATGTTGGCCTGGGGCCGGACCTTGGCGGAGGCCAGTTCCACGTAGGAGTCCTTGCCCACGAAGTTCACAGTGATGAGTTTCTCGCATCTGGGGCCAGCAAAGCCTGGGGGACAGCGGCAGGTGGGCTCCTGCTGCACCACAATGCACTGAGCCCCGTTCTGGCACTCGTACTGGTCACAGGGGCTGGTCTGCAGCAGAACCATGGGCGGGGGGTGCTCACAGAAGAGTCCACTGGTAGGAGGGGAGGGAAGCATGGGGGGAGCACAGGGCAGAGGGGGGAGAAGAGACAATCAGTTACCAACAAGGAGCCTCTGGCAGAGAGCCCGTGAGACGGGGGGAGACAGTTCCAGGGTCTAGTTCCAGCCCTGCCACTACCTGGGGCAAGTCCTTTTATTTATTTTTTCTTTAAGTCCAAGTTTTCCCATTTTTAAAGTAACTGAGTCAGACAGGTCCCCAAATGTCAGTGTCATCAGAATGCGTGGGGTGAATTGTCAATTGTTAATTGTTCCTGTTCGTGGATGGTGAAGGGATAAACAAATGCATGTCGCCCAGTGAGATGCTGCTGGCCCTTATGGGGAAAGGGAGTCCTGACACATGCTACAGCAGGTGGGCCTGGGAACATGATGCTGAGCGAAATAAGCCAGACACGAAGGGTAACAGGTTCTAATCACGTGGGCTCCCTGGAGTGAACAGGGAGGAATGCAGGGCTGTTGTTTAATGAAACAGTTTTGCAAGAGGCAAAAGTTCTCGAGATGGATGTTGGTGATGGCCACACCACAAGGTGAATATGCTTAATGCCACTGAGCTCTAGCCTTAAAAATATGTAAGGTGGTAAATTTTGTTATGTATATTTTATCATGCTTTTTTTTTAAAAAAAGTACAGACTTTCTAGCCCCCTTTTTTTTCTATTTTAATTTTTCTAAATTTTAATTCAGTAGCTCTGGCGTGGGGCACAGGAATCAATATTTTCACGAGCCTCGGATGCGGAGGAGGGTCTCAGTCCAGCTTTTAGAAACTCTGGCCTTGAGAACTCTGTGGCTCCTTCTAGGCTCAGGACCTTGGAGTCTATATGCAAAGCTTATTTGCACATTTTAGGTTTATGCCATCTGGTGAGCACTGGTAGGCATGGCACTGGTGTCCAGTCTGACCCCCACTGACCCTTTCCCGCTGTCCCTGCTGGTCAGTGTAGAAGCTGGACCGGGAACCCAGGCTTCTCCCTCCACAACCCCCTCAGACATCTAGCCGCCGGCCCAGGCCTCCCCTTTTTTCTGGCTTCATTGATTCCAGAGACTGTTCCAAGCCCCCCACTCACCTCGCCTTTTCTGCCATTGGGACACCACAATGTTTGTGTTCTCCAGCCTACAAGACAGACCCAGCCACGTGGGCAGGCGGCTCCACCACCCTGTAATCTGGGCTCCAAGATGGTGGCATCCTCCCTTAGACGGCATCCCATGCAAGCCTGACACGTGGGCTGGGACCTAAGTCCACTCTATAAGAGTCCCTTTGGGTAGCTGTAGGGTGCCTGGGCCTAGACTGTCGCCATCCCGAGGAGACTCTCTGCCATACCTGAAGCCCTGGGGGCAGATGCACGTGTAGCCATTGACTGCATCCACACACTGGGCTCCGTGGCGACACTTATGAGCCGCGCAGTCGTCATTGTCTGTCTCACAGAGCTTCCCGCTGTAGCCAGGGACGCATTCACACCTGGAACACAGTCAGTGTGAAGCTACTCTTAGGCCTGGGCAGCTTCCTGGCCTGGCTCCTGGCCCCCTCCAGGTGGCCTCCCTCTCCCTGTCCACTCAAGTTCCTTAAGGTTCTGCCTGGCCTGGCTTCACTCGGGTACCACTCATGGTCACAGCCTCTGATCCGCGCCTTTGAGGCCTGTCTGCTTCATGCAGTGGGGAGTGTTTCCAGGAGCCAGGCCGAGGGCCATGGGGTGGAACCACACAGCTTTTGGCGTGGTTCTGCCATCTTCTCCCTAGAACTGACCTTCAGGACTGTGTCAGGCACTGTGCTAAGCACATGCCAGAGTGTCACACTGAGTCCTCCCAGGACCCTGAAAAGGAGGGTCTATCATCAGGAAGAAGACAGAGCTCAGAGAGCTGAAGTCACTCCTGTGCCCTGCGTGGAGCGACAGTTTACACTATGTGTCAGACGCGGTTCTAAGTGCATTGACCATTCATGACCTGTGTTTTGGTTTCTTCATCTTTAAATACAGTTGATGATAAATAATAAATGAAATGCCTTGTGGGGGGAGGGCTCAGCATACTGTGGTCCATACCTCTGCTACCATGGGAAACCTGGCCCTGGAAAGACTGTGTCTTTGAATTCTCCTGAATTCAAAAGTGACCTGGAGAGTAGCTCAAGCCCTCTGACCCTGCCCAGAGCCATAACAACTGCCCAACACTTCACAGGATCAAATCCAGCCTTTTAAGTATGGAGTTCAGGGCTATTGATAAGGTCTTTATCAGCAATTAGGGAAGTTATTCACACTTCCAAACTAAGCAGTGAGGTTTGGAGGCCAATGTGTTTACATTCTTCTTTTTTTTATTTTATATATTCTATAGTCCTCTCCACACTAGCACTGTCAAACCTATTAATTTATTTTTTGGAACTTAGGACTGAATCCAGGGGTGCTCTACTACTGGGCTACACTTCCAGCACTTTAAAAATTTTTTTGAGACAGGATCTCATTAAGTTGACTGGCTGGCCTCAAATTTGTCATCCTCCTGCCTTAGCCACCTGAGTTGCTGAGATTACAGGTGACCCTATGCCTGGCCACATCTCGAATTTTATCAAGCCTATAAAACAATCAGGGATCTTGCTAAAGTGTAGCTTCTGATTCAGGGAGTCTGAGCAGGGCCGGGGAATCAGCATTCCCAGCAAGCTTCCATGTGTGGTGGCTGCTGCTGGTTGGGGGACTTCATTCCCTGCAGCCAGGATCTAGACAACGATACTTCATCCAGAGAAGAGGCTGGTGACACCCTGCATTTCCTATTGCTTCCAAATAGCAAGAGCCTGTATCTTTCTTCAAGTTAAAGTGAAAGGTTAATGTAATTTTAGTATCTGTTGGATCCATTCATTGTGGACCAGGGGGAGAAAACAGTGACACTCTTGTTTGCAGGACATCTGGAGTCTAGATTTAACTGAGAAACTGGCCAGGCCTAGGGGGGCTGAGTCCACACCTTTCTAGGCCTGTCTCCAGGAGATTTGCTTTACCCCGCTGTGCCTCGTGGACTGTGGGCAGTAGTTGTGCATTCTGAGATTGTTGGGTGTTCCATGAGAATGCTCCCTGCCTGGCTCAGAGCAAGTTCTCGGTGTGTGCCAATCACTGTGATCTTTGTGTTTATGATTATTTTCAGTGTTTATGGGCAGGTCCTATCTGCCCTCTGCTGAGACCTCATTAGAAGAGCATACAAGGAGATCTCCAAGGATATACATCTTCCCACTTAGGCAAAGGCCGCACTGACCGCATTTTTCTTGCTAACACCCTTCTAGGCTGCCATGGGATATGAGTTGCTTGCTGATGGGAGGGAGGGGGATAAGATGATACAATGTTGCACTGGAGAAAGGATTATTGATTTAAATGCATTTGAATAAAAAGCTAACATTATTGAGCTGCTCAGTAGACCTTTTCAAGATAGTGTCTCTAAGGAGACATTGCAGATAAATAAAATATCTGAGACTGTGAAAGCCTGACTGGCTTCTTTCTCTTCTCCGTTGTCCTAGAACTCAAGGGGTCTTGGTTACAATACAGAGTGAGATTTCAAGGAACAAGTCCAGAGGCTCATGAGAACCCCTAACTCCCTAGCATTCCTAAGAGACGGGGTAGTGCAGCACTGAGTTCCAGAGGCAGGTCCCTCATCCTAAGGGAGCTCAGTAGAAATGTTTCTGGTGTCAGCTGAGGGCACATCCTGGGATTCCCAGCTGCCCTGGTCTCTGCCTGCTCCCCTGCACCATGATCCTGGGTGTTAGAGGCTCCCTCTGCTCCTGGACAGAGCCTGCTGGGGAGGAGAGGAAGCAACTGTGTGTGGAAAGCAGTTTCCGGGACAGGGAGAGAATTCTTGGATGCAGGATTCCACCGTCCTATCAATGTCAGAGACTTCCAGGTCATGAGGGTCTAAGCATCTTCTCCAGAAGAAACACTGGCACCAGTTTTCATGATGGAGGGCGAGGGGAGAAGGTGGGAAGAGAGCCTTAGGAGGAATTCCCAAGAGTGCCATTGGTTTCTCAGGCTTGTGAACTGGGTGGCCCTCTCCCGAGGAAGCCTCTCCCTCCACCTCAGAATTGCTCATGTGCTCCTTTTACACCTATTGGCTCTGCTGCTCACTGTGGAGACGGCTCCACCTATGGCTGTGGCTGCTGAACCCAGCTGGGGCTCCTGTCCCCCAACTCCCTTCCTCCTACGTGTGCAAGCTGGCAAACCTTCTGTAGCCCCAGGTAAGATGGCCCGGAAGGCTGCACCCTGGGAAGGCCACCCAACACCCTTCACACTTTGTTTCCTCTGAGCAACGTTTTTAGCTCTGGAAAGAAGAGATGGAGAGAGCGGGTGGGGTGGGGAGGCGAGGAGAGGGAAGAAGAGGCGAGGAAAGAGAGGAAAAGGAGGAAGGAAAGGAAAGAGAACATCTCTCCCTCTCTATTGGCAGAGATGAGAGAGAGACATACAAGACAGAGACACTCACATAGGGAAAAGGAAAGCCTGAGAGACTTGGACCATGGATGAGTCAGATCCAGAGGAGAGTGGGGTGGGGAGAGAAGCCCCCCCACCCAGCACACACAGTGCCTCAGCTTCCAACCCAGACAGCTGGAGGCTGAGTGCTCAGTGGCGGGCTGGACTGCAAGTCCTACCTGAATCCTTTGTCCAGGGAGATGCACTTGGCCTCATGCTGACAGAGGTTCATCTCAGGCACACAATGGTCAATCACCTCGTCACACAGCTCACCTGGTGGAGAGGGACAAGAACTCAGGTATCAGGACCCTCAGTCCTACATCTGTCAAGTCACAGAGCAAGGCCCTCACACTCTTCTCTTGGTGTATTGTTTTTCTTGACTTAGAGTTTCCTTCCCATGGGCACTGCCACAGCACCCCTGCTTGGGGATTCTACTCCATCATCCAGGGCAGCTGCGTCTGGAGCGGCAGCCTGGACCCCCGCTTGGGCTCTGCTGTCCAATTGCTTTCTTAATTTCACACCTTTTCATTAAGCCCTCTTATGTGGGAGGCACCATGCCAGCCGCTGGGGCAGACAGTGACTTACTTCTGTCCTCTTCCAGGGTCTAGTGGTGGGAGATCTACAGACAGACAGAACCTCACCATCCAGAGTCTTGAGGCCGCCACAGAGTTAAACTCTGGAAGCACAGAGAGACCATAACCTCGCCCAGGGGGTGAGAGGGGGCTCCTTAGAATGGCTAAGAAGGCTTAACTGCATGGTTCACCTGCTCCAGATCAAGAAGCCTCTTGGGTTTTTCAAGGGAAGCAAATATGAGAGGAATTTGAATTTCTGGTCTCTGGATAACTAACTTTGATTGCTATGGTGTTGCCTGGTGGGTCATAAATACCCGGGGCTCAGATAAGCGCAACTACTACTTCAAAGTTTTCAGGTATGTAGGTGGGGTGGGTAAGGCAGGAGGCATCTCCCAAACAGGGTGGGATTCTAGGGTCTGACTTCTGGGTTTTCTCAAAGTTCACCCAATCAAGCCAGGTAGAGAGTGATCTAAGGGAGGGAGACTTCTAGTGGCAGACGTTCTCCTCGGAGCTGAGGGTGGGGAGCTGCAGCTAGAGCAGGCTGCCTGGGCAGAAGGCCCTGAGGGTGAGTGAGACGCCCCAGAACTGTTCTCTTCTGGGGTGGGGATAAGCCTATCTCCACCTTCCAGAGAGGGAGCTTCTCAAGGCCACAGTGTTCCTTACAGGCCTCCTCCTCCTCCTCCTCCTCCTCCTCCTTCTCTGAAAAGGCTCAGAGAAGCAGCCAAGTGTCTGTGTAGGCCTTGGATGTTTTGGGGGACAGAAGAGCCACAGTGGACTCCTTTCAGGAACAGAGTGCAACAAATATGGAACAGCCTGGTCCTTGAGACAGGGGCAGGGTTCTACTGAAGCAGGAGACAGATCTCCTCAGTGCCCCTGCCACTGCCTGTCTGTCTGGTGAGGATTCTAGTTGAGGTCCTCCTCTGCCATAGAGCTGATTTTGATTTTGAGCACTGTTGCCCTCTCCTGAGCTGCTGGGATTTTGATGAGCAGCTTCTTCTGGACTAGCTATCCAACTCTCTCCAGTGCTGCTTCTCAGGAAGCCCCTGTGGGCTGAGGGCATACCTTGGCCTTCTCGGTGTCTCTATTGCCTAATTCACTGCTCTGCGTGTAGTGAAGGGTGCCTGAGAAGAGTCACCTGCTGCTAGTGCAGCTCTTGGTTACGACTCTGCCCTCAGGAGATGGACGACGCAGGGCACAGGGGAGATGCCCTTGCTCATTCTCTCAACCCAAGGGCTTGTCTGGGCCCAGGAGGCAGGTGGCTTTCTCAGCTGCCATGGGGCAATCCAGCAGCCCAAGCTGTGCTGGGGCATCCTGGCTAGTGGACTGGAGGATCTGCAGGGAACGGGTGCTGCTCCACGACCCCCTCTGCAGTCCCCAGGGCTGCTCCACTGGGCACCACACCCCTGCACGCTTCATCTGGACAGATGAGCCAGGTTCCATCGGGCTGGGGGGCGGGGAGTCCCGAGCCACTTCACTCCCATTTCCTCCGGGCCTTAGGCCAGCAGGTCTGGAACTTGTAACTTAGGACACGATACCCAGGTTGCAGCAGGTTTCCAGGTGGGATAAGAGGGAAGCTCAAAGGAGTGTGGAACTGCCGGGCTAAACATAGGCAGCTTTCTTTAAAGCAGGGGTTTTCAGAACTTCTAGTGTGTTCATTTGTATCAGGAGCTAAGAAAAGGGTATAACTCTGTGCAGGGCTCCCCGAGTTGGCTCTTTTTCTGGGATAGGCCACTTCAGGTCACTTTGGTAACAAAGTCAGTTGTGTTTGTACCAATTAGTATCATTTTGACTCAAAATCTAAGAGTCTATTTGATGGTTAAATAAAGGTGTTGGGTTGGGGGCTGGATGGGTAGAAAGACAACCCCAAGCTATGATCCCTCCTGTGGGGCCTTCCCGCGCTCTCCAGCAGGACTGTTTCCCCGTGGTCCCGGGACCTCTGGAATGACACGGCTGTGTTCTCATTCTGTTGAACCTGTGTCTCCTTAGCTCCTGGCAGAGTGTCTGGAAGAACCTAGATTTCCAGAGACAGCTGACGACACCTGAGCAAAGCCGAGAGCAGCTCAAGGGCCTCTGCTGACCTCACACACGCTGGCCACCAGGCTTCCTAAAGGAGGGCACGGCCAACAGCTCAATGGATGACAGCTGGAAGAGCTCTGGGGACCTGCTTCCTAGTGGGAAGGAGTGAGTGGCCTGTAGGGGTGGGTGGGTGGGGTGGAGGAGCCAGACACGCTGGCAGACAGGATGCTGGAGAGGCCCCTCGTGGCACTCACAGTCTTGGGATCTTGGTCTCTGGGAGAAAGGAGGTGGGGTCCTTCCTCCTTTAAGAATGTCACTAAGGGAAGGGAACTCTTCTAGAGATACCGTCCACACCATGCCACCAACATGAGTGTGCTGGGGCGTCCTGAGCCCTCACCTGTGAAGTTGGGAGGGCACACACACGCGTAGTTGTTGACCCCGTCCACGCAGGTGGCGTTGTTCTCGCAGTCGTTGTCCTCACAGTCGTCGGGGTTGATCTCACAGCGCTGCCCCTCGAAGCCCAGAGGGCAGGAGCAGCTTTGGGATGAGGGAAGAGGGCAGAGGGATGAGGGGCAGGGAGGGGGGCAGGGGAGGGGAGAGGGAGGCAGAACTACAGTTAGTTGGGTCTCAGGACCGAGGGCCAAGGCAGCACCCGGGACACAGGAGGTCTCGGGCCAGAGCAGGAAGACCTCGGGAACCCACAGGATGGTTCTGACTAGCTCCCTGTCTCCAGGCCATGTTCTGGCTCCCTGGCACCTGTTGGCTGCCTTGCCCTGGAGCAGGTCCTACCCGTACTGCCACCCCACTGTCGCTAGCTGGAAGTGGTTTCCTGGGCATAGCTTAAATTCCTGCAGCTGTCCTCTAAAACACCTGCCCTGTCCTCTGTGGCTCAGACGCTCCACCCCCTCCAGAGACGGTTCACTCTGTGATGAGGGGGCAGCTGGGCCTCCTAGCTGAGGTCATGGGGCTCTGCACCCAGGATTCTGGGAATGATTTCTGACTGCTACTTTCTAGCTGTCTGGCCTTGGGTGCTCAAGGAATTAAATGAGATAATACAAGTGAAACACTTGGAAGGGAACACAGTGCACAGGAAAACTCTAAGCACATGGCCTGACATTAGTTCTAGAAAAAACCACCACACCCTCTCAACCTTTCCTCAGGGAAGCCATCTCTCTGTGCCATGTATTCCTACCACTTCTGAGCCCCTCCAGCTTCTGGGGTGAGGGGGAGGACCTCTTTCCTGCCAAGACCGAGGGTCCTGGTGAGTGCGGCTTGAACACAATAAATCAATAGGACATATTTCCTTCGTCATCTCTGGTGCATTAAATCTTTTAGAGAAAATCTTCGACCCCCTGTCCTCTGCCTGACCTTGGTTATAACCCAGGATCGGGCATGTAAAAGAACAGATAAAGCCTGGCAGAAGTGAAGGGGAAAGGGGCTGGGAGGTGCCTGGGGGTGGGTGGGAAGTAAGCCTCTGATTAAATAAATGCTTCCTGGAACCTGCCTCTTCCCAGGGCCAAGTTGATAACCAGGGATTGGCCCCGTCCATGAGCATGGCTCCAGCTTCAGAACCTGTAAGTCCAGGCCTCTGTTTCAGGGACTGCTCTGACTTGGGATGTCACTGAAAAAGTAAACTAAACTATTAAGGAATGAATTCTGTGATCCTAGAATCAATCCTACCTCACCTCTGTCCCTCTGCAATCTGAAAACCATATCACATTTCTCACACAAGGCTGAGGACTGAGCTTTCGAGATAGCGGAGAAAAATGACATTTTTTTTTTTTAAATGTCAGAAACCCTGGGCATTCAAAAAAAGACTACAGAGTGGGTAGGAATTCAAGGTCTTAAATCAAGGCATTAGTGTAGGTTTTCTTGAAGATCAACTTCTTGGGTTTGCCCCAGAACATTAGGGTGGCCCCACAGTGGGTAATGAGATAGATGGTGGCTGGCCAAGGAAGTCCAGACTGTGGGACAGAGGTGGGGAGGGGCCGAGTCTTCCCGTCCTCACTGGGAAACTTGAAGGAGTTGTCAAGAAGCTTCAAGAGCATTAGTCAGCCTCGGGGACTTTGAGGCCAGGTCGCATCTCCCTGGTGTGGCCTTTGCTCCCTTTGTGAGCCCACAGTGCAGCAAGAATAGAGAAGCCTCTGTCTGAAGCGGGTGTGATGCTTCCAGAATTCTGACTCCCAAAAGGTGCTGTGGGTTGGACTGTGTTCTCCAGGAAAGACAGACGGAAGTCGTAGCCCCAGACCTCGAACGTGACTCTACTTGAAACTAGTGTTGTTGCAGGGCGTACTAGACACCCATCGTAGTGTCCCCGTGAGAAGACTGACGTGTGAAGACAGACAAGGGGAGAAGGCCCTGTGACAGAGAAGGCAGAGCCTGGAGTGACGGCTGAGCGCCGAGGAATGCCAGGCTCGCCAGCAGAAGCCAGAAAGAGGCAAGGAGGGACCCTCCCCTGTTGGGTTTGGAAAGAGCCTGTCCCTGCAGACACCTGGATTTGGGGCTTCCTGGTCCAAGCATTTCTGTGGCCACAAGTCACAGTCTGTGGTCCTTGGTGATGGCAGCCCTAGAAAATGACTCCAGGAGGGAAGGGGGCAGAGTCCTTTCTAACCAGGGGCCGCCGCCCTGGTGGCTGGCCTGGTGGGACCCCGTATGGAAGCACCCCACCCCAGCATTTGCCTCACTGCCCTCCTCCTGTGGATCTGGGTCTTTTTCCTTTCAAATTAAGTTTCAGGAATATTTCCTGTTCACTCGAAATTCCTCAAAAATGGAAGATGGCCAGGAGAGACCAGGGGACACAGAATTGCCTACGGGGATGATCCTCCCTTCCTGAGCCCCAGTTCTCTCCTTCTGGCTGGGGCACAGCCTCATCTGGGCCTGGAGGTGAACTTCCTGGCTGACATGTGTGGTCACCTCTGGGAGATTCCATGCGGTTTCTCCTCATCCTGCTCCAAGTGAGTGGGGCTGGGGTGCGGGGGTGGGAGTGAGTGGTTTGGCCTATTCCAGGCAGGAACAGGAACTCGGGCCGGAGTCTCACTTGTCAAGAGTCAGGCAGGGTTGGATGGGGCTGGCTTGGCAGGAGCACATGTGGGTGGGCTGGGTGTCCCGGGGAGGAGAGCCAGGAGCCCAGAGCTTGATTTCTTCCATAGACCACACAGCAGCCCCTGACCAGAGGGCTTTCAGAAATTAATGGCAACCCAAGCTCTAAGATGTCCGTCAGAGCCTGGCACCAGAAGCCTTTATGCCAGCAGCTGATGCCCGGCTCACTGTGCCACAGGAGCCACTTCCAATGGTCTGCTCCTGCCAGGGCCACTGGCTGGGGAGCCTGGGCACCTGAAAGCTACGGGGAAGGCAGGAGGCACGAAGGGGCCTGACGTCTGGGCAGAGGCCCAATCTCACGCTCAGCACAGGGTAAAGAAAAGTTTACATGGTGTCCATGCCCTTTTCCTTCTGAGACCTTAAGACCAGCAAGGAAAGAGGATGGGAGGTGGGGACAGAAGCTCCAGGAGCCAGTGTCAGGATATGTGACCTAGAGCAAACCAATCTCTGAGCCTCAGTTTCCTCATCTGTTCAACTGGGCTAGTACTACCCCCTGGTTGTGAGAAGATGCTAATGGGACAGTGCATGACTAGTCAGGCTGGCTCACAGGGAGCTGGTCATTGCCACCAACTCTTAGCATTATTCACCATCCAGGAGAGAGTGGTGGGGCTGCCAGGCTGCATCTGCTCCTTCCCTGACTTCAATTGGCAACTACAGCTCCCTTGCAGACTCCTAGCTTAGATAGCTGAGGTTGGCACCTGGGTTCAAATCCAAGTACCAGTGCTGACTATGTAACTCAGGCAAAGGCTAATCCCTTTGATGCCTCGGATTCTTGTCTGTGCAGTAGGGATAATCGTGCTTCCCTGTGACGTGGGCAGGGTCTTAACGTCATTCTCAGAGAGGACTCTGCCCATGGAGCCCAAGGGCAGGGAGGCCTGTGGTGAGCTGTACCTGAACCCATCTTTGTGGCTCTCGCTCAGGTGGCAGGTGCCTCCGTTCTGGCAGGGGTTCTGGATGCAGGTGTTGATGGGCACGGTGCAGTCCTTGCCCTGAGGAGAAGACAGAGAAGTGCCCAAGGAGGGGGGCTTGGATGGCTGCTGTGACACAGACTGAGAGTTCCCAGTCTCCCTGGGGGAAGCTGAGGAGATGCTGGAGAGGAGGCCCTGGACAGGCCTGCCATGTGACTCAGAGTAAGCCAAAGCGCCCCTTCGCCTCTGTCACACTGCAGTGACAAGGAAGAAACCTGGAGAACCCAGGAGTCCAGGCTCCAGTGTCATGACTTCTGGAATCCACAGCCTCCGGTCCTCAACGGCAGGACCGAATGTGGACTCTGGACATGACCAAACCCATTCACATCCCAGCTCCACCTCTTCCTGCTGGCCGCCCTTGACCTTGCAAAAGCCTCCGAAGCTCTGATAGGGCTGTTATGAGAAGGAAGCCAGAGCTTTGGTATAAGGAAGCTGCACACGGTAGGTCTAATCCACAACTCCAGTCGGGTGGACTAAGGCTGACCTGTGGCCAATCAACCGTGTGTCCTGTAAAATGCCAACCCCCGGAGATTCATCCTTGATTGGTCTGGATGTTTGTTCTTAAGTTCAGCAGGTAAGCCCAACGTCAGGCTAGGCTGAAACCACTGCGTAGTTTGGAGTGAGGGGAGTTCCTCTGGGCCAGGCTCCTCCCCCTCCCAGGTACCTCCCCCTCCCAGGCTCCTCCCCTCCCAGGCACCTCCCCTCCCAGGCTCCTCCCCCTTCCAGGCTCGGCTCCTCTGAAGGGGATGCTCGAGCTGACACGGAGCCAACCAGGTGGCAGGTGGGGAAGATGATGCCAGGCAGAAGGAGCAGTGGGGACAAGGGCACTCAGAAGGGCAGCCCTAGGCAGAGATTAGAATTAGACCCAGCGTCCCAGGATGCAGCCCAGCTCTTCTCAGGCCTCTGGCTCCTGCTTCTCCCCTGGGACTAATGGGCGGAGGTTACACCCAAGTATTGGCAGCAGCCCTGTACAGGACCCGGTAGCCTGGGGAGGGGTCTGTTGCATCTATTTCTGGGTCACAGTTCAGTGGCCTGGGTGGATGCCAGGTGGGGGTGACCGCGGGAGGCCTCCCACTGCTGTTCCACCTGCTCGCCATCTGCCAGAGAAAACCCTCTTTCCTTTCTGCTGCTGCCAGTGCCTGTCATGGAATGGGACTGGGGCTTCCTGGTGTGTGGTCACTGCCAATTGAGCCTGCCCAGGGCAGCCTCCGCTGAGGACTCTGAAATGCATCCTCCTGCTCTCTCAGGGCTGCTGCCACTCCAGCAGCTGGCCATGGCTGGCTGGTTCTTAAACCATTTCATGCCCCCACCACAGTTAGAGGGCTGTCAGTCTTAGAGGGGAAGGCTAGTGCAGTTTGGGGTGTCATCTGGGTTCATCCTAAGCTACAGTGACCCAGGGCCCTCAGTCAGAGTGGGAATAGAAACTGTGATGATAATCTTCCCTCACATTATGGAGCACACTTTCTGTTCCAGGTCTTATGCTAAGCGTTTTATATTCATGTTCACAAGAACCCTCCCAGATCGGTATCAGTGTTATTACACACATTTTTACAGACAGGGAAGACAGACTTGGGAACTGAGGTAATAGGTTCAAGACTGCACAGTTGGAAATAGAAGCGGCAGCTGAGCCCAAAGCCAGTGCTGGGCCTCTGTGCTGGACCACTGATCTTGACCCTCTTAAAACCCAGGTTCTGGAATGTAGTGGATCAGAGCATGAATCTAGGTTGGCTGCTGTTTTGCCTGGAGGAAATTCTCCCTGAGCCTCTTTCCATTTTCTGTGAAATGAGAATAATAGTTAAGTATCCTAAATTAAAACATCCGAAATCCAGAATGCTCCCAAATCTGAACCTTTAGGGACTGGCATGATGTCATAAGTGAAAATGTCCACACCTGATCTCGGTGATGGGTCACGGTCAAAATGCAGGTGCAGAAAAAATGCCAAATAAAGTTACAGGCTATGTGTATGAGGTGAATATGAAACAGAGATGAACTGCATTGTAGACTTAGGTCCCATCCCTAAGGTAGCTCAGTATGTATATGTAAATATTCCAAAATTGGAACAAATCTGAAATCTTTGGTCCCAAGCATTTCAGATAAGGGACACTCAGTCTCTACCTACCCCAGGGGAGTAACTTGTTTAGAAATCACATAGCTGTAAGCATGTAATGGCAGCTCATAGTAACAGCGGGGATGACAAAAGACTGGGGTCTGAGGCAGGGTGGCATGTGGGTGATTAAAATACCTTTTAGGGTCCCCGATTGGTGTTAAATAGCTTGGGGGTATGTATAGGGTCGGCAGCAGGGTAGATGGACTTGCAGGCAAGGAGAACCTTGAGAAGCTTTGGGCAGGGCCTCCTAAGCCCCTGCCTGGTCCAACCTTGCAAGTAGCATCTACTCCAGGTGGAATATTCCCCTCAGGGTGGGGATGGGGGTGGAAGTTGGGATACATGTCTCCCCTAGTCTTCTATGCTGAGCATGGGAATCTAGGGGGCAGATCCTGGTACCCGATGACACAGTAATTGAGCCTGGAGGTGGGAATTTCAGTGACTAGAGAAATAATCATCATTGCCAAGGCCTGGCTAATTAGTCTTCAATTCTTCTCAGCTGCATTTTGTTCAAATCCTCCAGATATGTGATGCTCCTTGGTCCTTCCTCACTTTCTACTCCTCAGTGTGTGTGTGTGTGTGTGTGTGTGTGTGTGTGTGTGTGTGTGTGTAAAGGACATGACTGAGGATACTGGCTTCCTTTTAAAGAGACTGGAAACATCTATCCTTACTGGAAAGCTCTTTCTGAGATGGGGCTGGGAGGGCTGTTCTAAAACCTTGCTACTCAAAGTGTGGTCCTTGGACTGGCAGCGTTGGCATTCCACGGAGCTTGTTAAAAATGCAGTCTGAGGCCCGACTTTATGTCTCATGAACCAAAGCCTGCATTTTTAACAAAATCTCCGGGTGACTCTTGACAATACTGAAGTTTGAGAAGTACTGCTCTGAGACATTGAACGTGTGTAGAAAGCTGAATGGCTGAGAAATACATTTTATGTCCCAAATCCTAGAATAGTGGCAAGATAGCCACCTTGTGGGAAATGTCTACTGAATGCTCTTACTGGATAGGCAAGTGCAAATGTGATGCTTTTCCATCTTGACGACATCCATACCAAGCTCAGCTGGTGAGCATGAGTATTCCCCTTTACCAGTAGGAAAGTGAGGCATGGTGAGAATCAGTGGCTAGTGATGAGTAGGGGTGTAGACCTTCCTGCAAGAGGTAGCTGGTTCTGATTTTAGCTCGCACACTTCCCAGGTGTGGGAGCCTGGATAAGTTCTTAGGTTTTTACAAACCTTAGATTCTTCACGTATCAAAAGAGGATAAAAACTTATTTCACAGGCCGATTAAGAGCAGTGTAGGAGGTGACATCCTGAGACTGCTTCACAAAGGCCTGGTGTTCTCGTAGGTTAACAAAGCTGCCAGCAGATCAGATGATAAACAGTGCCTGCTTGGCCTCTTTTTTTTTATGGCACTGGGGATTGAACCCATGGGTGCTCTACCACTGAACTATACCCTCAACTCTTTTTATTTTTAAATTTTGAGACAGGTTCTCACTAAGTTGCTGAGGCTGGCCTCAAACTTGCGATCCTCCTTCCTCAGCCTCCTGAACTACTGGATTATAGGTGTGTGCTCCTGCACCAGGTTTGCTGTGCTTTTGGAACATTGGGACTTCCCAAAGTCATGCAGCTGGTCAAATGAGAAACTGAGATATCTGAGTAAATGTCTTGGCCTTGAGCTTTATTTTGTGGGTGACAAGGGACTGTGGTCAGCTTAGTGATGTATCCAAAACTACTCTTTCATTTGTTTCCCTTGAGTGGGCTTCAACCCATCAAGAAGGAGAGCAGGTGAAATGAACTTACCCAGGGAGTCAGATGCACCATGAAATGGCCCCTTTGGCTCAAACTGCTCCATTTTACATTGGAGGAAACTGAGGCAAGGAGACGAGCACGAGTGCCCTGCAGCCAGGGGGACACAGGCTCTCGGGGTTCCTTCCACATGGGGTTCTTTCTACCACTGTATTCTGTGTTCTGTTTTTCTCTACCCTAAAGATTCAGACAGGTTCTCAATGGCCAGGGACTGTCACCCTCAGTGTTGCAATTGCTGAACTTACTGATGGGCAGTGCATGGAGTGGCCAAGAGCATGGGTTCTGCAGTTTCTTGGCTCTGAGCCTGAATCCCAACACCCTCACTGCTATGTTCTGTTCCTTCAACTGTAAAGTAAGGGTCATTTATCAGGAGCTGTGTCCCAAGGCTTTGATGAAAGGTATGCAAGGTGGTGTAGCTAGTTTAGTGTGCTGTCAGTACACAGTAGGCACTCAACAGTGATGGCTCTAATACTGACTATGTTGTTGTGATAGTCAACATTTTTGTCATCCCCATGTACATTGCCACAGTCATCACTATCATCCTCACCATCACCATATGATCAGCATCAGCATCATCACTACCACCACCTCCATTGTCACCACCACCACCATCGCCATCACCATTGTTATCACTATTGCCATCACTATCACCATCCTCATGATCATCATTATTACCCCCATCATTATTGTCACCACCATCACTATAATCATTGCCATTATCATCACCTTCATAACCAAAATCATAACCATCATGATTATTACCCCCATCGTTATTGTCACCATCACCATTGTCATCACCATCACCATTACCATCACCATCACCATCACTATAATCATCACCATCACCATGATAATCTTCATCATCACCATCATTATCGCCATCACCATTATCATCACTATCATCATTACCATCCTTACCAGCACCAACATCACTATCATCATTGCCATCATGATCATCACTATCACCATTACCAATGCCATTGCGATCATCACTATCATCATCGTCAACATCAGCACCATTGTTATACACCATCACCATCATCCCTTTCATCATTATCATCACCATTACTCACACCATCATAATCATCCCCATTATGTAACCCCGACCTGCCTGAGCTCAAAGGTTCCTAAAAGTCAAAATCTCTGTTCAGATTCTTTTGAAATCTATAAGATGTCCAGAGTCTTGTGAATAAAGTTAAAAAAAAAAAAACAACAAACCTGGCATTATCCCTCTGTGGCCCTGTAGATGAACTCTTTCCTCTGATGTGAATGGTCAGACTATGGTCAGAGGAAAAGTGTAGTGTGGACTTTCAGATTCAGGCCAAGTTCAAAGAGAGGGAAGCCAGATTAGCATGGGTGTTCATCTAATCTTTAAAATAAGGATGATGACCTCCAACTCTGAAGGTGATTATAAAAATTAGAGGAGGGAATAAATGCTTAAGGCCTAGTTGAGGGCCTGGTCTTTAGTTAATAATTAGAGAACTACACAAGGACTGGGCATGTAGCTCAGTGCTAGAGTGCTTTCCTAGCATGTCTGAGCCCCTGGGTTCTATCCCCAGCACCAAACAAAGGAAACAAAGAGAACTAGACATGCATGGAACTAGAAGATCATAAATACACGTCTCAGTTCCAGGAGAACCACCAAAAGTCATTGACTATTCAGTGTCACAGATTGATAATCTGTTGAACCAGCGTGGAACCACCTATTCTGATGGCCCCTCTCACAGCTGGTATGAGGGAGTTGCATGCAAGGGAAGAAGTAAAAATCAGTGCAGATTGAAGGCCAGATCCTGTCATGGGTGCACCAAGTACATTATTGTACCCTTTATTCCCGCATGATTGGGGGGTGGTCTGGTGTACAGATGGGAGAGCCAAGGCTAAGTCATTGGCCATTGCCGCACAGCTAGTAAATTTCAAAAACTGGAACCCACACATGCTTCTCAGTGTGAATACACAGCTTGAGTTTTGTCCACTGAACCCACACAGGGAGGTTCAGGGGAAGCATGGCCCCCTCTCAATCTCTGTTCTTCCCCTGCTAGTAACTGTATGGGTGTAGAATGCACAGGTCTGAGACTCTGGTGAGTTTGAGGCCTTGGGGACCTATGGCTTCAAAGGGAATCCTTGACCTGTCTTGTCCCAGGCCCATAGATGGCACTCTGACACTGTCTGCTAGAAGCACAGCTACCATTGAGAAATCTCCCAGTTTCCCTTTCCCCACCTGGAGTCTGCTCTTCAGCTTGTCACTACACACGCACAATCCCTCTGGGGATGGAGATGTGGCTATGGCAGTCACCTGTCACTCAGCCTATACCAGGGGTGAGCACTGGATGGATTGTGGGGCTGTCTTGGACTCGTGGTGTGTCCAGAGCATTCAGATCAGTGCCCTGAAGGCTGAAATCTGGGAAGTTCTGCAGGGGAGGATGGAGCCACAGCTCTGCCGACCCCCCTGACACTTTGACTCTGGAATCCTGTAGACCTGGGTCTTAATCCCGTCACCTCTAAGCTTTGGGAAATCAAGTCAAACCCTGTCAACAGTTGTAGGCCTGGTTTCCACATCAGAAAAATGGGAATTAATGATTTTTTCATAGGTTCACTGGGAGTGTTTAAAAAGAAGAGATGAGCAAGATGCCATGCAGAGAGCTTGACACACAGTCTGTCCTCTCTGGATGTCAGCAGGGAGCAGGGTGACATCTCCTGGGCAGTGCTGTGAGAAGAGGGAGGAAAGGACTATCTTGGAATTGGCCTGGATTTCTGGGGAGGACAAAAGGGAGAACTGGGTCTCACTTCTGTAGGCCCCCCAAGTTTGCCAGCAATGTGGATGGGCTTGGCAGCCCCCAGGCCTTTTAACCCCTATCTCTGTATCCTCATCAATCTGAAATCAACACTTTTAGGACAGGACTGGGGGGCGGGGTTGATGGGGAAAGAAGGTTCTGGAAATCCCTTGGAAAGGGACTCAGTGGGTTCAAGGCGTGCCTTTACTTGGAAGCACTTGAACTCTCTTGAGATGTCATTTCCCCATGTTTCACAAAGAAAATACAAATGCAACATTTCCCCCATATCTCAGAGCATCTGTCTCAAGACTATAAGGGGTCCCATTTGGCACAGTGTGACAAGACCTGGCAGCCTTTGCCAGTTCTGAGAATAGGAAAGTTCTAGGAAATGACACTTTGGATAGGGTCAGCCAGCATGGTGCACCATCCTGGGTCCAAGACAGAGGAGGAGCCTGGGGTGTGAATGGTGGCGACTGGGGTGGGTGGGGCACCTGTCGTACCTTGTAGCTGTAGGGGCAGGTGCAGCGGTACTGCTCCACAGGGTCCTGACTGCATGTGCCATTGTTCTTGCATGGGCTGGAGAGGCAGGCATTGCACTTGGCCGCAATGTTGATATCCACTGGACCTGGGTAGCAAAACCAGCGTTGGTGGCAGGTCTGAGCGGGCTCACTGCCACACCTCCCTTTCCCTCAGTTCTGGTTCCTCTCCATCTCCATGCCCGGGGCAGCTGGTTCTCTCCAGCCAGCACAACCATCCTGGCTAGAGTCACATTGATTTAACCATTGTCCAGTGAGAAAAATCACAGCGGGACATCAGACAGAAGCATTTCTGCAGTCAAATCAATTACTGTAATTAGCCTGATCCGATTTGGGTGCTAATCTGCAAACAAGGCACTGTAATTAGAAGCCCCCTGTGTATCTTCATATTCCAGGGAGCCCTGGACCTAGACTACATTTGGGCTCTCACTTCTTCACCCTCAAACACCCTTCCCCTGGAACAGTCAGTGCCAGGCTCCGGAGGGATGCGTATGCCAAAGGCATGCATAGGAAGTCCTCCCTGCAAAACCCTACAGGTTAGAAACAGATGGCCCCACGGACACAGCAATGTGTTGGCACTGTGCTCGGGGACACTTGCATCCATGGCAGTTCCAACTATCCCTGCTTTAGCGGTAGGGGCTGGAAGAGGGCATGGTCCTCATACAGGGCTTTGTAAAGGGGACAGTGTCCTGCTGCTGCAGCCAGCTTTGAGCATGAGCCCTGGATACACAGGACTTACTTAATGACAGGACTTTAAATGATCGTGGGGCTGACAGTCCTCAACCTGGACATGGGTGGAGACTAGCTCCAGGAAGTGGCCCTTCCTGATGGATGAACAGAAGGGCCTGACTGAGAGCCTTCTATTTTTAAAGCTCCTCAGGTGATTCCAACCTGCGCAGCCAAGATGGAGAAATGCTATTCTAGAGTTATTTGGATCTTTTAGTGTCAGATCAGATGTCTGGGAAGCTGGAGGTAGAAAATTAAAATTAGCTTTAAGTCAACATTCCCCCCACACCCGGCTTTTAGCAGAAGGATGGGACACAGTGTTTTTTTTTTTTTTTGTTGTTGTTGTTTTGTTTTGAGGGCAATAAAGTATATCTGTATATAAACCTTCAGATTCTAAGAGATGAGCAAAGGACACGAACAGACAAATGTGAAATGTAAATGGAAAGTAAATTTTTGAGACAAAATTCAGAATCCACAATAATTAAAATAAAAGGAGATATGATTGTTTTTTTATTTTATATTAGCTATGACTGCAAAATAAGATAAAATAATAAGAGTACCTAATGCAAGAGTCCCTCAGAGGGTGCTACTGGGAGTTGGTTATAATCCTTTATGGAATCACTTTGGCAACATGTGTGAAGATCATGTACTTTGACTCAGTAATTTCCATTCTGTGAATGTCATCTAAGAACATAATTTCACATAGAGAAAGACCTTATGCATCCATGGTAAGAAAAAGAAATGAAAACACTCTAAAGATTTTAAGCTGGCTAAGTAGTAGTGGAAAATTACATCCAGCGAGGTCATCAAGAACATGCATTCTGGAAACAGAAGGACCTGGAATCCCACCTGTGTGTTCTTTAGAGGTCATTGGGGCTGGGATGCAGCTCAGCAATGGAGCCCTTGCCTAGCAGGCCCAGGCCTGGGTTCAGTTAAAGTAACCTCTTTGAGTCTTAGCTTTCTCACTTTTTAAAAATGAAGATAATATTAATATTTGTCTCATAGAAGTTTTACAGAATTACATAACTTGATATATGAAAAGTGAGAATTAAAATAATATTCTAAAAGTGCTTAAAATAGCATCAGTTACAAAGTGAAGAACTCAGTAGTTTGTTATCCTGATATGATACAATCAGTAAAAATCACATGTACACAAAATTTGCTGCAGTGAATGGGAAAATGCTAATGATGGTAGGTAGACAGTGCAGGCTAAAGGGGATAGGCGGGTTAAAAGGGTTCTCAACTCTGGAAAAATATGTGCAGGAAGAAGTCAATGAGGAAGTACAGTTGGCTCTCTGTGTTCATATCACATCTGCAGATTCTGCATCCAGATTAAACTAACCACAGATAGAAAATGTTCAGAAAATAATTGTGTCTATACTAAACAAGAACAGACTTCTTTTGGGATTCATTATTCCCTAAACAATATAATACAACTACTTTCTACATAGCATTTTCGTTGTATTGGGTATCATAAGTAATCTAGAGATGGTTCAAAGGACACAGCAGGTGTGCGTATGTGCAGATATGATACTGTTTTATATAGGAGAGTGTCCTTGTATTTTGGTATCTGTGGGGGACCTGGAACCAATCCCCAGGAATGCTAGGGACTGATGGCTGTAAACACAGCAGCAGAGTCTGGGAGTGTAGTGGCGTGACAGTGTGTGCTGAGGTGCCTGATGCCCTGGGTTCACTTGCCAGCACCGGTGTGATGGCGGGAAGACAGCAGAGAGCTTTGGTGGGGAGAATGACAAAATGAGATGTGATTCCACATTAATTTTAGCATCTGAGTCTCTGTTTGGCCCATGGGAGAGATAGGGTAATGATTTTAGAAGTCACATCTGATGAGATGCCCAGCTCTGATGGGCTGTTGGAGGAGAGAACCCACCCCACAAGGGGCAGGAAAGTGAATAGGTGGGCAGCACCTACCTTTGCACTGGAACCGATGGGTGGGGGTGGTGAGCAGGAGTCTGTCGGCCATGGGCTCGGGGCTGCTGCAGCGGGCAATGCCAGGTTCCTTGTACCCTGCCTTCACCCATTCTGACAACCAGCGCAGATTGCAGTCACAGTGCAGTGGGTTGGTTCCCAGTGCCCTGGGAGGCAGAACAGGAAGTTAGGGCCCCCTGTCCAGCCTGGTCCATAGGCTCCATATCCTTGGCTGCCTGGAAAAGCAGGATTTTCTGACTTTGGTCGATTGGGGTGTCTGACATGGAAACAGGTGGAGAAGTTTCTCTTTTGGAGCAAAGCTAGTATCTTGAGTGTATTTCCAATCCTGAGCATATGCCAATGCCTACCTGTTCCCCCTCCCACTTTTGAGACATTGCTCTCACTACCCTGGTAAAATTGTATCCTCAACTCAACTCCAACCCTGGCTCCCCTAGAAGCTTTCTGGAATGTTGGCCACATCATTATCTGGCTCCTGTCCCTACTCAAGGGCCCTTTGGGAGATGTATTCTGTAAAGAAGTTTCTGAGACCCAGAAGTTTGGAAGCAGCTTCAGACCACTCAGATTGAAGATCAGAGAGGAGGGCACAGTTCAGTGTGGAAATCTCCAAAGTAGTCCCAGGAAGAAAATACTAGAACTTTAAAAAAAAAAATCCCATCTGGGCTGGGGCTGTAGCTCAGTGGCAAAGCACTTGCCTAGCATGTGTGAGGCACTGGGTTCTATCCTTAGCACCACATAAAATAAACAAAATAAAGCCAACTCTGTCCATCTACAAAAACAAAAACAAAAACCCATCCTTAACCATTTCTACTTCGAATGTTTTAAAATATGCATACATAATACCTTAGTATCACTTTGTATGCACACAAAATATGAAAATAATCAAATAAACATATAGGAGGAGTACAAACTCAAACATATTCATGGACAGAGGATTGTAGTAAGATAACCAAACACCAACAAAATAATAGAGGTGCCTGATCTAGGGAAGAGAGCCCTGGCCTGGAAGTCAGGGAAGTTGAATTCTAGGCCAAAGCCTCCTTGAACTGCTAGGTGACTTCCACCTAGCCACTTTGTGTTTATGGACCTCAGTTTCCTTGCATGAAATAGGACAGGAGGACCTGATCCAGAATGTGGGACGGTTGAGAATGCGCACTTTGCAGTCCAGGTAATCCTTGAGCTGTGCTGAGCCTCTGCTGCTTACTGACTGTGTCACTCCTGGACAAATTCTTTAAACCCTCTAAGTTTCAATTGTATCATGTAGAAAGGGTTAAAATTGCCTCCATAATAAGAAATGAGTTAGATAATTCATCCAAAGTGTTTAGCATATAGTAAACATTTTCTGGCAGTTCTTCTTACATTGTTTACAGAATCGATGATGCCTTTGAAGGCATTGGCAGCAAAGAAAAAGACAACGTAGACAGTATGGATACGTTGTCAGAAAATAAATTAGTCAGCCTTCCGAATCCTCGGGTTCCACATCTGCAGATTCAACCAAGTGTGCATCAAAAATAATGGAAAACAATCGCATCTGTGCTGAACACATCCTGTTTTCCTGTCATTATTCCCTCACCGAATACAGGACAACAACTAATAACATAGCAGTTGCACTTTATTAAGGATTAGAAGCAATCTAGAGATGCATTAAAATATGCAGGAGGATGTGTGCATGGGTTCTTTGCAAATACTCTGCATTTCATATAAGGGACCTGGGCATCTTCAGATTTTGGTCTCTGCAGGGGCTCCTGGAACGAGTCCCCTGCAGATGTGGAGGGATGACTGTGTGTATGGAATGGATATATTCCAGAAGCTAGCTGTAATGATATTGTGATGATGTCGCACATTATGAGCTTGCGTTTCCAGTGAATGCAGGCTGGAGAGAAAGGGGCTACTTACAGGTGGGAAAGGGATGTCAGGTCATTGAAGGAGCCTTCAGGAACAGTGGAAATATCGTTGCCATGGAGGGTCCTGAGATGGAAGGGACAGGTCAGAGGGTTACACTCAGTGGCAGTTTGAACCCAGCCACCTGTCAGTAGTTCCCAGAGCGTCACTGCTTGCAGCAACAGCTGGTGCTCTTGCTGCAGGTTGAGTGGCTGTTCCTCTGCCCAGCTCAGCAGCAGGGATGGAGGGCAGAGTATTTGGGGAGGAAGAGGGTGCACTTTTCAATGGGATAGAAATGGGAGGGAATCAGAAATCAGTCCATTTTGGAGGTGGAACATGAGGTAAATTATTCTCTGGGTCTCCATTTTCACACCTTAAAAGTGGAGAGGCATATCTACACACAGAAGCCCTTGGAAACTCAGAGATGATGTTCTTAACTATGCCTCAGACCATAATTTCTGGGGCCAGGTTTCTTGCCTTCAGAACCTGACTCTACCACTTTCCAGCTGTGTGACTGTGGGCAAACAGCTCACCTTCTCTGAGTCTCCCTTTCCTACTGTAAAATGGGAATGAAATAAATGAGATTTGCCACGGAGGTAGCAGTGCAGGTGTTATTCCATGCAGAGAAAGCCTAGCACTCCAGACACACATACATGAGCCTGGCACTTGGCACATATGAGTGCATCTCCTGACAGCAAGTCCAGGGGGCTGGGCAACCTGTTGGGTATCTGCAGCCACTCTTGGGAGTGTAGGTGGTGTGAGCTATTCTTTTTTGCAAAGTGGTGGATACTGAGCCTCTGCCAGTGCCTGGAGGACAGACAGGTCCATGAAAACGTGGAATGAAACTGTTCTGTGCTCCAGGAACAAGAGCCAATCTACAGTTCAGGACTATATACCCAACCAAAAAATTTATCGCCAGCAGCATTTTAAAAAAAGCCTAATTAAAAAACCCCTAAATCGATGACTCACTTTGGGGTCTGGTCTATGAAATACAAGGTGCTAAGTCCTAGAGACTCAGAAGCTTCTTTACTGACTGATGGCCCCATTGGGTGTGCTGGTGATAACGCACTGTTAAGGGAAGGACTAGCAACGTGAGTGCAGGCAGGAGTCCTAGTGAAACAGAGACAAGGTTAGCGCTGACAGCGTAAATGTAAGCAGTAACTCATGGAACCGCTCTTTTGTTTTGCTTTCCGCTGAAGTTAGACTGCCTTGGGTCTTCAACTGAAACTGAGATGGTAACTTAATTATATTTAATATAGAACAGGGATCTCCCATGGGGTGAGCATTGACCTCACACTGCAGGAGAACTGACGCTAGAAAACACACAGATCTCTGAGCCTCATTGGCAGAGACACAGATTCTGTGGGTCTGGGTGGACCTGAGGTCCTACATTTCTGACATGTTCCCTGGTGTGCAGCTGATGCTGTTCCAGGGACCCTTCAAGGGTGAAGGTTCAGAGAACTTCCCCCTATTACATCAGGGCAAGGGATTCATTTCCCTCTTCCTCTTCCCAAATCTCCTCTCTTTTCCTTTGGGCACTGGATATCAAACCCAGGCTGTGAACATACTAAGCATGAGCTGGAGCCATGTCTCCTGGCCCTCCTCTCCTCCTCCTCCTCATAGTTGTGCTTGGTTGGCATCCTCACCATGGCCAACTCCTTCCCCTACAGTTCCAGGTCAGACTCTCTGGGGTGGGATGGGGTGGGAAGCAGTCCCAGACTCTTGGGCCGTACGTTGGTCAGGAGATAGTCAACAGTCCTCTGAAGGGTGCTCCTGCAGCTTCTCACCTCTGTGGGTGAGAAGCAGCCCGGGCACTTCTGAACACACTTATGGTGTCATTTCATCTCTAATCCATGAGCTTGGTTACAAACCTCAGCGCCTGCCAGCTATTGACTTGGATGGCTTCACTGTGACTTGCTGGTTTGCAAATGCACTCAGCCCCATTACTAATCGTTTCTGGAAGGGGGCTGGGCCCCTAGAGGCATGAAGCTCTACTTTAAAATTACCAGATAACCTAGAGGCAGTTTGAGCATGGTGACACCCACAAGCCACACACCCACTTACTGTGAGGGGGGCCACTGAGATCTCTGTACCTACAGAGAAATGGGCTGCATTTTACTGGGACAACTCTAAAGAAATCTGCCTCCACCTCAGGTTCTCACTCCCAGATTGGCCCCCAAAGACGGTCTCTAGCATGTCAGACCCCATCATAAAAGGTGCTGGAGAGGTGGGTGACGCGCTTGCCAGGAAGCACTGGGTGCCTCCGCCTTCCTCTCCCTGACACCTGCAGGAACAGAGGCTGGCCAGCCCCTCTCAGAACCCCTGATGGCTCATCTTTGCTCCCCTCCTGACTACTAGGGGATGTAAAGGCACACTTGGGATGCACACGGTGGCATTGGTAGTGCAACATCAGGACCTAACCACCTGTGTCAGCGCTGGGCTGTTGGAACCTTGCTGTCTGGATCCTCGGATGTTCACAGTTTGTCTGATAGTGGCAGGACCTGTCCTCGTCCTAAATGTGGGCTGGAGTCAGTGGATTCTCTTCTGAGCAGGTGAGGCCACTTCCAGGGATTAAGAGGTTAGGCTCTGAGTCAGGTGGCCTGGGTTTGAGGTGGCCCGGGTTTGAGTCCTTCCTCTCGTTCTGGCTTTTGGTGCTCAGTTTTCTCATCTCTAAAATGAAGGCAGTCTTGGAATCTACCTGTAACGGTAGATGTCCTTTGTGGGGTGCAGGTTGCTTAGCACCGACTCCTCTTTTCTGTAGCGGCTCCCCTCTGGTCCATTGGGAATCACCTTCCCCGGCTCTCACTTCAAGAGCTTTGCTCTCCTGCCACCATTGGGTCTGGTCAGTCAGAGTCACAGTGAGTGCAGTTAGAAGTTTAGCATGACCTCAGTGGGGTGCAGGGACCCTGAAATGGATACCCCCAAATATGGTGCTCTGACATGCTGGAGCTGAGGAGCAGTCTCCAGTTCTTGCTGATATCCCCCTGGTCAGCCCCACTTTCTCTTGATCCTTTCTTTCCCGAGGCACAGGAAAGGACTTTCCCTGAGATTCCCCTATTGATCTAAAGACCATATCCCGCAAACAGAAACAAAATCATCTCCATATTCCTACATTTCATAGGTCCTGGAAGATTAGAGTTCTATCACAGAGGGGGAGACTGAAAATCTATCACCATTCTAAGACCCCAGAGGAACTTTGCCGCAGGCCACTGTCTATTCTATGGGCTCACTCTCTCCCTTAATAAAATTCACTTACTATCCCCCCAAAACTGCACCCCCCACTTCCTCTCCCCTAGGAGGAGGGCATTTCCTGATGTTCCACAGCTGGCCAAAAGCGAAATGCTGTTGCCTGGTAAGGGGGTGGGCACTTTATCCAGAAGGCAATGAAGCAAAAAGCCAGTGGGCCCTCTCCAGAGCTGCCGTGGGGGTTCCTGCAGTCCACAGAGCAGCATGGGTGTGAACGGCGCCATCTCACTCCAGGGACCAGGAGATAAATCTAGGATGACAAATGATGTCCCACGGGCGCCCTCAAGAGCACACTCTGCTGCAGACTTCCGGGTGCTAACTGACTCCAGGTGGCCCTGCTGTGGCTGGGGAGGGGGACCAACACTAGGGACCACACACGCACAAGGCATGTGACTCAGCGTGGGGCAAAGATCCCCCAAGAAGAACTAAAACGCCCACAACCAGAAGAATGAGAAGTTATACTCCATATATGCGTAAGATGCCCGAACACGTTCTAATATCAAGTATAAGTAATAAGAACAACAATGAAGAGAATATTTTCTTCTAGCTAATTTTAGATTAGGAGTGACGGAGAAAAGCCTGTGAGGTTCATACTTAGGGCTCCGGTCATGGTCACCTTCCTGATGCGTTCTTTGAAATGTATTTACACCCCCACCCCCACCCGCCAGGCCTCTTACTGCTCTCTCGGCCTTTGATGTTCATCCTGCTCCTCGTGCCAGACATCAAGCTCTGATAACTTTTGACAGTTTAATCAAAATAATGAGATCCCACAGAAATAAGGAGAGAATATGAGATGCTCGAACACAGTTGTAGATAGTGCAATTCCCGATTTTGAAAACCCTGTCTTTTCCCAAACTATGTAAATTGTAAATGTTACTGACTTCATTCATTTTTAACTTAGCCTCACTTCTTACAGAAATGACTTTATATTACCAGCTAGTGATCAATGATTTTTTTTTAAAATTATTTCCCTTCAGTTTTTCTTCATAGGTATCAATGTTCACAAGTTATTATAAAGTTAGGGTTCTTTCTTCCATGTAAATGCTGTGCTAACCCTTCCCACACTGCAATTGGATTTCATCTCTACCTCTTTAATTAACTGTACTTCATTGGCTGGTTGTATCATAGTTTCTTTAAACATTTCCCCATTGTGACCCCTATGGGTAATATTCAAAATTTAGTTTAAAAATAACAGTGCAACCAAGATCATAATGCATAGAACTTTTCCCTCATGTTGGATTATTCTTTAACATAAATTCCTATGTGTGTGATTACTGGGGAAAAGGATACAAATATAAAAAATATAGCTCATAAACATTTTTATTTTCCCTGAATTGGTCCTTATGCAGAAAATGGTTGCTCCCCACTGAGGTGCATGGTTGGATTGGGGGGCTCTAAGATCCCTTTTTATTCCTGAGATCTCGCAATTCTAAAATGATGATGCTAAATCTTAATTCAAGAAGCAAGCACCAGCGCATTGTATGTTGTTGGGGATTTCTGATGAGCTAATGACAGTAGCCCTGCTGGTTAGAGGGAACCCCTGGGCAGGCTGGTAATGCTCACTGCCCCCCCCCCCCCGACAGACAGATGGACAGGCAAATGCTGTCTCCTCTCTCTTACCCTGGGTTGTCCCAACCAGAACCACTCTAATTACGAACATGTGTCCATGGCTCCCTTTAAAATGGGCAGGTCCCACCCCATGGAAGCAAAGCCAAGCACAGAACTGTTGGACTGCAATGGCAGACAGTGGCCTGGGATCGCAGGGGTCAGCGGGAGGTGGAAGGTGGAGCTTCTGTCCTGGCCAGGGAGACACACCCGCATCTGGCCGTGTCCAGCGGGGGAGAGGGAAAAGGCCCTGCTGATGTTTCCATTCCCCAGCTCCCCAGGGCAGGTAGATGATAAATAAGTGACGATAACAGATTGCTCACCGTCAGAGCAGGCACTTCTTTGCCCCCAGAGAATTGATTTTTAATAACAGTGCAGATGACATGTGGAGGGAGTTGTCGCTGACACGGGTGTTTCGTGGGCCTCAATAAATCACATCAGCCTGAGCCGATGGAAAGGGCAGCTAGTTGGGTGCTGTTCATGGGCCCTGTGCAGAGCCTTGGGGTTCCCAGGGAGGAGGCTGAACACACAAATGCATAAGTGCTGGGCTTTGGCCAGAGGCTTTCCTGATGGGGCCTCAGTTTCCCCATCTACGATATGGGCACCATCCTCTCAAGCTCGGCACTGTGGCAGCTCATGAGGACATCATTCAAGGGTGACATTCAATAGATCAATTTGTAGCATCTGCCTTTCAAAAAAGTGCAGGACGGAAATATGCACAAACCAGGTGACAGTGGGCCTATGGGGCTGGGGTAGCACAGGGGGCAGCCCTCCTCCTCTAGCTCTCGGAGAACAGTAATAACAAATGAATATTTATCAAGTGTTTACAGAGGCTGGGGCTATACTAAGTGCTGCGTACGGTATCTCATTAAGTCCTCCAAAGACCTGTGTGGCAGTTCCCACAATCGTCTGATTTTATGGATGAGAAAACACAGCAAGGGCTGGACAGCCGAGCCTGGGAAGCAGGGGGCAGCTCCATGGCCATCCAGCCTTTGTGCGGAGCTCGTCTGCTTCAGATGGGCTCCCATTCCCCCTCTAGGGCCAGGTGGATGGAAGGTGTGGGGCAGGTGTGTTGGCTGCAGACTGCCCAATGTTGCCCAAAGTGTAGAATGCAGAGGCAGGGCCCTGGTGTGACCAGGAGTCTCAATTTTCCAAGAGAAAGTGGAAGTTAGAGTTTGTGTGAGAAATCTTATATTGAAAAGTTGGTAATTTTTCCAAACTTTGTTTTTTGAAGCAAGATACCCCAAGAGCCAGCTGTCTGAATGGAAGCAGGGCCCCCACCTCCCATCTTGTGATCTCTGGTGTGTGAATTTTGTTCCCCTTCAGAGGGTGATGGTTCTGGAGGCAGAGGAACACTTGTGGACAGGCTGGTCATTACAGTGGGGCTCAAGTTCCCTACAGTGCTCAGTGCTCCAGGGCAGAGTTCAACCGCACATTATAGTTTCTGCAACGAAGTGCCATTGATCCCGTTCTACACACAAATAAGTGAGACTCAAAGAGGTCAGGTGATTTGCTCAAGGTCCACACATGCCAGTGGGCTTGGACCCCAGGAATGGGTGACTCTCACTTTCTCTATCCCATTAAGCCAATACCGGTCCTGGGTGGGGGTGTGGCCGTGCAGCAGGGAGCCTGGGGCAGGGAGTGTGGCGTGCTTCCCACAGTGCCCACCCTAAAAGCCCTCACTGGCCCGCACTCACAGCACGCGGAGAGACCTCAGCCCATTGAAGGCGTGGACGGGGATGCACCTCAGCCGGTTGTAGCTCAGGATCCTGGGGGAAGGGAGATAGAAGCTGTTGGCTGGTCTACTCTCTGCTATCTGCTGGGGACTGTTGACGCGGTGCACAGTCAAAGCGAACTGTTTCTTCAATATCCCAGTTTGAATACATTGACAAAAGCATCCCAGCGGTAAAGAGTAGGGAAGCCCCTTGGCCGCCCCAGGGAGAGCCCTGGCTTCAGCGTTCCGGGCTCCTTACGGGCTCCAGAGCAGCCTGGGGCTCCCCAACCAGTTTATCCTCAGCCCTCCACCGGCACTGTCTTCCCCTGGGACAGGAAATTCCCCCATCAGAGAAGACATTCTACTGGAGCCATCCTCTGAGTCACCAGGCTCCGGCGCCTCTGTCTGCCCAGACAGAAAGTTCCAACCTACATTATTTTCCTGTCATTGACTAAGGTCTACCCTTTGCAGGGACTGCCTCAGCCCTGAGGATGGAAAGAGCAGAGAACCTGGGACCCAGGGGAAAGAGGGGAGAGATGCCCACTACTGCAAGACCCCTGAGCTAGCTAGGAGGAGACTGTACTCACAGAGTAGAGAGGTGAGACATGTTACTGAAGGTGTAATTGGTCAGCATGCCGATGCTGTTGTTACTCAGGTCACTAGGAAAAGTCAAACAGAGGGTCATGTTTACTGTTGGTTGCTTCTGGTGGATGCCATCCCCATGGATGCATTTCAACCATCTGTCCATCCGCCCATCTACCTAACCACGCACCCACCAGCTCACTCACTGGCCTATCATCTACCCACTTATTTATCCACCTACCTGCTCAACTACCCACTTCCCCATTCATCTGTCCATACACCTACCCACCCACTTATTCACCTACCATTCACTCCATCCACCCATCCATCCATCCACTCACCACCTACCCACACTCTCATCCATCCATCCATCCATCCATCCATCCTCCATTCCTTCACTCACCCTCTACCCACCTGCCCACTCTCCTGTTTATCCACTCGCCCTCTCCTCAGTCCTTATGTCCACCTACCGACTCACCCCCATCCCAGTCATTCATCTCACAAGTGTTCATTTATATTCAAGCAGCTGTTGTTCTTCCCTCCCTCCCTCCCTCCATTCCTTCCTTCCTTCCTCCCTTCCTCCCTTCCTTCCTTCCGCTAGTCAGTCATTCAATTTCAAGTCTACCCATCTGTTTCATTCTACCAACAAAACCTAACACATGTGGTAACAGTCTCTTCTTGTCTAGAACAGTTTTTCCTTGATTCATCCCCTTGTTTCCACAGCGTCTTCACCCTCCCTCCCTCCTAGCATTCATTCACTCCATGGTACCAGCTTCTCTCTTAGGAGAAATGGAGTCATGCTAGTTTCCTTCTCTGCCAACTACAACCTCCAGCTTCTCCTGGGGGATAAATACCCAGAGCAGTAGCCACATGAGCTGCTCATTAGATGATCTGTAGGGCTTTTAGATCCTCCGATGCCGGGGATTCCTGTGCAGATATGATGATTAAGTGCTCCAGGGTGGGCCTGAGCATCAGTACTAAACAACAATGACAACTACTACTACTCAGGGGGTCCCTCCAACCTCAAGTTCACAATCATTGCTATTGAACAGTGGTTCTCAGCTGGGGACCCTTTTGCTCTCCCCGTGATATGTGGCAGTGTTTGCAGACAATTTTGGTTAACACCACTGGGGAAATGTTACTGGCACCTAGGAGAGGCCAGAGGAAAAAAGGCAGGAGGGGAGGGGGCTGTGACACCCCCCCAACATCCACGGCAGCTGCCCACAGCAGTGAATGACCTGGCCTCCTGCATCTAGAGTCCCCAGGCTGAGAGCGCCTCGTCTAGATGCTGCTGTGAGGGGGATCCAGGAATCCAGGCTGATGACAGTGGCCTCTCTTTCCCAGGGTTGGTGTTTTCTTTCTGGAAGAACCCTGACTGTCCCCTGCACTGCTGCCCAGCTCTCCTGAGTGGCTCTGGAACCCCTCAATTACACTTGCCCACAGGATTACTCTGAGCCCATCTGGCCCCACTGGGCAAGGCATGGAGCTGTGAGGACCAAGCCCAGGGGCCTAGCTCCCTAGGCTTTGCCTGGGCCTGGGATCCTGCCACTGGAAGACTTGGAACCAGCAGGGCCCCTGATGGCTCCCAGGCTGAGGGCACCTCCTGGGGAACTAAAGGAAGAGGAAGGGGAGATGCCAGTTTAAGCTCTGGGCAAACCTCAGCGCAGCTCCACCTGGGAGAGAGGCTGGAGACTGAGGCCCAGGAATTCTACTCGGCCTTGTCACTTCCCCAAGCCAAGCAGGAGGGTGGCTGAGACGGCCCGTGAAGCCAGGCCCTGTGTTTCTTCAGTACCCCCTGTTCGGTCTTGGGGGATCAGGCTGCTCCTCCTCCAGGGAGGAAGGCTGGCGATGCTGCGTCAACCTGCCCGCCCTCCCCACCCTCCAGCCAGCTCCCGAGCTACCCCTGGAAACATGGGTCCCCCCGAGGCAGCTCCTTACATAAGCGTCAGGTGTCGGAGGGCGGACAGCTCTCTGGGCACAGCTGTTAAGTGGTTTCCTTCCAGGTACCTGAAAGAGAGGAACAGAGTGACAACACCTGGGAAGGGACAGTGCACGGTGGCCATGCTCTCAGAGAGGCTGTGCTGAGTCCCTTCTCTCTGCTTCCTCCCATCGCCTCCAAAGCAAACACCACACTTGTCACTTAATGCTTATTTGTGTGATTACTCAGTCAACGATGTCTTCCTCCACTGAGTTGGTAAGTTTCATGAAGACAGGCCCTGGCCCAAATCGCCCACCATTGAATCCCCAAGGCTCTTTACACAATGGATACATGATGGGTATTCAATAAACATTTGTTTAATAAATAAACCTTCCATTGGATGCTCAGCCCTCGAAGTATCCTGCATGGCAGGAGTTCACAGTTGAGGAAGAAGTTCAGAGACGTTCAAGGTCACACAGCAAGCAAGCAGTTGAGGTAGACTTGAACCCGCCTCTCTCTTGACTATCCTCTTACCACAGTTCTGTTCTGGCTTCTGGATGGAGTGTGGTGGGAGAACCGAGCCACAATTTGTCTCAAAAATTCTAATTTGATGTTGAGTATTTGAAAACTGAGGAGAGAGGGGGCATATCCCTATTACCTGGAACACTGTGGTATGGTTCCCAGTAGGCAGACTACATGGCAGGAGGGGACAGGGCTGCAGGAGGAGGATGCACCCAACAGATGCAAAGGCTGCACCCCACTCCACCTGGACTCTGGAGCCCTGCACTGACTTGCTCCATCAGGACAAGCAACCTCTGGGGGCTTGAGTGAGGCTTAAGAGAAAGAGGGAGGTCTCTTTGCAGTTATGTGGTCCTGAATTACAAAGGCAATGCTACCCACTGAGGTTACTCCCACCCTCATAAGGGGCATGGACTAGCTCATTCACTGCCAAGGAGCTTGTTAGAAATGAGGATTTTTCAAACTTAACCCCAGACCTGCTGGATCAGAATCTGCTTTCCCAGCAAGATCCCAGGTGACTGACAACAGTGTTAATTTTGAGAAGCACTGAGCTCGCACAACATAGAGCATGGCTTTCCCCTGCTGGAGCTTGGGACGGGTGCTGGGCAGATGAACGTCAGTGACTGGGGGTTGACAATTGGGAGAGGGGACCCTGGGAGAGCTTTGCGTGGAGGGAAATCCACCCACAAGATCAGAGCAGGTCTGGTAGGCCAACCTAGTGGTTTTGCAATTTCGTTCTGCAGGCTGGCTATGGGGGATGACGCCTGTGCTACGTTCTGTCTCAGCCCTGCTGGAAGGCACGCTCTGAGTGGTGGAGCATGTCCTCCACAAGGGCAGGGAGAGGGCCAGTTTGGTTTCTTGCTGTATCCTCCAGTGCACAGTATAGGCTCACCCACTTGTTGAATGCACGCATGCGTAGAAGGGCTGTTCATTGGACCCTGGATTAAAAACACAACACATGGTGGTCTGAAGGGAAGCCTGGTGCTTGGCCCCGACACACATGCAGGACAGCCATGCTCTGCAAATGCTTGCATTTTCTGAAGAGCCGAATGAAAGTGCAAGGGACCATGGGATTCTGGGATGCCAACATCATCTTTCAGGGAACGGGGAGGTTCAGGACCCTGGAGGCCAGCAACGAGACAGAGCTGCTTCTGGAGCCGTAGGGGTCTCTCTGGTGCTGTGTCAACGTAGCCTCTTCCCTGCCTGGAGCCCTTGGAGGCTCCCGCTGTGTGTTAGAGAAGGGCCAGCCCACTCCTGCCCACATCTGACAAGGCCGTTGTGGTCTCTCCAGTATTAGGGTTCTCCAGAGAAATGGAACCAAATGGAGATCTATGTTTAAATAAAAAGTACAGGAGCTCACGGCTTAGGACTGTACTTTGGCAAGAGGCTCCGATAAGTAGAGTAAAAACCCAGACGGAATCACCCATGCTAAAGGGCACCATCACCAAACCAACACCAGCTGTTTATCTGCCCTTGCAAGAAACCAGTACAAACGAGACAAGATGAGACTAATGGCCGAACTTCCCAAACAGGCCAGTTGTCAACAGGCACAACCCCGAAGTCCCCTCTGCTCTAATACTCATGTAAAACAAGTGACCTGATGTTAACCCATCAGTGACTTTTCTATCGCTCTGTCTCCCTGTCTCTGCCTTATAAGGAGAGTAACTTGGGGGTGACCAAGCCTTTTTTTGAATTTTTTTTTGTGATGGGTGGGGGTCTCCCTGAAGTTACCCATGTGGTCTTGAATTCTCAGGCTCCAGTGATCCCCCTCCCCCGCCTGCAAGGGCTGGGGTTTGGCAGATGCCCTGGGCCCTTGGGACCAGCCCTCTGTTTGGTCTTAGTTTCTGCATTTTTCAGCCCTTCTCCGTCTATAAAAGTAACCCATCCACTCAGCTCATTGGACCCCCAAATAAGCCAATTAAGATCTTTAAACTAAATTTGTTGTGACTTTGTCCTTTGACTATTACCAATCGATGAAGGGTGGGGAGAATGTGGGTGTATTTGAAGGAACTGGCTCATGATAATGGTGGGACTGCCAGGTTTGGAATCTACACTGCAGCCTGGGGGTAGACTGGAAACCCAAACAGGATTTCTATAGCTTTCAGAAATTCTGAGAAAAAAATTCCTTTTCTCTGGGAAACCTCAGGGTTTCTGTTGTTAGCACCCTCAACTGATTAGGGGAGACCCTCCTTAATGTTTGGGACTGTGATCCCCATTACCCAAGAATTCTACTGATTGTGGGTGTTAACTGCATCCGCAAAATACATTCACAACATCTAGACTGGGTGCTTGACTACTGCCTTGCCAAGTCCACACAAGAAACTGACCATCGGGGCCAGATCATCTCAGGTTCATCTCCCGCCAGGCTCCCCCTTGACTTCTGGTCTTGCACTTCCTGGAGCACCCCAGCCCTTTGGTAGGGTCATGTCTTGGCCTGCCGAGTCCCTCCTCTCTCTCCTCGCCCCACCTCCTACGATGCTCGGATCTCAGCTCCCCATGCACGGGTGGCATCGCAGGGCCCCAGAGCTCTGGGTGTGTTTTCTTCACAGCATTTCACCCCACGGTGACGTCTCCAGTGTGATTCTGTGATGAGCGTTGGCAGAACATGTCGGTGTCGCCCCCACCGCATCCCACCGCTGCCTGGCAACGCGAGGCGCTGGGGACAGTGGCGGCCCCGGGCTCCCCAGGTGGAGCTGCCCTTGGCACTGCTGAGCCGAGCAGGGGCTGCTTCAGCACAGAACGTCCCCAGTGGACCTGGCATCGGGCTCAGAAGATACGGAATCAAAAGGCCTCCCTTCAGAAACACAGCTGCGGTGTGTGGGAAGCTCTCTTTGAAGGAAGCCCTTGATGGTGACTCTGAACTCCAGTGTTGCCTGTGGCTCCATCCTGGGTCCCCGGAGGGCCCATTTCAGAAGAATGCCCTCCTGCCCCGCCAGCCTCAGAGCTGCCGAGCGTTTCGAGTGGGTCAACCTTTGCACTGACCTGCATTTAAATGCTTGGTCTCAGCCCAGATCAAGCACGGGAGGGGACATTGGCCTCACATGGAAGTTCACACAGATCCTGGAATGAACGCTGCCATGGCCGTCCGAGCCTCGCACAACCAACAGACATGCACAAAGAACTCTGGGACCAGCTGGGTGTGACAGAGGAGGGAAGCCACCTCCAGGAGACCCTATTCCAGGCTCTGAGCCACGCAGAGCAGCTCAGTAGTCAGGCTTCCTAGGCTCACAACCTGGCTATCTAACCGCTATGTAACCTTGACCAAGGTACTTAACCTGGCACTTCCCAGATGTAAAATGCGGCTTATAATCATCACTAACTTGATGTGATTATAAAGATTAAGTGGATAGACCTTAGAGCAGGGCCTGAGAGAAACTTTGAATATATACACATACACATACACACACACACATTTACACACCCACATCGCCATCCAACAATACATACAAAGATCAAAGGAGGATTCTGACCACTGGTTGTGCACTCTCCATTCTTCCAGAATGATGTTTCTAAAGGAGAACTGTTCTTTCCACTGTCCTGCTTAGCATTCTTCCCTGGCTCCTGCTTTTCCCTGGGGCTGCAGACTCAGCCTTTGCTGTGGCCACAGAACTTGCTTCAACTGCTCCGCACACCTGTCCCCTTTCCTCCTGCAGTGGTCACAGCTGGTGGCCTTCTGGGTTCTATCTTTTTTTCTTTTCTTTTTTTAGTTGCAGGTGGACACAATACTTTATCTTATTTACTTATTTTACGTGGTGCTGAGGATTGAACCCAGGGCCTCACACATGGTAGGCGAGTGCTCTACTGCTGAGCCACAGCCCAGGCCCTGGGTTTCTTGAGTACAAGATCTTTCCACTCTGAGGGTCCTCCCAGTCCTTGCTCCTCCTTGCTCCCTGGTATTTTCCCGGGAGCGCTAGTCCTCTTCCTATCTGAGATGTCTGCTCTGCTGGTTCGCTGCCGCTGCCTTTTTAAAACAATTCTTTTTAATGATATAGGACACCAGGACACCCTGATGTAACCAGGAAGCTCCAATTCAGTCCCCAGCACTCCCTGCGCACTCCTGCTCCCCTCCCTGAATCCACTCATCTTTTTTTTTTTTTTTTTAAATTACTGTCCTATGGACACACCCAATGCCATGACCCACCACGCCACACCCTCACACACTTAGGAAAGTGTGGCCAGAATCTTTGCACAGTTCCTCCCTTTCCCTGTCCCTTCTTCTTCCCCCTCAATCCCCTTCTCTACTGATCTTTCCTCTATTTTAATGAAATGCCCCCTCTCTCCCTCCCTCCCTCCCTCCCTTCCTTCCTCCTTCCTTCCCTGGTTACTAGTCTTCTTATTTCTCCCCCACTTGGTTTCGGAGACAGGGACTCGCTGTCACTCCATGCTGAGCTTCAGCTCCCAGGCGTGATAAGCCCAGTAAACACTTGAATGGGCAGTTGGGGGGGACCTTCTTAGCTTTCAGCCTGTGCTCAGCCTCCCAGAACCCCTCCCATGGCCCAGTGGCACCAAGGAGAGTCCTCTACTGATGCCATCTGCTGAGGTCTCCTCTGGAGCAGGGCTTATGCCAAAGATGGGATCAACCCATCCAGCTGGCTGGAGACACATTTCTCTCTCCCTGGGCCAGAGAAAGACAAGGACGCCATCAGTGCTGGGTGGTGACTCTCTTCAGTGCTCTGGGGAGCTGCTTAGCACCTGGGCAGAGCAGGTGCCCTTTTTGGGCAGCAGCTGCCATGGCTGGAGAAGGCCCAGCTGTTGGGGTGGGCCCAGCCAGGATCCAATGGCACCTTGACCCATCCTGAGCTGGGCTCTCTCTGCTTGGCGGCAGGCAGCAGTTCTGAGAGGACTCATGGTGTCGCCTGCCAATCTCCAACAAGCCAGGGCTGCAGGTAGCACTCAAAGATACCTGGGCCTCTGCCACTGAGATAGGGGGTTAGTGACTGGATGTCGGGTCAGACAGACCCGGGTTGAAAGTCTGTACTCTGCTGCTCAGTGGTGATGTGATCGTAAGAAAGGATTCAACCAGAGCAGAAGACAAATACTGCATACGTCTCTTGAAGTGGTCCCTCCTGGGCATGGCCCCTCTCAAAGGCAGGACTGCCCTGGACTCCACAGTGCTGCTGTCACACCCCCTTGCTCCCCTTGAGCTGGCAGCCTGGTTCCAGCCTCCCCCAACACCAGGGAGTGCCAGGAGCCACAACCTGCCCGCAGGGATCTGCCCGTCCTCCAGAAACCCGGGACACTCAGGTCCCAAGGCAGGCCCTGGGTGGGGCAGGAGGGAGACTCTCCCTGGAGGAGTGGCCATGTTGCTGAGTCTGGGGATAGAGGCTAAGCTGGCCTGGGGAGGGAGCAGGCCCGTGTCGGGGAAGAGCATCAAGTGCCAGACTGCGTAGCACGTGGGCACTCCCGGCAGGCCATCAGTCCCTGCCCAGTTTGCAGGGCTCCCAGCACAGGCCCTTGACGACCCTCCGTCTTGTGTTCTGGAGCATCTTCAGGGAGAGTGGAGTCAGATGCTCCTCCCTTGCCAGACAGAGGCCCTGGGGAACTGGGCTTCCTGTTCCCTGTCGGTCACTTTGGCGAGGCTTCCCTGCCATCTTGCTGGAATGCATTCAAGGGCATCCGGCCGGTGTCTGGCTTGAGAGGCTGGGCGCAGTGTGCAGGATGCTGGCATGGGGCTACTTACAGCTCGGTCACGTCCTTGGGCATGCCTTTGGGGAGGACACGGAGCCCCTTGTTGCTGCAGCGCACCACCGTCTCCAGGCAGGTGCACTGCTCTGGGCAGCGCGGGCTCAGCGGGCAGCTGCTCTCGTCGTTACCTGTGGAGAGCCCCAGAGGTGAGCGTGGCAGGACGCGGCGTCCACTAGGGGGCGCAGGCGAGCAAGGCCAGGGCCAGTTGCCACCCAGCTGTTAGCAAAGGCCAGGCAGAGCCTGCTCCAACTCTGGGCTAGAGCCAGGCTGGAAGCAGCTGCTGGCCTCACCCTGGTTGGAGGGGGAAGGACACACACCTGGGGACATGGAGGGTTCCTGCCCTTCACTGAATTTGACTTAAAGCCTATTAAGGAGGTTCGGTGAGGCTTCCGCACAGAGGAACAAAAAGAGATCCCTGCAAACCAGATCAGGGCCAAGAGAGCGGGCAGGTGGGGGCAGAGCCCTGGCCTCCTCCCTCTTCCTGCTCTCTTTCTCCCCTCCCCACTAAACAAGCCCTTTGGGGTGGCAAGTGTGTCCCTAGGCCCTTTTATTCTTTAACCTCAGTTGATCTGCAAACCAGTTAATCTGTCCTTAGATAATGGATCAGGCAAAGGACAGTGCTCGCTTGAATTTATACAAACAAATATGCCCTCTGGGATCCTGAGACCCAGAACCTGAATTTTCTGTGCTCCTTGCCAGTGACAGGACTTTTCTTGAAATCTGTTTCTCATGGGCACAAACCTTGGACCTCACCATGACATAGACAGGAAAAGCAAGGCTGAGGGCTCCCACGTATAGTTGTGTAGGTTCTGTACAGTGCAAGGGGGCCACACCACCCAAGGGCACTGACCTCACTGTGGACATGGCAGATTAGTCAGCTTGGAAGCCCAGGGCGGCATGAACCAGCTCATGCTTTAGTAAATCGGGATGGATTTTTGAAGATGGAAGAAAATGGCTTCAGAAAGGGGCATCTCATCATTTGCAAGGCGAGCCCCTCAGGCTGGCTGCAGAGCCCCCGGAGCTCCAGCGTGTGCCCCAGGGTGGAGTGGATCAGGTCCCCGGGGATGCAGTCAGCTGCACCTGCGCCCCGCCCCCTCCCTGCTGCCCAGGCTCTCACCGTCACAGGTGAAGTCCTGGAGGGCCACGTCCTGGATGGGGATCTCCTTGAGGAAGAAGGGCTTCTGGCACCTGGGGTTCCCGCTGACAACCCGCCTCTTCCTCAGCCACCTGCCGAGCCAGGCCAGGTGGCAGTTGCAGTTGAAGGGGTTGGACAGGAGGTTTCTGAGGGTGAGAAGGGCTCTCAGGGCCAGCCTTGCCCTGCTGCCCTGCGCAGCCCTGGGACCCCACTGCAGGTGGCAGGAGAGGCCAGGCCCAGGGCCTGCTGCAGCCCTGCCCTGACACACAGATGGCTCCCCGCAGCCCTGCTGTGGTCCTGCTGAGGAGCAGGACTGTGGCCTCCTGCCAGGGCCTCTGCTACTGCTGGGGCTCCAGCCGCCCTGCCTCCCACTCTTCCATGGAGACCTTCCTCCACCTGGGGCCTGGCCCCCGCCCTCTTCCCTGCCCAGGACGCTCGCTCCAGCCTGCCTGGCCCCTGTCACCTGCGGTTCTCAGTTTCACCAGCACCAGCAGGTTGAGGGGACTTCTCTGAGCTCAAGTGGGAGGCAGCAGCCTCCCGGCCTCTCCCTTCCCCTCCCGGGCGGCTGTCAGCGCTCCTGATGGCTTCTGCCCTTGTTTACCACCTGCCTGGCATTCGGAGCCCAGGTTCATGGGGTGGGGCCATGGCCCTTGGCCTCTGTGTCTGGAAACTAGCACATTTCCTACAGGCACTCGACCCCTGGTGGGTGACAAGGCTGACTGGAGCAGGGAGAGGGGCAGCAGCTTCTGCCACCAAGTCTGCTCCAGGACGGGGCAGCTCCACACACCTCACATGTCTGTGACCTCACTCACACTGTCACAGTCGCCCTGGGAAGGAGGGGACATTATTCTCATTTCATAAATGAGGAAAGGATGGCCCAGGGAGGTCACCTAAGAGGGCCAGAGAGCCCTCGAGTGGCTGCAGTGTCACGGTCACCCAGAGCCCAGGCGTCAGCTGTCCCAGCAGCACCTTTCCCCTGAGCCTCGGTAGCTGCGGAAGTTGGGCCCGTTCCTCCACGAGGGAGCGGTGCCCTCGTGCTCCGTGACCTGCCCCTCCGAGCATCTAACTTGCCTTTTGTTAGGGAGGTCCCTGGGAACGGCTGAAGATGGGCCACAGTGAGCCAGCCCACGGTGTTGTTCCCAGCTGATAGACCCCCTGCTGAGGACACACTCTCATCCCATTCATTCGTGCATTTGGCCACGGTGGCCTGGGCCTCTGTACACTCATAGGCTGGCATCTGCTTAAGCTCCTCACAGGTGCAAGCCTCCAGGACACAGCGGGGAAGGGACAGCTGTGTATCCCTGTCCTTCCAGAACTTAGATGACAGGAGGCAAGCGATATGCGACTGGTCGTGGATGAGCAATGTGTGGCGGATCTGAGGAGGTAGTCAGTGTTAGGAGAGCAGGGCTCAGGGGACAGGAGGATGCAGAGGGGCATGGGGTGCGGCAGGTGGCACTTGAGCAAAGAACAGAGGGGTCAGAGGCTGGGAGGAGGGTGCCAGGTAGTATGAAGGGCCAGCAGAGTTCCAGGAGGGAGTGGGCTGGGTGGGAGAGGTTGGAGGGGGTCCGTGGAGCTGTACGGGAGGCAGGGAGGCCAGGCAGGTCATGAGGGAATGGCTACAACTCTCAACTCACAACTTCCAAGTGACATGGGCATGTGGATGGGACAACGGGTGGCAATAGGAACTGCAGAAACTGCCTTTTTTTCTTTTATCTTCTAAAGGGTGTTTGGAGAAGGGAAGAGATGGAAAAATTTACTATCAACAAAGGACAGCAGAGCCATGTGGTGTTGGGTCCTTTCTATACGGCAGGCCCTGGCTCTGCGCCTCAGAAACTGCAGCGACCCAGCCTCCTAACAGTCCCAGGAGGTGGATCAGGGGAAGTAGCAGCCTAGGGATGAAGTCCCTTTCCAAGGCCACACAGCCAATGAGAGGCAGAGCCAGGGTTTGGATGTAGGAAATTTGGCTCTAGAGTCACAGCCTCCTTACTGACAGGGTGAACCCTCAGGGTAGGAGCACTCACAGAGGTGTCCAGAAAGCTGGATTCAGTCCCTGCTGGTCACATCACTGATCTACTTCAAAGTCCCATTGTTGCTGACTCACATTGGATGAAGACTAAACCAGCCAACAGCCACCTTGCAGCCCAGCCCTGGCCTCCTCTCCAGTCTTGCCTCGTACCAAGCCTCTCACACTCAGTGCTACGGCCATGCTGGGCTTGCTCAGCTCCATGTATTGTCTATGCTCCAACTGACCACAGGGCCTTTGTGCATGTCTTCCTGAAGGATATGTATTTCCCACTCTCTTCCACAAGCTAACATTCCAGAATACAGCACCAGTATTTCTCAACAAAGCCTGTGTTGGGTTTTCACACCACTGTGGACCTCCCTACAGCAATTCACTCTGCTGTGAGCTCCAGTAGGGAGTGCTGGGTCCGTATCCTCAGTACCTACGTGAAGCCCAGAGTACAGGGAGCCTGCAAAGTTCTTTAAATAGACAGAGGGATATGTGACCATGGCCTCAGACAGCAAGGAGCTGGGGGACGGTGAGGTCTGCACAGGGGGACCAGGGAGACTCACATGGTGGACAGGGAGACGAGCGTGGTGAAGGCCCCAGGGGTGATGGTGGTGATCCGGTTGTCGTAGAGGGACAGCAGCCTCACAGAACTCAGGCCTGCGAAGGTGTCATTGCCCACGCAGCTGATCATGTTGCTCCTCAGCATCCTGCAGGTTGTGGGAAGAGGAGCACAGGTGTCAAGCCTTCCTCCTGCACACGGCACATAGCGGCGGGCATGTGACTAGTGGGGTGCTCCCACCACCCCCAAGCTGGGCTCTCCAGGCCGCTCAAGTTCATCCTGTAAATGCAAGGCCTGGATCCCCGGGGCCAAGTGTGATCTTGCTTGTGCGCTCCACTTACTGTGCCAGCGCTGAGCGTGCATGTCCCCCTGTGCTCATGCCTGTGGCTGCTGCGGGGAGAAGGGAGAACCCACGGGTTGCTGTGCACTGCCTTGTGTTCACGCCCATGTGGACAGGTGTGTCTGCAGGTGCTTGTGGGCCTGGGGCACGTGTAAGTGTTGTGCCATTTGTACAAACATGTGCACATGTGCATGCTTGTGGGGAAGAGTGTGCTGTGGCCGCCTCCGTGGGTTTCTGGTCTGATGTGTTTGGGAGGGTGCATCATGGAGTGACTCCAAGTGGCGTGTCCAAGTGCCATGCTGACCTCTTCCCCTCACAGACTGGGAGGTGTCCAGGGCTCCGGCTCCATAGGTCAGGATGGTGCGTGGTGCCCCGCTGCCTGCCCTGCCCTCGGCCTCCCTCCAGATTCCCAGTCCACTCACAGGGTCTTGAGGCCGCTGAGGCCCCGGAACATGCGCCCGTGCACGGCCTCCAGCTGGTTCCCGGTCAGCATCAGCTCCTGCACACCGGCCGCCCCATCAAAGGCCCCCTCTCGCACCTCCTTGATCTTGTTGTTGCTCAGGTTTCTAGAGGAGGAGGCAGATGGGGGACCAAGGGGGTACAGGGTCAGGAAGCGGGGGAGCCACGGCCCTGGGGACTGGAGGGTGCGGAGCTGTCATGATTCCCCTGACATTTGTCCTTAGACCCTGTGAAGCAGGAGCAAGGGCCCCACACAGCAGACGGCTTGGGAGTGAAGTGTCGTCACAGTGACCCTCTTTCCTATGCCCTGGGGACTGGCAGACTTAAAACAGTGATTCTCTAACTTCTTTTGTGTCCTCCCCAGATTTTCTCATTAAGTAGTGGTTCTCTAGAGAAGAGGGTGGGGAAAACAAAATACATCTCCTCCCATAGGGAATCCCACCAGAACCCCAACATCAGCAGGCACTTCTGTTTGTATTCATTGAGTACTTATCATATTCCCCCAGGAGAGAGATCCAGCCTTCACAACCATACCCCGAACACCACCATCAATCAGACAGACCCTGCTGCACTCCCATCTTACAGAAGAGGAGACCTAAGTTCAGAGAGATTAGGTAGCTTGCCCACAGTCACACAGCTGAGAAAACGGGGATTGGAAGCCAGGTCTTCTTGCATGTAAAAAGCGCTACACTGAACTATCCCCTTCACAAGTGAATATTTCTTTGATGATGCAGGGCCTCACTCCGTGATGTCACCAGCTTTGCAGAATTCAGGACTGGGGATAGTGTGTTTCTTAAAGTGAGCACTCAGTGTTGTCACTTATGGTTCTGCTCCAAGCTCTGAGGGCAGGTCCCTCCCTCCAATCCTCACACCCACACCCTGCCACAGAAGAGGTAGAATGGCAGGCCACGACACAGGCCTCCTAGACTCCACCTGACAGGGGAGGAGGGGTCTCCAAAGACCATCCAGATGTCCAGCCCTGAAGGCACCCCTGGCCAGTGGATGGAGCCAGCTGAGGGAAGGGTCTAGCCTCCCAGAACACAGCCGAGCCCTGCACAGAAAAATCTTCTGCAAGCAGGAGACTCCTTGGCTGCAGAGAGCCTGCCTGCTTGCCAAGCTGCTGAGGTCCCTGGAGCACGCCAGGTGGCCTGGTTATGACTGTGACTGAGGCCTGGAGGGGAGGGCTCTGCTTCAGGTTACAGGGAGGGTACCCCAGAAGGGGCCACAGGACCACCCCAACTCCCTCTCCAGCTCACAGAGCTCTGCGCTGACCAGCAGCAACCTCAGTGGGTGGAGCCTCCCTTAGGGACTGACCTGGAGCTCGTGGTGGAGCCAGGGTCTCCAGGGCTCCCTGCAAATCTCCCTCCCTTTCCCTGAGAACCAAGCGGGCCACTAGAGAGCCACGATGCGGAGCCTGTGGGCTGGAGTGGAGGGGACAGTCCTTCTTTGGAAGCATGTGCTCCTTGTCTTGACCTTGGTCTCCTCCCCTTTCTGTCCTGCCCAGAGCACAGGAGGCCACACCCCCAGGCCCTTCCCCAGATCTGGGAGTGGGCGTGGGTTGTTCCCTGGGGTCTCCGTGGCTTTTCTTTTCTTTTCTTATCAATCCTGGTCACCCTGCCCCAGGCTGACCCAGGAATGGAGGTAATGTGTTGGGGAGACTGCAAATTACCCCCAAATTGGATGTAGGAGGAGAGATGAAGGTTCTCCCGGCAGCCATAACTCACCACAGGCTGCAGGAGAGGTTGGCTCCAGGGAGCCCCGAGCTGCGTGGGGATTAAAGTACAAGGGCCAAGCAATGAAGATGAGTTAGGGCAGCTCTGAAGTGGGAGGCTTCCCATTTCCTGACATCTGTTTCTTTAAACGAGCAAAATTAACATCACATTACTGTAAGGTTTGTGAATTGCATTTCCTTGGGCTGGGAGAATGAAAAACAGAAGGGAGGCAGAGAGGGGTGGATAGAATTTTCCTGAAGGGCCAGCGCTGCTCTCTCCATCCATCAAAGCCCTCCTCACTGCTGCAGGCTGCAGAGAGGCGGGGTGGGGAGCACAGCCTGGGTGGACACTCCAGGAACAGCTGAGGGCTTCTGGGGTTTGTAGAGCTCTGATATTCCCACAGCAGGCATTCCCCAAGGGGCTCCCCCACAGGAAACCCCACCATGCAAATCCAGGGCCACCAGCGGCCTCTCCTCTCTGCAGCCCCCATGAAGGAAAACTGCTGCCTTGGGCCTTTGCCTGAGGAAGACGGGCACTTACACCCAAGGGCTCAGCCTTGTCCACTCACCCTGGGGACAGGGACGATGTAGAGGGGTCTCCCCCAGTCACACAGAGGTCTTGGAGCCGGTGGATTCGTCGGGCTGCTTGCCTGGGCCCAATGAGGCAAGGCCTGGCTGCTCCAGGTTTCAGTCTCTTTAGGGTTGCAGCCAGCCCATTAGTTCTGACTACGGGACGGGTTGAAAGCCTGGTCCCAGTTAGAAATGCCAGAAAGTTCCACTTGGGCCCTAGAGGGTGAACAGGACCTCCCCATCCTGACAGCAAGACGGAGCGCGTGCTCCATCATGACTCATTGCTGTCAGGATGGGGAGGTCCTGTTCACCCTCTAGGGCCCCTTCCCTCCCTTCTGAGGTGGAAATTCTCTTGCAGTTAGGATGCCAAGCCCAAGTATTCTCAGGGTCCAGGTAGTGACTTAATGGTGACTGGGAGCAGGCCAGGAAGGGTGAAGGGATCAGGAGGCACACGCCCCAGCTAAGGGGGCAGCTGCTTCTCAGTTCAACTCAACTGGACCCCCTTGGGGATGTGGATGTTCCAGAAGGTGCCAGAAATCCATACTTTCTGGTTTCTGTAAAGACTCCTGGTTTTTAAAGGTGAGCATGTTATGCTAATACGTTTTAAATACCAAGATCACATTTATTAACTTTATATTATAGTTTGTCCAGAAGTTATTGTAAGTTGTGTATCTTTGAAATATGTGCCAGTCACTCTGGTGTTCTGAAATGTTGCATTTCTCTAGAAATAATAGCTCTCATGCACTAATGCAAAATAACACAAACCAGGAAAAGAAAAAAGTGAGCAGCAAATTCTTCCACCACGGGCTGATCCCCTGGCGCGCCCCTGACTCTGGCCGGAGGACCACCGGTTTTCAGCCTCTGGTTGAGCTTCTCCTTCAGCATTAGAGTTGACCTGGAAGTCTACCTAAGAGAGGTCTCAGTGGCTCTCTGCATGTGACGTCGTCCTCCTTCCCTCCCTTCTTTCTTCCCAGTGCTGGGGGTGACACCCCGGGCCTCATCACGCTGGGTGAGCGCTTGACCACTGCTCTGCGTCCCCAGCCATGGTCTTGCTGAAATGCTGCATTGAGCTCCCACAGCAGTGAGGATCCTGTGCCATATCCCAGTCAGAGGTGCTCCCGTCTGCGTCCCTGAGTATAGGCAATGCCCAAGGGGACCCCACGAGGAGGGCTCAGCCCCACTCTCCCACCTGGCCGGTAGGGCCAGAGGTTCAGAAAGCCATGGAGTCCTACCACCTGGCTCCGTGCTCACGATCCCTTGCCTGAGTGCCCTAAAAGGCAGAGTCAAGAAAGGTGACTGGAGGACCATGGCCCCAGAGTCCTCGAGTAAACTTGGCACGCCCAGGCCTGGCTAGCTTTGGCTACACGGCTGGGCAGACATTGGGAAGGACCCGCCACCTCCAAGGAGGGGCCCAGCTGGGGATGTGTCTGGGGACACAAGGATCTTTGGTTGTTGTTGTCGTCTGTGGTGGCAGCTGGAGCTGGTGGCCTTTGGGATCAGCCTTGCCCCTTGGGTCACTGGTTGGTTGGCTGATCCTCACGTATATACATGGCTTTGTGCCACACCAAGACACACACTTGGCTACTGCCTTCCATGGGACACGGGCTCCCTGCTAACCTGCTCTGTCACCACTTCTGGCTCCTGGCTCTGCCACTCGCCTTTTGACCTTGGACAAGTTACTTACTACTCTGCTTCAGCTTCTTCACTTGTGAAATGAAGTGATATCAAAGTTTTTCTCCGGAGAGTTAAAGGAGGTAATGTCAGTAGCATCTAGCACTGAGTAAAGCACCTGAGAGGAGCCACTGCCACCTGTCATTATTGCTATCATCATGACTCTGTCCAGCCATGCTCCATATGTGTCCCACTTTCCAGGCTCCTGAAAGTGTCTGAGTTCTGGTTTTAGTTTTTAAATTAATTATTTTTATTTTAATTTTTAAATCTGTGCATCATACCTGTACCTAGCAGTGGGATTTTTGTACGCACTTGTAATATCGGTACATGTGACAATATGACGATGGACCTCAGTCAGTCTCGCTCCCCAGCTCCTCCCTGTTAAAATGTCTGATCAGCCATGCTGCTGCTCCTCCATCTCCTGCACCTCTCTCTGAGCCGCACACCCAGCCCCGTATTCACTTCTGATCCCCATCATAACTTGCAAGTAAGGTGAATTTATTTCTATTATACAAACGCTAATAAAACTAAGGCCTACAAAGGCCAAGGACAGTCCCCTGGTCACACAGCTGGAGAAGGTCCAAGCTGAGGCCACAGGGAAAATAGGTCTGCCTGCAGGTTCTCCCCATCATCTAGACACTCTTCAGAAGTGGGGACACTTGGCAGGCCTGACCTTCATTCCAGTGTGGCAAATAAGGGGATGAGCCTTGCCCCTTTGGATGAGAGCTGGGCCTACATTTATCACAGCCCCCACTCCTCCCTTTTGCTGCTGGGTCGCTGAGGCTGAGGTCAGCAGTCCCTCATATGTTTGTGCGAGTGTCTCCCAAAGTCGGCTCTCTATGCTTTGTCCCTAGCATCTGTCTGCAGGGAGGCACAAAGAAGGGGAGTCACACCTGAACCGGGAGAATGTTTCTCTGCAAAAGTGAAGGCTGTCTGCTCCTGTTCGCCAGGCCCTGGGCTGTCCTGACTCTCCTAGCACCAAATCCATAGGTGGGTAAGCTTCTGCCTCAAGGTCAAAACAAGCACGCATCCCTGGTATGAACTGGGAAGGACATCTCCTGGCAGGTGATGGGTGCTATTTGGCTGGGTCCCCGAGGTCCGTGGAGTGCTGGACCACAGTGACAGCTCAGAGTGCTCTGCATTGCCCACAGGTACAGACCAGTCCCTGGGGCTGTGGCCAGGGTGGTACTGTGGGCAGGGAGAGGAGGGGCCAGAGCAGCACCAATGAGATGTGATGCTGCCCAGGGCCTAGGAGGGGTCTGTCCTCCCTGTCCACAGGGTGCTGATGGGTGGGGCGCAGAGAACAGAAAAACAATAAGGAGTCATAGCCAATTCCCATTATGAATGGCAGTCACATTCTGCAAAGTCACCAGGTCCCCTGAATTAGCAAACACAGAGCTGTGGCTCCCGGGGAAACACAGGGTCAGGTCCTAGGAGGCCTTGCCCACAGCATTTCATCAACTCATCAATAGGAGACTTGCTTCATGAGTGTTTCTGCTTAAAGACACCTTATTTAATATGTTATTGATTCATTAACATTGAACTTGCAGCCCGCAGCAACGTGACTCCTGCCTGAATGGAAGACGTTCCCCAACACATGCATTTCCTCCCCAGGCCCAGCACAGGCTTCTCAGGCTGAGCACAAACTTGCAAATTATGTGGCCCTGAATAAACCACAAAGGGACACTTGTTTACAACACGAGGGCTGAACACAGCTGGCGCACCAGCTTTCGACATCAGCGGGGAATGTGTGTAGGGTGACTGAGTTCTCCCCTGCAGTGGACTCCGTGCATGGCCAAGAGTGGCCTTGAAAGCAGGAACAGTCTCGATTGTGGAGCTACATAAATTCTAGCCAGCAGGTGGGTTTGCAAATATGTACTCTGAATAATGAGGACGGACTGTGTTTCCCTTGCTTTGGAAACAGACCCAAATTCTGGGGCCAAGGGAGATGGAATAGGGGGTGGGGGAAAAGGGTGTCAAAGAGAAGACAGCCTTGGAATCAGACAGCAGAGACCATCTCTGTGCTGGCTTCCTCTGCTGGGACACCCAGGAAGGGAGGAGGAGGGAAGGAAGCCCAAACTCACACTAGTGTGACTGTAGGTGGATCCAAATTTAAGTACCAGTTCTGATACGTGTTTGATGTATGGTCTTAAGAGAAGTCACTGAATCTCTCTGAACCGCAGTTCCATGACCTATATGAAGGGGACTGTGAAGCCAGTACAAGATGGGTGAGTAAGGACCAAATGACCAATGCATGTCCGACAGGGCACATGGACCTGGGTCAGAACAGGTACCCTAATAGCATGGCAGTGTTATTTTTGTTACCTTTGTGACTTGGTCCCACTTGGGCAGGGAGAGGGTTATGACAGAGGACAGCCCGGGAGCAGAGAAGAAATAAAACGTGTCCTCTGACTGAGCCCAGGCTCTGGTCAGATCCAGGGACCCCCAGACTAAAAGCCAGTGTGAGCACAGCTGACAGCCTTCCCACCATGTGCCTGGGGATGGAGACACCTCGACTCCACCTACCAGCTGGCCGCGAGCTGTCCACTTGTCAGAATGGCGAGTGGCTGTGCCGGGATGCCACACTCCATTGCTGGTCCTCACCCGGGGCCCAGCTCTTGGGGTAGTGGATGTGGGGTGGGGTAGGGCTGAGCAGAGGGGCAGTGGGGTCAGGGATGCTGTGGGCACACGCTTATCACAGCATGTGACCATGAGACACAGCCACATTTCATTTTGGCCGTGTCTGTCTGTCCTGTAGCCCAGCACAGGCCAGGGCCGGGGTCAGCAGGAGGCTGGGAGGGGCTGCAGCGGGCGAGGGACCCCAGTGCCCTGGCTTCTGCTCTGTCTGAACAAGACCCTGGTCAGGGAGTGTGGTGGCTGCCGGGCTCCTGAAGTTCACTTACATTTTCCGCAGGTTCGGCAACTTCTTGAAGATGCCTGTGGCCTCTAGAACAGATATCTCGTTGTCATTCAGTCGCCTGCAGGGAAGCAAGAAGGCGAGGGGGTGGGTCAGCTGGGGTGAGGTGCCTCCTTCACGCCCTCTGCTTGGCTCCCTGCATGGCTTTGACTGAGAGGCCATGACCTCGCATTCCGCTAGGGCCCCCAGAGCCATGGGACTCGGCAACTGGGCAGCCGCAGAGTGCGGTAGGAGAGGGAGCATACTCCTCCTCCCCTGCAGGAAACCCCTTCAACCTGGATGGAGAGGCCTTCTGGAATAGTCTCATGGGCATCCACGAGAAAATTCAATTGCCAAGTGTCTGCCTTCATTTTGTGGGAACCTTCATTTTGTGGGAACCTTCATTTTGTGGGTACCAGTGGCAACGTAGAACACACTGGGAGGCTTTTACAGCACCTTGCCAAGCTGCTCAGCTCCTTCCTGAGCACTGTGAACGCGAGCAGCCCTGAGGCTCCATGCCCAACATTCCTGCTGGCACAGGGAGAGTGGTGAGCAGCTAGGCTGGACCTTCCACGTCCTGTGGGGATTCCAGAACTCAAAGAGAATGACATGATCCCAGCCCTGCCTTCACTTATTTACCCAGGGCCTGCTCTGGGCAAGGACTCAAGATGAAACTCTGTGCTCCTCTCCTTCTTACTCTTCCCAGCGGATGCCCTCCTTCTAGAGCTAGGAAATGGCCTCAGACACGAGAAGCAGCTGGCCGATTTCAGGAAGACTGCAGGGAGCAGGTGTCAGGCTCAGGTCCCTCGGCCCCATGGGCTGCACTTTTGCCTTACTAAGGTATGAATTTGAGCTCTTCCTTTTTTGGGATAAACCAATATAGCCCTTCAGTAGCATGGCAAACAGGAAGGTCAGCTATATCTAATCATTCTAGTAGTTTTCTTGCTTTATTACAGTTTTTAATTTAATCCCAATCTTTCTGGTGGCACTATAAGCTCCCCAGGGCCAGCAGAGGCTGTCTGCCTGCTCTGGTCACTGAAGATGGACCTGGGCATCATAGATGAGACCAGCACGGGGCCTGGCTTCCCCTGAGTGCTCAGGATGCATTTATAGAATGAATAAACGGATCTTCCTGATTAAGAGCGAGCCGTCCGTGCATGGCCAGGTGTCTGCCTTGGCTTGTTATGCAGAGGATGCCCAAGGAGTGGCCCTGCAACTAAGCCAGAGGGGGCCACCTCCAGGAGACCCCCCCTGGGCTGGTGGAGGGTGACTGGGGTGCAAGGGGAGGGGAGGATGTTCACACGCAGGGTGGGACTTACAGGTCGGTGGCATATTCGGGGATGTGGCTCGGGATGCGGGCCAGCTTCTGGTTGGAGCAGTCCACAATGGTGCCCTCACAGCGGCACTTCTCGGGGCACACGAGGTCCATGAAGCACTCGCTGCTCAACCGGCTGCGGTAGTCCTCGGAGCCTGGGCGGGGCCAAAGAGGGGCGTCAGCGTCATGGGTTCCCTCGCAGAGGGCCTGAGGCTGTCCATAGTGGGGGAGGGGAGACAAACCAGCCCCATGAATTGAGGTGCGTGTGGGGGTCGCACGACATACACGGCATCACCGTCATTGGTGGGCACCGCAGGGCGCCCTGCCCTGTCCCTGCCACTTTTCCTGTGATCTTTGTCACTCATCTCTTTCATCCTTAGGGAAACCAGGCTCAAGATCCGGGGCTCTTATGCTTTTGTGGGCCAGGGACCTGTTTGAGAAGCTGAAGAAAGTCATGGACCTTCTGCTCAGAGAAATACCGCAGGCTGCATGGGTAGAGAATCCAGCCTCCAGTTTGAGGGAGGCTCCCTGTTCCATGAAGCCTACCACCCACAGAAGCTCTAACTGTTCCTCATGACCCAAGCAGAAGAGATTTTGCTAGGGCTTCTGTGGGGCTCCCTCAGGGCTGGGAATAAGGCAAAGGAAGAAGTGCAAACTCAGTTGTCTTTTGGGGCTTGACAGTAATGAAATGAACAGAGGAAGACAAACCTGTGGTCCTAAGTGACCACTGACATAGGGCCTCAGTTACTGGCAAGACAGTGATGAGGGTTGGGCAGGTGGGGATTTGGAGCCCACGACTCTCATGATTGGGAATTTGGCTCTGAGTTGCCCAATGTTTCTTTTCCTTTTTATTTATTTATTTTTTTTCCTCAAGAGAAATCAGGTATTTAAAAAATATTGGTATTGAATTCAAGTTTGAAACACTGTGAACATAAGCAGAACACATTTGAGGGTCGGCTCTGACCTCTGTCTTAGAGACTAAGTCCTATTTAACTATAGTGCAAGGGCAGTTCCCATGAGTTAAAAGTTGGAGCTAAGATTTATTTTTTCAAAATTGCATTTCTCTCAAGGTCATACAGCAATGGCAAGGAGACTGACAGTCTGATGTCTCTGAGAGGTGCCCTGGGGAGCAGCCGGCAGACCTCAGTGAGCACATGAATTATGCTGGGGTCTCCTGTTCTCCTATCAGACGGGAGTTCCTTGCTGGCCAGGTCTTTTCATTCTCTCACTCCACATGCTGCATTAGCACCAAGCTAGGAAAACAGGGACTTGGTCCACATGGGCCCATGCATGTGGGATGCCTCCAGCACCCGAGTGTCCCATGTGCATTTCTGAAGCGTCTCAGAGTATGGACGTGGCTTGTTGGCAGAGCCAGCTGAGCGATACCTTGGTGATCTTATCTGTGACCTTATGGGGCGCTAGTAGTCTGCAGGTTTCAGCAGCAGAGGGCATCAGCTTGGCCAGGCTTTGCTGTGAATTAGCCTGAGCCTCTCCACAGGTGAAGTGCAATCAAATAGCTGCTCCTACCTCACCCGGGTTGGTATGAGGCTGAGAGCAGGATCCAGGAGGTGGAGCCTCTCTGGGAGAGGCAGGTGGAGTGTGGGTGCTTGTGGTTCTATTTCTGCTCCCTTCTCTGCCACCTGGCATGTCAGAGGCCACTGACGTCAGGGGGCCGATGTACGAGCTGCTACTTGGCCAGAGCCAGGCAGTCTCCTCTGAGCTTGGGTGATCCCATGGAAGCCCTGCAATACCCCGAGTTTCCATTTTATAGATGAGGAGACTGAGGCCTACAGGGTACTATGTGCATGGCGAAGGGATGAACCCAGATCGGCTGCTGCCAGGGGCCATGTAACCAGCACAGTGCATCACCACAGAAGTGCTTTTAGACCAGAGCTTCATCCTGTGCCTCTGGGAACGACACACAGTCAGACGTGGTGGTGGGGGTGACATGTGGGATTCTGCTCCGGTGGGCTACAGTCAGGCAGAAGGCAGGTGTCTCCCTCCCTCGGGGTTCCCTCCCTTCCTACTACCTCCCTGTGGTAATTGCTGATGGGGGATGAACCTGGTGGTCTCTGCTCTGAAGTGGACTATCTACCCCAAAGCAAGCCAGAAACCTGGCTGTGTCCTCCTTTCTCCCTCTGCTTTCTCCCCATCCCCACTTCATCCAGCTTCCTATCCCCAGGCTCATGTGAACGGAATGGAGGCCCGTGTCCTTGTGATTTAGATGGCTTCCTGGCCCAGTGTATAATGCACATCTCCTGCCCGTGGCTTGCTGACATCGTCCCACTGAACCCCGAAACCTGGGCAGGCCGGGTTGGGTGAGTTCCATTTGTGAACCCTGCCGAGGCCCACAGGGTACTTCCCACTCTTGTGCCCTGCTGGTGGGTCCACGTGGCAATGGTGTGCAGGGGCGAGTTGCACGTGTGCATCTGTTTTCCCTTTGCAATGTGTCTACAACGGGATCCTTGCAGAGCCGAGGACCCTGCCTGCCGATCACAGGCAGAAAGACAGTTGGGGACACGGTTTGCTCTTCAACACAAAGAGCCTGAAGACGTGGCCGGCTGGGGACAGGCGCCTGTTAAGTGCATTTTTGTTTTAATCAAGGTGAGAGCGGCCATGGTTAGCGGGAATCGCTCTCAGTGGTACAGTTAGATTATAATGGCGGACCTCTATGGTGGAGCCGCTGACCCATCTTAATGAAATGATTTTGCAATTAGATTCGATGGACTAATGTGCTCTTTCTAGCATTTCTCCCCCTGCTGTTTTTGTTATTGCCCTGGTTTGCAATAATGAGGGGGGTCGGAGAGTGATATTTCACGGGAGCCAGAAATGTTCATAACGGCGTATGTACATAACCGAAAAAGTGGGTTCCCCAGTTTCAGCCAGCCCGAAATGCCACCTCCATCACTTCATATTTCATTACTGAAACTACCCAGGGCTTCTTGGAGCCGTTTGTTATGCCTAATGCTCATAACTACCCAAAAGTATTTTTAACTTTTCCAGAGCTTTAAAAGTCAATTTCAATCTCAATGCATATTTTTCACTGCCAGAAATACTTAGTAGGAGGGAACCAGTCGAATCAGGCAGCTGCTTCTCTCTTTGGGGCGGTTCAGACAGGAGAGATCTCGGAGGACTCGGAGAAGGGCCATAAAACTCAACCCTGGCTGAGGTGCGCCCTGGGAGTGCTGACGTCATCTGGCATTGTCCTGCTCCTGCCCCTGCAGCCCTCCTCCCCTTTTGTGAGCAGCTCAAGACGATGACACTGGTAGTGGTCACAGAGAAGCTTTAATAGACAAGGTGGGGTGAAGGTAGACATCCACAGCACGAGACTTTACTAGGAATCCGGCCTCTGGCCCCCTCCTGGGAGGGACGCATGTGACATGTGAGGGGCCTGGGACTGGGCAGCAAGAGCTCCTATTCTTTGGATAGACTGGCTGGGCTGATTAGGGGCCAGTACCAGTCCCAGGTGGATTGGAAGTCACCAGGACATCGTTATCTGATCAGCAGGGATCTGCCAACTGCTGTGGCCAGGGCTTTCCTCTGTCCCCAGTAGCCCTCTGATCAGTGGAATGAGGAAAAGGAGGAAAAGGGCAGAAAGAGGAACTGGGGGAGCGTGACGGCCTTTTCAGTAGCTTGGAGAGGAAGTGATATGGACAGGAGGTTGCAAGTGTGAGTGGGTCAGAGGAGCGTTGGCAGGCACACAGACGTCCACGCACAGGCAGGGCCGGGACCTGACCCCAGGGGCCGGAAAATGCTACCTGGGTTAGCAGGAGTTTGGCCAGCAGTTGTGCAGTGAGGTGTCCTAAGCTGTCCCCACTGGATCTAGTATGAGTGCATCCAGGGCTGGAAGCAGAGAAGCTCATGGTCATGAGCTTGGTGGTAGGGCACAGTATGGATCCACCACCCAAGCCTGGCTCCTGGCATGGTGGGGCAGTGGCAGGGAACTCAGAATTGTCGCTCCATAAGGGAGGAAAGGTGTCCCAGGCTTGAGAGATCCTGGCATGTTCCTGCTGGAGAGGCTGAGCCATTTAATTCCTCCTTACTCAAGTTACTGCTGATAACAGATGTAAGCTTGGAAGGGAACATCTGAGAAAACTTTCAGCTCCCTATGGATTCAAGCCAGGGATTGAAATGTTTTCTAATTCAAGGTAACAGGGATGTGCTCAGCCAGGAAGGCTGAGGGTAGAAGGGGCAGAGCTCAGCCAGATGGAGGCAGTTTTTAGTGATGGGGCCAGATAGCCAGCCTCTCTGAGCCTCAACAGCCTTACTTGTACAATGGGACTCGGTGATGTAAAACATCACCAGGCCTGGCCTATTGCAAGCACCCAGTATGTGTTAAAAAATTCAGAGAGGCGAGTAGGATGCCCCATTAGTCATCAATGGTAGGAACTGGCCCTGCAGGGCAACCGGAGGGAGATATGATGAGAGTCCTAGACTTTGATGGGAGCCCAGCGCCCAGCTCCTGAGTCTAAGCCAGGGTGTGGGTCCCACCTTAGTTCTCTCTCATGGGATGCAACAGAGACTAGGAACCAACAACACTATCTTGTTTACACTGGGTCAAGGATGTATCAGGAAGATCCCTCTTTAGGGTCAGAGTCAGCAGGTGTCTGCACAGCCCACTTGGCCCTGAGTGAGCATCAGACGAGGAGCCCAGCATATCTGCATGAACTGTGCTTGAAGTTCAAGGAAACAGATAGGACTTGAGGTCTAATGGGGATCAGGGCCAAAGTGTTCATGAGGAGCAGGAGTCAAGTTCAGAAGGAGCCATGGTGAAGTTCAAGGTCTCAGACTCATGCCAGCTTCACCCATTCACAAGCTCACACTCATCTCACATGAAGAGGATTCCAACGGAGGTGGTAAGGGTCATGGGCAGGATGGACTCCCCTTTGGGTTAGCTGCTGCATGGGGAAATGACCTTGGGCTGGGATTCTCCCATGAGCCACAGCTCAAACCTAGCTATTACCCATGGCTGGCGTCCACACTAGATTTGGGGGATGGTGCCTCCATTTGGGGTAGAGATATGGCTGCAGGTTGTGGGTTGGCCCCATGTGCTTCTCCAAACCCATTTCACCCTGCATCTGAATCCTCAGAGACTTCCACCCTCCTCCCTTTTGAGTCAAGATGGGGAGAGGGGTCTGGCAGGTGGGCTGTGGTGTCCAGAGCAGAGGAGGAGTGTCCGGCGGCGGCGGTGGCGGGCCATGCTGCAGGAGAGCGCGGTGCTTTCCGCGGTGCTTGACAGAACCATGTTCCGTTTCCATCGTTCCACCACATGGTTAGATCAAGCACAAAGGAAAGCCCCACGGCCACTGGTCAGAGTCAAGGTCAGGAAGCAGCATCAGAGAGAGGACAGGAGCGCTCAGAGGAAGCAGCGTGGAGAAGCGGAAGCCGGAGCAGGCCCCCACTGCGCGTGATTAGTACCAGGAGCGGAGTTCCACTGGAACGCTTCTGAAGGCCCTGCTGCCCTGTGCCCCGCCCCAGGGGACACATAGCAGGAAGGAGGACAACAGGTGGGAAGCCATCAGACACCTTCTCAGAGGCATCAGGGCAGAAGGAACCCCTCCCCAGGGGGTGGAGAACATCCGGACAGCTGTGTCACATCGTGGGCCTGAGCGGAGCATCTGACCTCCATTCTGCACCTCACCATTGGATAAGAATCAACTTAGCAAAGCATCTTCTGAGAGCTTTGCCACACAGGGCCAATCCCAAGGGCTGAGTGGTGCCATCCGCTGTCCACTATCCCTTAAATAGAGAGATATCCACAGTTCCTGGGGGTCTAGCAAAGCGGATGCTATTCTGCAGGAAAAAGCCCCTGTGACATTCCATTACTCAGGGGTCTCCTCAACATCCTCAGGGTCCCCAGAAGCCCTTGGCTGACAGCTGTGCATTCCATACCACTGGGGGTTTGGTGGAGGAGGTATGGGTATCAAAGGAGACACATCTTCCTACCCAGAGAGATGGGAAGCCAATGGGGCCTTGAGTTTGGCACCAAGAAAACTACAATCACCATGGTCTGAGGCACCAACTGTCACAGAGATAGTGGCAGGTGAATGGAGAGTGGCTCCTGACTAAAGGGCCTCTCAAACCAAGAGAAGGAAGGACGGGGGAACCAGTCACTCAGCTGGAGGGCAAAACACCTGATTCTAGGGTCCTTTTGGATTCCCTGACCTCCTCCTTGGCTGGGAGTCATGGCAGTGGTAGGAAGGCTAGTGAGCCATGATCCTGGAGGCCAAGGAGCCAGACGAGGGTACCCAGTCTATATTCCCATCTGTGGCAGAGCAGGGGAACTTCTCATGAGCCTGCTGACCTGGGACTTCTCCATTGGACTGGAGAGGTGTAAACACTGATGAGACTGGTGCTCTCCCTGCCTAACCTCGGACAGGAGGGACAGTCGCCATTCCTCCACAGTGTGTTGGGGACTGGGTTTCTTGACAAGCTATTCTCAGCACCTTGACAGTGCATAGGTAGTCTACAATGGTGGGCATCTGTAATCTGGACTTCATCCCATACTGACATGCACACTCCCGGGCTCTGTGGACACTCTGCTTCTCAGATTTTGTCTTGGAGTTTGATCAGTATCGGGGCAGAGGAAATCTACCCCATTCATGCACCTCGCCCTAAAATCTCCCTTTCCTTGTCTTTGGCTTCCTCCTCCAAAAGGAAATGAAGGGACCTGGAAATATACTATCAAGAATCTTCCTAGTGTATCAGAAATCCTGGGTTTCAGACCTTGCCCTGAAATTACACCCTATACCTTTGACAGGGCTTTTGAGCTGTGTGGTCCCCAACTTCTTCATCTTTAGAACAGACTGGATGTTCTCTGAGGTCCCTAAGATGTCTGGCTGTTTGCCACTTTGGGACACATGCCCTCCCTCTGGGCTTTTCTTCTCTCTCTCTCTCCCTCTCTTTTGGTGCTGGGCCCATGGCCTTGCCCGTCAAGGCAATGTTCTACCTGAGCCACACCCCAGCCTGCACTTTCCATCATGAGAGCTTCTTCTCACACAAAGCAGGGAGCAAAACAGACAGCTCCTTCAACTGGCAAGTGCTCCCAGGATGGGCCAGGGTCTTTCAGCCAGACTGTGCCTGTGCAGGACTTAATCTGATGGTCAGATTGCCCCAGTCAACAGCACCCACCCCGATCTCCTGCCCAGGGCGAAGGCTGCAGCTGATACAGAGAGGCAGAGCCCAGCAGCTGGGGAACCAGACGCCCTGCTAAGGAGGGCTTTAAGTGCGGCAGGAGCAGCCCTCAAATTGGCTGCTAATTACATCAGCTGTCTTTTCAAGGGGGTGTTTTTAGGGGAAAGTAAAATGCAGAGTTATTATCTGTCAACTCCACTATGTGTCACCTGCCCCCCTTCCTCCTGCTGGAGCTTCCTGGAAACACAGAGCTTTAGGTCCATGGTTTCTGCCTCCCCCAGGGCCAGGGCAGGACTGGGTCCTGGTGTTTCTCAAAGCCCAGGCCCTTGGAGCTCAGCGTTAGCTCTCACTACCTCTTCCCTGCAGCTATGCAACATAAAAGCACATGTCATGCTAGACGTCAAGCTCGCGATGGCTACAAACATCTCTACCCTGTAGGGAGAAGCTTTCTGTGTAGTGTTGTTTTTTAAAGAAATAATAATATTTTAGTCAAGGTCAACTGAGAACCCTGCGCCCTCTCCCTGTCTATGTCTGTTTACAGTTCCCCCCCACCCACACAGGAGAGGAGCCAGGACCCTGTGAATGCAAAGGCAGGAAGGCAGACAGGCGGGCAGACGCAGGGCCGGAGTGAGCCTTGTTGTTTCTAGGTCCCCTTTCTCTTCCTTTTTCTCCTCCTAGCTCTTTCTATACCTGCCATCCCTAACTTGCTGTCCCCAATCCCCACCCACAGCCATTCCTAGGTCATTCCCAAGGTTGTGGGAGGGGCCATCCTCAGACCCTGGCCTACTCCACCCCAGCCCTGTCACCCAGGGGCTTGATGTCACCTAGGGTCTTGGACATAGACAGGACACTCACGAGACTGAAGTTGGCAGGTGGTGCCCTGTCTTCCCCTGACTCTACAGCCCCTCTCCTTGGCTACTACTAATTGGCCGAGACAGTTAACGGGGCCCTGGGCAGGTGGAGGCAGGAATAGAATGAGGAAAGGCCCTGGGAAAGGACCAGGTGACAGTTCAATCCTCAAAAGTTCCTTCCCAGAGATGCGTGGGCCCAGAAAAGAACCTAAGGACAGAGTTCGGGGTGGAGTGGGACCATGAGGTCAGGGGAGGGGCAGCTGTTGACCTCCTTCCCAAATGCTCCTTCTGTCCCAGACGCTGGGTGCCAGTGGGAAGAGCGAGCAGATCTGGGGTCCACTCCTGCCTCTGTGGTGGCTGACTGTGGCCTCGCCCTGGGGTGACCTTTCACTCTGAGCCCTTGACTCCTCTGCCCTGGCACAGGGACCCGCCTACTGCCCTCACAGGACTATCGGAAGGAGCCAATCAACTGGAAGCATCCAACATGGTGCTCCTCAGAGATGGAGGGTCCATCTGGTAATTTACATCATTATTCTGAGGAAGGCCCGTTGGTACCAACTCTTCACACTGCCACCACGTCCCTGTGGCCTCTAGGCCCTCTTGAGGCATTTGATTCTCCCAAGAAAAGTAAAATCAAAGAGCTCCAGTTCACCCTGGAGACTGGGATCACAGAACTTGACTCAGAGAACAAGAACGTGGTGCTGCCTGCTGGTCTTCTCTGTTGACCAGTTCCCTCGATGGCACCCTCCCTGATTACCAGAAGATGCCCAGGGCAGGGGGAGAAGCAGGACCCTGGCTGAAGCCAGCCTGTGTGCACCACCCACCTCTGTCCCTCGACTGTCAGTCACCTACCCCAGGAGCAGAGGCTGGGCAGTGATCTTTTCCAGTAGAAAAGAACATGGATGCCAGTCATTTTAACTGCCTGCTCCTCTAGTTCTCGGTCAAGGAGAGCTACTTCTCTTTCCAAGACTGGCTAAGACTCCCCTTGTCATTTGTCCCTGTCCTTCCTGGGTGCAGTGGGGAGAAATGTTTCTAGAGCACTTGGCACGAGAGCAAGGCCGTGCTTCTTCCCAGTCTCTGCCGTCCTCTCCGACATCAGGGTGCAGCTTGGAATGGATAGTGAACCTGTTTTTGAAACCCGTAATGTGCTCGGCCCCAGGGCTGTACCAAAGTCTGTCTTCCAGGGGACTTGGATTACAGAGAGCCTGCCTCCTGGCCTGGGCTACATTTATTTCTCTGTCTGCCATTAGGGAAGCAGGCTTTGGAAACTGAAAATCCAACGTTACCCTCCTGTCAAGGACACGTGTGCAGAGGCTGTCCTGTCTCTGGCTTTACCTAGCTCTGGGGCTCCGAGGCCGCCTGGGTTCTGTCTCCCCTGAAGCCGCCTCCCCCTCCCCTCCCCTATGCTTTGATTGTGTGTGTGTGTGTGTATGTGTGTGTTTTATTTTAAATCCATAAGGTAATTGGTTTTCTGTGGGCTAACTGAATTTCCCCAATTTAATTTGCAAAGATGCTCCCCAGGAGCCATTACGGGCTCGCTGTCCTCTAGATTGGATTACTGGCCTCTCAGGGGCTGCTGTGTTCTGAGTCAGAAAGTAGGGCCCAGCTCCCGTAACCTGATTACCTGAGCAGCGGAACTTCTTGCTCTTGATCTGGCTGATGCGCTTGTTGGCCAGCCGGCGTGGGCTGCTGCAGCGGGCCCCACTTGTCTCGATGGGGTTGTCCTGGAGGTAGTCAGCCAGCCACTTCAAGTGGCAGTCGCACACAAACGGGTTTTGGGCTAAGTGGCTGCAAGAGGGACAGGGCTGTTAATCAGGAGTGACCTGTGGCGCCTCGCTCCACCACCACCCTGCCTGGCAATCGGTGCAGGACCCTGTCCCTCGTGGCCCCAGGAGGCCTGGGGGTGCTGCTTTCAGACAGGACTCAAAGAGAGGGCCTGAGGCTGGCTGGCTGCCAGGACAGGCACAGATGCAGCTAGCATCTGGTCTGGGGAACCAACCCCCAGCTCTCCCTGCTTGGGGGCAGGACCCGCCACCGCGCATCTCTACTCTCACCCACGCCAACTCAGGCGGGCAAGCAAGTTGCAAGCTTTAGACTCTACACCCGGGCAGAATGCATTTTATTTCTCTAAGCTTGGGGACACCAGGCTCGTAAAGCAGCTGGCGTGGCGACTGGCATATGGTGGGTGTTCCAGATACAGCAGCGGGTATTGTTATTATCCTTATCATCACGGAGCGCCGGGGTCTGGCCTCCCCGGCGCAGGGAGAGAAGCTCTGCAGAGCGCTGGACGCAGAGCGTGGCACCAGCTCTGTATTCAACAGACAGCAGCTGCTCTTGCCCTGGATGGGTTTCTGCCTCTGACTACAGGATAATGTGTGCCAGTGACTCGTGGGGTCTTCAGGAGCCCCAGGCTCACTGCAGGCCTGGAGCTGGGGTCCAAGCCTGAAGCTGGAGCCATTAAAAACATGGGCTGAGATCTGGACTCAGATATGATCTACTCACTTGCAATATTTATACCCATCTGTGGTGCCCAGAATGTACTTCCCAGTGAGGAAGAAGTGTTTCCAGAGTCTCTACGAGACACTTAGTTTTGCAGGTTTCTGTTGGTAGGCAGAAATGAGTCATCAACAGGGATGACACCTGCTCAGAACACAGCAGCTGTGCTCAGCTTCTCTGCCTGGATTCAAATCCTGCTTTTTAACTAGCTGTGTGACCTTGAGTAAATTACTTAACCTCTCTGTGCCTTTGTTTCCTCATATATAAACTGAGGATAATACTAGCATCTACACCCTAGGGTTGCTGTGAGATGTAAACATCTTTAAACAGGGCAAGTGCTCCTTGTGGTGATGAGTCGCCTGAATGTCACATGGCCAGCTCCTGGTTCTTATCATTCCACTCTCACTGACAGCCCAGCCATGCTGAGCGTGTGAGTTTGCCTCATCAGGGTGTTCTCTGCTACCGGGCGCCTAGGGTCGCCAGAACCTGGCAGCATACTCACAGTGTCTGGATGGACTGCAGAGGGGCGAAGAGCCCCTTGCTGATGGTCTGCAGCTTGTTGTCGTACAAGGAGAGCAGGGTGAGGCTCTGCAGGTCCTGGAAGGTGTTCACCCGCAGGCAGTTGATCTTGTTGGCATTGAGGAGGCTGCAAACAGAAGAGGCCGTGATTCGCCAGCCCCAGTCATTATCAGCAGTGCACAGGCTGTGCCTGCAGGGGACAGGCTGCAGAGTGGCCATCGTTCATCCCTGCAGTCTTGAGCTCCTACAGCCACCCAGGGGGAGAGAGGGAGGGCTGTGTGCCTGGCCACCCTGGCTGACCACGCCTGGGCACTTGCATGGCTTCCCCACGGAGCCTGTGTCACATGCTGCCACCTGGCACTTGCCCTTCGCTGCAGGGAGACCTGAAAGGGACCTGTGCCTTGAACTTTCTGCTTTAGAATTCCGAGCTTCCAGGAAAAGAAAAACAATCATTTGGCGCAATCATTTTAAAGCTCTAGTTGCCAGGGTTCTTTTGGATCATTGATTCCACTGGAAATCTGGTGAGAGTCACAGGTCATCCCACCAGAAAGCCCGAAGCCACGTGCAGCCACGGGCACGCACACGGCCTCTCTCTCACTCACGCAGAGGACAGGTCCATGCAGTCCCGCGTGGCCTGACCCCTGCCCTCGTGCACATCATGCCAGCCCCCCCTTCAGCTCCCCGGCTGCCCGCTTCCTCCCTGCTCCTCAGCATCTAGCTCAGGTCCTGTGACCCTCTTTCAGCAAACCTGGCTTCTCCTCCTCCTCTGCCTTTGAGCTCAAATGTCACCTCCTCAGAGAGGCTGGGCTGACCATCTCAGCTGGGACCCCCCGATGCTGCCTCTCACAGCCCTTCAGGAGTCACCTTGACTTGTGATTTTAGGGTGATTTCTTTTCTTACTTATCATTTGCCTTCAGAATAAGACTGACGGCTCCGTCATGGCAGTGAACCCCACTGCATCTCTCCCTTAATTCTTGGGGCTTATTCTTTATCAAGAAACTTGCCAACTCCAGAGGCAACCTTGGGGGTGTCCCTCCTCCACAGGGGCACTGGTTTCCCCAGGATCAGCTTTCCCTGAACTGGGGACCCACTGTGCTGCTTTTCTCTTCAGATCCTTCCCTCCACACCCCCAAAGCCTCACGGGAAGCTGCCTTCTGGGTGAGACCCTGGTGCAGCGGATGCCATAGGAGAATTCCAGAGGCACCTGGCAAGCCAACCAAATTGGAGTGCTAAGAATTTCCTTCTTCATCCTAGACTGGCCAGTTGTGCCCTTGAAGTCAGTGTAAAATCGTCTCTCACTTCCTCTTGAACGACAGTGGTGGGGAGGGAGGAGGAATGCTACCCAAGAGCAAAAATGGTGAATTTTTAAAATTCCAGTTTTCAAGGTTGGCTTAGAGCCTCCCTGGTGGGGAATGACCCTGAGATTCCTAATGGGCTGTTGTGCCTCAGGAGTCCCTTGACAACAGAACCCAGGGGGACGGGCCTCAGCAATGGTGGGGCTGCCCCGGGGAGCTAAGCCATCCGAGCCACCTCTCCCAGGGGTCCCTGTGCAGGAAGCAGGCAGCTGTCACAGTGGCAAGTGGAAGAGCTGCCTGTTTAATCTGGCTAATAATGGGCAAAGTCCCTGGGGTCCGCACAGATGTCCTCCTGCCTTGCAGTGGGAAAAGCTCACGTTTGCAGAATAGTCTCCCTGTCCTCCTCACGCCCCATGCTTCTCCCAGTAACCTGGGCAGATGGGCAGAGCTACCCGGGCAAGTTGCAGGTGAGGAAACTGGAGCTCAGAGGTGGCCAGGGTTGTTCAAGGTCACGGGTGTTTCGGGCGGCCTGCTGGCTGTGGTTTATGATAACCAGGTCTCCAGAGGGTTCGCTCTTTTTCTTACAATGCCTCATCCACCCGGCCCATCTGTCTCCCCTTTTGCAGCATCTTCCTCAAGAATTTCCTGTGCTTTGTGTATTGAATCGTAGTCAAGGTCATGCTGTCTTGGGGACATTTGAAGGAGGATTCCGTGGAGCAGAGAAACGGAGAAAATCCAGCAGACCCCATAGGGCCAAGCACTCACCAGGAATGCATTCTTCACACACATAATTTTTTGTTTTGTTTAAGGGGAAAAAAAGTGGGTGGTAAATGATTTGTTCCAAATCTTAATACTAAGGGCCTTCTGCGTGCATCACCTTGCCGGGAGGTGTTGAACCACTCAGTAAAGAAACCAGGCCAGCTTCTCCGATGCATGGGAGAGCCCTCCTTGCACCATATGCAACATGCCGCAAACAAATCTATGTAAAACTTGACCTTTCCTGTGTTTTAAAAGTTGGGAAATTTCAAGCAAAACACATTCACAGACACACACACACTGGATTTCTATTTTCTCTTGAAAAAATTTTCCAGAAGCTCTGGCAATGAGTCCACTGGAGGCAGCTGTGCCTGGCTGCCCTCTGTAGGAGGGACACAGGCCCTCTGCCGGACAGTGCCCACTGCTCCCTACTGGTGCCCTTCACTAGTTGACTTCACCTTCTGGCCCGAGTAGCATGATGTTTTGAGGCCTCAGAACTGATTCATGAGCCCGCTGTGGAACCTGGTCCTGGGGAGTGTTAGAGCCTGGACAAGGAGAATGGCCACAGGGACAGAGAAGTGACAACTCAGACCTGCCCTGGATGTCTGCCCAAACTGCATTTGGCCCTGGCAACCTCCGCACCCCTCAGGCCCATCCAGGCTTCCTGCTCTCATCCCTGTGCTGCTTTGTCCCCTGCGGCTCCTAGATCTCCCCACACGGGATGTCATTTCAAAGATGCAAGACATCACAAGGACCCGGGCTGGCAGAATTTCTAGGCAAAGAAAGGACAAGGTACAGAGCTCACAAAGCAGGCAGCGAAAGAAAACAGAAAAGGGCGCAGTCTCCTGGTCACTCACTCTCTCCCAGGCTGCCTGGCTCCCTCGGTGAGACGCGTGGGTGTAGGAGAGATAAAATTAAGCTGCTTATCGAGAATTAGATGCTGAGGACAGCCTTGCTGATCCCCAGCATCAGCAAGATCTAACAGCCTGTCCCTCTGCCCTCTCTTGTGTCAGGAAGCTGGCAGTGACTCATCTCAGGCGGGTTCCACCAGCGCTGAGCTATCTGGCCCATGGACGAGAGCTGGAGGGGATTTATGAGGCGCCGTGCTGTGGAGCAAACAGAAAAGCCATGGCATGTAGAGCCCTTGTCCAAAATGCTGGGGACCAGAAGTGTTCAGGGTCTTAGATATTTTTTTCCAGATTTTGGAATATTTGCATAAATAATAACAGACATCTTGGGGTCTAAAGTCTGAACGCAAAACTCACTGAGGTTTCTCGTGTGCCTTTTCCACAGAGCCTGAAGGTAATTTTGCGTAGTATTTTTAGTGCTCCTCTGTATCGACTGTGACCTATCACTTGAGATCAGGTGTGGAATTTTCCACTTGTAGTATCATTGCAGCCATCAAAAAGGTTCTGATCCTGGGGCATTTTGGCCTTTGGAACTGGAGACACTCCATCTGTATTTGAAAGGTGTGCCACCTTGCCAGGAAATGTTGAACCATTCAGCAGCTCTTAGGGCCTCAACCCAGGCCTCCCTCTTTGATTGCGGGATGGATTCTTCTTTGGAGTAGGATGCTGGGACGCTTAGGATCCCCTGGAATGCTCCATCTGTCCTGGCTCTCCCCCATGAGGAGCAGAGCTGGAACTTCTGTGTGAAACGATGATAATGACACAGACTAATCTCTAGAGCCCACATGGCTGTGTGCAGTCCTGCATTTTCCAAAGCACTCTCTATGAGCCGTTTTATTTAACCCTCATGATAGCACTATGATTATCTTCATTTTTCTGATGAGGATGCTGGGGGTCAGAGTGGTGACGGACTTGATCAAGGTCACCCTGCAGTAAGACAAGCTCCAGCCTGGTGGACGTGGAAGCTCATCTCTCATCCACTGCCTGACGTCCATGTGTTCTCCTTTCCGTGTTCCCTGTCCCTGGGACGTCTGTTTGGCTGCCCTTAGGATGCACCTGGCATGATTCAGGTGGATGAAGGTGTGTCAGTCTGGGAGACTCCGCTTGCCTCTTGGGAGTACAAAGGCATCAGTCCAGCTGACTGATTGGTTGGTCACCAAGCTGCCACTGACACCGGTAGCAGGCTCTGTGTCGAGTGTCTTATACTCATGAGGATCACTGAGTGCCAGTGGGGAAGCAGACCCTGGGTTTTCAGTGTGCTCTGGCAGCCCAGGAGAGCAGGACAAGGCAGAGACAGAGCACCCTTCATCCACAAGGGCATGGTCCAGCTTGCCTTGTCCCAGGGGCTTCCTGGTATTCCAACAGGAAATGTCGGCACCTGTAGGTATCAATCAGCCTGCTCTGCTAGAGTCCAGTGAGTCAGTGTGGGGTGTTCTGTGCTTGCAGATATCTCCAGAAGCACAGTTTACTGTCTTCTGGGGCCATATGTTCCCAGACCTATCTCCTAAAAGAACCTCAGAGGTCATATAAATAAAAAGAGGGAGCGGCTGGGGTGCCTAACCAGCATGGTAACACGGGATAAGCACTTGAAAGGTCAGGTACTGCCCTGGATGAATTCCATGAAGCCCCCACAGCCCTAGGTGCTGAGTGCTATCTCCATTTGACAGATGACACTTCTAGGACTCAGAGAGCCTAAGTAACTGTGCAGAGTCCCATGTGTAAGTGGTGGGTTGAAACCCATGCTATTTCACACCAACCATTATGCTACCCTGTCCTCCCTCTCATGACGGGATGGTGGGAGCCACCTAATGTTATGGGCAGAGGTGGTGGCAATGTCTTTGTGGCTCCTCCATCAGCTTACAGAACAAGAAGGGCCAACTCCCAATAGGAAGTGCAAGAGCGCTGCTGGGAGCCGGAGTACAATGCCTCCCTTCTGAAGGTATTTCTGGGTTCGCTCTGAGCCACACGGCCACCCTCTCTTTGCACAGCACTTCTGGCTTCCACATATGCTCCATGTCAAAAGGTGCTAGCACACGGCCCCTTGACCCACCAACCACGCTGCTGAGAGCATTGCCTTCAGGAAGAGCAGGGCAGGGCACCTGCAGAGGTTCACAAAGTGGGAGATGAAGAAGGCAAGGAAATGCCTGGAGTCTGGGCCAGGAAGGGCT